CACGAACCTGTCCCGATGTCTTTGTCCTCCGGAAAGTAACTGTCAGAGTGAACGTCGTCGAAGAGAATCTTTCGAAAGTACTCTACTATTGGGTTTTGGTTTTTGGTAGAATTGGCTGTTTTTTTTTATACATGTTGTAGATTATGTCTTGCTAAACGAAAGATATAATGGCCTCGAAGCTAAATATTTGATAATTACTCAATTACAGTCAGTCAAGCAGCTCCTAGAGCTCTATTACACTTTTTGTTCAGCAGATCTTAAGCTGCAACATATGAGAAAACCAGCTGATCTTACCAAGATTCAATTTTATATAATTAGCACGGGATTTTTGAATATAAAATCCTAGATGCAATTGAATTCCTTGAAATCAGCTGGTTTTCTCACATGTTGTAACTTATAACTTGCTGAACAAAGAATGCAATAGGCTCAAAACTAAATAATAGATGGTTACTGATTTGCAGGCAGTCAAGCACTAAAAATTAGCGCACTCTGCAAGTTGTTCAACTGGCTGTAATTCACTGAAGCTATTACATATTTTGTTCAGCAAAAGTCATAAGCTTACAACATATGAAAGAAACGAAAGACAAATATTCTATGTATGGGTCCTCTCTTTTATAGATTTAGGATCTAATTTTCCTTCAACAAGTCGATAAAAACAGCGTCTCTCTTCCTCTTCTTATTGTCTCTCTGGTCGAATTTAAGAAAACGTTTCGGAAATGACATTTCTTGGTCGCGCCACGCAGCTGCATCATCATTGATGCTGCGCATCTGTGAAATATGCATTGGTGTGCGTGCGCACAACGCCGTCGGGAGATGAGATACATCACCGGGACCGGAGACGTATTATTAATGGTGACAGTGGGCGACCCAGGTTGGGCGGGGTGCGCGCGATGTGGGCCCTCTCGACTCCGGGCCCTCTTCTTCCTCTCTCTCTCTCTCTCTCTTCTTCTTCTTCGTCTCTTCTCGGTCTCTCTTTTCCGTCGCGTAGGTACAACGTTGCGTTGGATTTATCCTGCGTGAATTTGGATGCCGCATCGACGACACCGTTTTGCCGCTCCAAAGAGGAAAAGGAGCTTTTCCTAAGCGATCGTCAATCTCGAGAGAACCGGACCCCGAGATAGATTTACGAGCGTGTTCGACGCTTGTACATACTTTACGACGGCTAGCTCGCGCGAAGGAATATTCTAATCCGGTTGTAAGAGAGAAGATTTATCGGGTATCGCGCGTAATTAAAGTCGTGTGACGGGAGGATTACGAGCGCCAACTCCGTCTGTGAAGTATATATATATTCTAATACCGCACGTGTGCGTTTCCTCGCTCGAAAATGTCACAACACGTGCCAGTATCTGCGTCCGCGGCCACAACGAAATTCCCATAGACCGAGATGGAAGGAGAGAAGAAAACGACGAGGTTCGATCAAAGCCGGCCGGAGTGAATTAGCGACGGCCACGTATGCGTAAATCACCGCGGAATCGTTAATTAGGCGGTAGAACGAACGAGGCTTTCTGTAAAATGTCAACGACTGGGGAAATCGCGGCGAAGAGACTCGATCGGGACCTTTTGACACGCGTGATTTCGCGTTCGCGAGAAATCTCGCAATTTGTCGCAACTGCTAATTTCACATTCTCCGTAAAGCTATATCCTCACTGGAGCAACAACGAGTAACTTTTTTATAAGAAACATGGAATTACGACAAAAAGTTGCTTGTTGTTGCTTCAGTGAAAACGCAGCTTATGAAACTTTCAACATCTAGCAATTTTTTAAGAAAATATGGAACATGAAGAAAATTTGCTCGTTGTTGTTCCAGAGAGGACATAGCTTAAAGAACTTTAAGAAACTTTCAGCAACAACTAGCAACTTTTTTAAGAAAATATGGAACATGAAGAAAATGTGCTCGTTGTTGTTCCAGTAAGGATATAGCTTAAAGAACTTTAAGAAACTTTCAGCAACAACTAGCAACTTTTTTAAGAAACAAGGAACATCGATAAAAATTCCTTGTTGCTTCAGTGAGGACGCAGCTTGTGAAACTTTCAGCAACAACTAGCAACTTTTTTTAAAGGAATATGGAAAATCAAGAAAAAGTTGCTCGTTGTTGCTGCAATGAGAATATAGCTTTAGATTCGCACTCTCGATAGACGGCTCCGCGAGAATCAATCGCGATTCTTGCCAGACATCCACGAGGGAGAAAGAAAGAGAAATTGAGAAAGCTTTCCGAATTAATTATCCAATTACTCACGAGGACCAAAACAAACAAACGAGCTGCCCGCGACGCTCCTATTATAATCCCCCGCTTTTCGCTCGAAATTAATGAAGTCGTCCGACGAAACCTTGGCCTAAGCGCGGTAAATTAGAGGTACACGCCAACCATTAGAATACTTAACGAGGACATCACGGTGGGATGCAGGCGTGCGCGGGTGTGATGATGAATCATCGGCGAGTAACTCACCGCGCACGCCCAGGAATATTAAATTAACTTTACTTATTGTTAGCCGAAAATCTCATTTGTGTCCCTTTTGTCGTGTGTGCGGGATCTTCTGGATCCTTTTTTTATTCTCGTATAAAGAAGAGTCGGCTGGTCTGGAACCATGGGCGTCTGCAGGAGAGAGGGCAAGAGGCCTTTGAAATCAGTAAAAAATTAAGTATCTGCTCTCCTTTTGAATAAACGCTGGAATTTATTTGCATTTGTTTAATATAAAAAAAAATTAAGAAGAACAAAATATATAGAGGAAACAAAAAAAATTTAATCATGCTCCTCTTGGAAAAAATCTTGCATCCATGTTTGGAACGGGGGAAAGAAACGAAAAGTCGGTTCTTGACGGGAAAAAGAGATTCTTAGGTGACAAAAGCGATATCCTTTAGCGAACAAGTCATTCTCTGTCTTTCTGTCTTCGCTTTCCTTTGTCTCATAATAACGTTTCGAGAATATATTAAAAAAAAAGGTTCTTACAATTGTGTTCATGAGACATTCATTAAAGAATAAGGGTGGATGCGGCTCTCTGACGTGCCAAAGTGCGATTTCTCTCTTATTTTCCCGCCCCTCTTCCGGAGTCCTCCGGGTTAGCATATCTCTCTCTCTCTCTCTCTCTCCTCCGGAGAGTTGAAATATACAAAATGAAATATGAAATAATGGTTCGTGCCTTGTGGCTGGCTGAAGGCACGGGCGCACCCATATCTACGCCCCCATGCACCTATGTACCTATACAAGACACACACATACATGTACATATATATATATATATATATATATATATATATTTACCGACATATAATTTTAATATATATATTATATACACATATAAATGTATATATATGTAATGTACGCTATATACATCCGCCTGAATTTTTTCGTTCTTGTCGCAAACATCTTACGTTCGTATTAACCCTATGCCTCGCTTAATGATATTCCGGCCTACCATGTTGGCATATTGAACGCAACTGAGGCAGATTCCAGGCTTGGTCGTCAGACCAAGACCCGCCGCCGCCGACCAAGCCCACCTGTAATACAGATACGGATGTATCTGTACGTACGTATTATACATACGTTGTATATATACACGAGGGACCATTTCTGTGCTCGTTTTGCGCCACGTATATATCGGGGCGACGACAGAAAGAAAGGGAGCGAGAGAGAGAAAGAGGTAGAAGTTGCTCTCTCGCGGGCCGAATTAAACGCGTCGTTAGCTAAAGGGATCGACGATTTTATCGAGATTCGGGATATCGAGACGTATACCTATACACCGGGGGCTCGCCCCATTATTGTCGATACCTGGGTAATTTATCGGAGTATTTACAGACGCGAGGATCGATATGTTACATTAAAGCACGCCATAACTTTGCGCGCGTCGGCGAACATCTTCGCGGACATTCTTGACTGATGAATTCATCTTTGGAGAACGGACGTGAGATGACAAAACTTCGCTCTTGTCTGTGTGTCTCTCTTTTTTTCATTTCAATTTGTTTAATCTTTGATTGAATAGAATTTTTAGAATATTTATGACAAACTTTCATCATTATTACAAATACGAATACGATGATGAATTCATCTTTGGAGAACGGACGTGAGATGACAAAACTTCATGCACTCTTGTCTCTTTTTTTTATTTTAATTCGTTTAAAATTTTTGAGACTTGATCTTTGATTGAACAGAATTTTTAGAATATTTATTATATTTATTTTAATATATTATTATATATATATTTACAAACTTATAATTATTATTATAACTTATCAATTTACAAATACGGTAATAAATCTTCAAGTATAGCGAGGAAATGAGATAAATATATTATCTCGATTTAATTTTTTTAAAAATAAAACGTGATTAAAAAAATAATTAAGTTATTATTTTTCTTGATTTTTATTGATTTATTTATATTGATTTATAGATGTTTATTTCATTAATTGTTAATTTGTACAGTTATCTAAAAATATCTTAAAATCTCATTATTTAAATATATACAGAGTGTCCTGTACTCAATGAATCACTGATTTACAGTAGATATCATTTGAAGATGATTTTTCCTGAGCGAAAATGTCGAAGCACCAATAATTTTCAAATTATAAGCGATTGAAAATAAAAGGTTTTTCTCAAACTGAGTCTTGTAGGAACAACCATATTCACAAAATCACATTTTTTAATTAATTTGAGATAGAGATCAGTGCAACTTTAATTTAAAGTTTAATTACAAAGATACATGATGGCAAAAATTCAGGAACATGTAAAAAATGATGACCTCCCTCGACATTTTCGCCAAGGAAAAATCGTCTCCAAATAATCCCAGCAATCTACCTTTTCCGCCAGTTCTGAAACACCCTGCATACATATACCACTTTTTAAAAATTATATTACATCCTTTATATTTGTTCATGCGGCACATAGAAGGAATCCCAGGACGCGACTGGTAAGAATCATGTTATATACCGTGTGTCGCTTAATTATTTTTATATCGTTCTCATTTTTTCTTGCATTTTTCATCGAACCTGACTTGATTCCTTTGCAGGAAAGAAATGGCGGGGGCTGACGCCGCAAGACAGAAGGCCCTACGTCGAGGAGGCCGAGAGGCTCCGGGTCATACACATGCAGGAACATCCAAATTACAAGTACAGGCCGCGGCGCAGGAAGCACGCGAAACGGACACCCGGTGGACCGGCCTCGCCTCCCTCGGCGACCAACACCGCGGGCAACAGGTCCAACCCTACCGGCCCGACGATTCATCATTCCATGTAAGTCGATACTTGGCCCATACTTTCCGCTAATGAAGGCACGTACGAGTAAAACCGCCAGTTAATTGAGAGATCTCGGCAAGATTTAATTCGAAGCCGACGACGATGACGCTTATGACGATGTTAACGTAATTTACACGAGGGAGAGTTTTTTAGAATTTCGTATTGGAAGAATTTTCGAAGAGTTTCTCGGATTAATATTTACACCGCAATAAAAAATATTAATATGTACATATAGTAAAATTAGGACGGGGAGACAAAAGGGGGCATTTGCCCCCATTGGAATTAGTAAAAAAATTAAGCAATTGCTCTCCTTTTGAATAAACACTGGAATTGATTTGCATATTTAATATAAAAAATATGAATATAATAAAATAACAAAAAATTAAGAAATAAAAAAAATAATTATCTCCTGAAAAAAATCTTGCGGACGCTCATGAGAGAAACTCTTATAAAATTTTTCCAATATCACATTGTCCCATGATTATCATGATTTTTAGGGTTTCTAAATTCTAAGAGAAAATTCCTTCTGTATATATTTGCAAGATTGAGCAATATTTGAATTTGTTCAAACATGGAAAAATATAAAGTACAGAAACTATATGATCTTCATGCTTATGTAACATTTAAATCGAAAGTATAGACACACTTATGAATCACCTTATCTCACTGATGACGATGTAATTAAATTAACAAAATTGCATATCCTCAATATTTTAATGCGTAAATTGAAATGGGTTTAAGGTCCAAGATGGACAGTTACCAGGGCATACCTCAGATCCCGTGGGGTGGCCATTCCCCGATCTCATCCTTATACCATCAACAGCAGCAGCAGAGTATCCAGGAATACAAGTCGGAAAATAATTCGCTTTACGGCAGCCCGTACACGCCCATCATTCACACCCCGGACATATCTCCGGTAGCGAGTCCCGAGCCTGACGGTGAGAGTCTTTAAAACAAAAATAAATCTTGCGGACAGCTGGCGAGAAATTTATTCGAGATCCTCGTATTAGATAAGACGCGTTAAAATTGATATATAAAATATACGCGACGTGATGCGATAATTTGTGAAATAATTATTATCACCGAGAGCAATTATATATATATATATATATATATATATATAATATTATACGAGTCGTCGCACACACAATCGAGATGATTTCACAATCGACCAGGTGACGGCGGCCATCTATCGTCTGCTCAGAATCCGGATCCGGAACGAGATCTGATGGAGGGTACCTCGAAGCAGCACGGAGATATGACCGATCAGACGAAGCGATACACCTTTATGAGCGGTGACAGTCAACTGCACACGGGTCACGCTAGTAATACTAGCGTATCGTCGTGTCAGAATTCCGGCGGTTATACGGATACTTTAACGTATAAAAAATCCGTACGTACCTTACACACATCTCTGACACATGTCTACGATGGCTCTAATTTTTCTATTATTATTTTATAATTCGACTCACAATTTTAGAAATAGTATAATATATCCCTAATACATGTTCGAAAGAGGTTCAGAAGACGTTTAGAGGATATTAAATATCCTGAATGTTCGAAAGACGTTCAAAGGACATCTACAGAATATTAAACATCCTCTGGATGTCCTCTGAATGTCTTTCGAACATGTGTGAACATTCAGAGAGAATTTAATATTGAGAATTTTGTAAATGTCTTCTAAACCTCTTTCGAACATGTGTGTTTAAGGATATAATATATAAAAATATTAAACTATAAATATTGAACACAAGATATAAAAATAAATTTAATTTTTCGACTTAATTTCATGAATTGTATGAAATTCTCGGACAATAGTTTTAAATATTTCTCGGGTTTTATCAGGTGGGTTACTTAAACTTTGAGAGACAGTCGACGAGCATAGCCGCGGTGGGTATCGCGAACGGTATGATGGTGTCATGCAACAAACTGCGCTCTGGTTTTGACAACGTCGGCTCCGTCACGGGTACGTTTTATCCGCCGGTCGCCTCGCCGCACGATCAATCGTTGCAGCATTACAGCAGCTCGCAGTCGTCCAAGAGCACGAGCAACTATTCGATGCAGTCCACCGTCGAGAGCAATTATAATCCGGTCCAGTGCGCCGGCAATCGACAGCAGCCCATAGGAATTCGCGGAGCCGAAAGTTGTTCCGGTAACGTTCTCTTCTCGCTTACGCGCGTCAAGACATGTACTACTCATGAGATGCGAGAGCACATCAAAATATATACTTTGAAAGAGTCTCTCATTGATTATATATATTCTTTTTTTTAAATAAGATTATTTTTCTCAGAAGAACCATGTAGAAAAAATACTCGGATTTTTCTAAAAAGATGTATAATTGCCAAATTATATTAGGAAAAATGTTCAGGGTAATGTAACTAATTTTGTAAATATTTTTCGAATTATCTATATATGCGTATCTCATTTTATATTCGGCCATTATTGTTATTACATCGTCGTTCGATCTGTCACTTCTTGCAGGCGCAGTGACGCACCGATACCAAATGCCTCATCATCAGGAATACCAGACGGACGCATCCTCGGGCAGTGCTCAGCAGCACGCGATCCTCGGCGGTCACATCGATCCCGGGATGAGCGCTGAGGAAGATCATCAGCAGCAGGCACTGCAGTTGGAAAAGTATTTCAAGTATTCCCATCCAACGAGCGTGGCACATTCGAGCCTGTCCTCGCAGAGTATGTTGGACAGCAATCATAACTACGCCAGCGATCTGCGCTACTACGGGGCACCGTCCCAGTTGGACATATCGAACTCTCAGTGCATCGTCGACGATCAGCAGAGCAGCAAGGACGTTCGTTGCTCCAACGTCGCGATCGGTCACACCTTGGAGCAATATCATCAACAGAGTTTAGAAGTGTCCAAGTATCCGGATCACTCGGCCGCCCAACAACAGCATCAACAGCCGCAATCGCAACAGCAGCAGCCTCAGAGCATGGAGCACGTGCCCAAGGCTGACGATGACTTCAGTGTTATACTTGCGGACGTGCGCAAGACCTGCTACAGTAGCTAGTGTTTTCTTTTTTCTTTCATGTTTCTACGTTTTTTTTTCTTTTTTGATTGGTTGACCACTGACGTGTGGATTATTTCGAAAATAGTTCTTTCAGATCATGATTGGAAAGAACAAGAAAAACTTGTTACACGGTTTTATATCATCATACTTTGGTGCTACTCGAAATATATCAAGGCAATTTTATCTCGCGATAGAAGGTACGTCTCTCTTCTCGTTAATTTCGAAAGTAATATTTTAATTTTGAATCTTTACAAGAAGATATCGATTTGCAATTCGATTTGTTTAAATTTTAAATCTAGCAACATTTAATTTTGCAGTTTTTAACTTCCATTTTTATCTTTGCATATTTGTGCAATCTATGATCTCTTATAGATTTTAGTTCAATTGAAATTACACAGTCATCAAGTCATTAACATGATTATCATCTATCGAGCTGAGGTAAGCGAAATTGTAAAACAAATTACAAAATTATATAATACGAAATATTATAATATAATACTATCAATCTATCTGACATGAATATTGATCAATGTTATTGAATTTTTGAATTATTATGCGTGTTATAGTACTTTATTTTATTAAAATGACAAGATTTTCTTGAATAAAAATTTAAAAAATTGCAATAATTATCTTATATTTTTATATATGAGTATAGATTTTTATAAACAATTTAGAAGATCTCATATAAAACGTAATGACAGGCTGCTAATGGTGCACGGCTGATCTAATGTAGCATAAACAGAGAAGATTGTACACTTCTGTAGATGTCACTTCTGTAGTTCTCCACTATCAAAGGTAATATAGTAGCAAAGATAATAGCGATAGAGAGAGATATTTTAAATTTATATTATTAAATTAGCAAACTTTTACATATCAGAAAATGTTTTGCGTCAACAAGTACATATATTTTTCTCCGATATAATATATTATGTTCATTAGACTCATTTGTCTTGAAATTTTTTATCAAAAATCTACTTCTAACGTAATAACAGAAACTCTTAATATAAAACTGAAACATTCTTGTATAAATAGTTTTTTTTTGCTCATCAGAATAATATTTCTAGTGTGCGAATTATGCATTAAGTATTTGATAAAAATCCAAATGATGCAAAACATCTTTGATGTGTACAAAGATGTGTAAAGATTAGTGGGTTAAACTAAATTATTATTACTATTATTATTTTGCTATTAATAATTAAGATTATTATTAATGTATCGTACTTAATAGAATCGATCACGAACAAACATTTATTCGCAGAATCGATTACGAACAAACATTTATTTGCATATATTCTTCAAAGAATATCTTTTTACAAAAGATATACGTTATTATCGAATCGTTGTATATTGTTTACTTTATTGTAGCGCACATATGATAGGCATATAGCATATGTATGAGATGCATACATATACATATATTATATCACAAAGTATTATGTGCTCCTCATATACATATATATCACATTTCTAGTTAAATTTTTCATTAAGACATTTGATAAACTTTTACAGTGAATTTTTTGAAAAACTTTGATATTTTTTGCGAAATAATTATATGTTGTACAAGTAAATATATTTTAATTAAGCATGTATTTAAAACAATCTTTCAGGATTATTGTTTCAAATTTATGCAGCATTAAAACACATCTATGTATGTATATTAATTCTTTTTATTAAATATATATAAAAAATATGTGTATAAGATACAACATTATATGTGTAAAGCTGAAATCATACATAGTGTAGTGATACCCATAATTTACATCAAAGGGGGTTGATACAGAGTGATTAAACTCACATACAGTGATTGATAAATATTTCATTATATATGTACATATATATATATATATATATATATATATATATATATATATATATATATATATATATATACACACACAATTACATATATATATATATATATATATATATACACACACAATTACATATATATATATATATATATATATATGTAATTGTGCTTCTGATATCTGAGATCTCAGATAACTAGAATGTATAAAATCTTTCTTATCACTCAAACAAATATATTAATTAAACTATAGGCACATGAAGAAAGTAAATATTAAATAAATTATTATAAATATAAATATTTTAATCTCTCATTTATAGTAATTCTTTCTTATTGGACATATGTCACCCTTTTCTATTATTATTTATCATGTATATAAAGTTAATTAAAATACATAATGGATACTAAAGTCCATACAATAAAGTAAAAGACTTTGAAATTAATTCTTGAAATCTTTCTCTGTTGAATCTATATACATATTTCTGTACAAATGTAATATTGTTCTATATGTTCACGAATTTATTCTGTCATATCTTTTATGTATTAATCCCCATTGATTTACATGTAGCTATTTAACAGAGTTGTGCGACGTTTACATGTTGCTTTACTGTTGCAGTATTCGTGGTATATATAAGTGATGCCAACGTCCAATGCAATTTATCAACCGTCCATAGCAGAGTCGGGATTCCAACAGTTGAAACAAAGAAATGGATATTTTATTAACAAAGATTTTTTTATTCAAAGTTATAGTCTTTTAAGTTACTCCTTTATCTTAAAATAATTACTTAACATTTTAAACATTATCACTTTTAACTTGATAAGTTTTAAAATCGATTAGTAATAAATTCGATTATTAGAATCTCACTTGCCTAACCCCGACTCTGTTGTCAATATAATGTGTCATAAATGCTTCGATTTATTGCATTGTTACATCTATTCGCATCATAATAGTTGCTGTATGACTAAATGACACCAAATACCGCTAGATATTTATTATAAATGTTTTTGCAAACGTCGGATTATAAGCGTAAGTATACGTATGTAATTCTCCCGTATTCGAACAATTTCCTTCTTATTATAAATGCAATGTATACAATGTATAGTTTTTTCAGAGAGCATAATGTCTCAACTATTAAATGGACAGATTTTGCAGTCTTGTTCACAATGATCCACTAAGTAATATTCTTTCATTCATGCAAAGACATTCGTTACAGATTGTTGAGATTTGAAGTATCAATTAATATTAAACAGTATAAATTAATAACAATCTTATAAAGTTTCGCATATATACATACACACAATGCTGCAAATTTTATACTGACTGTACAATTATCTCAACTATTGATACAAGAATTTATATGTACATACCTAGATCATTGTCAAATATTTATCGTTATTTGTGTGTCTCTGCATATGTGCCTGCATGTAATATATACAATTAGAACTTATAATGTATACACACATACAATGTATAAATGGCAGCTTTACAAATCATGCGTATAAAATTTCTCTACATACAAATTATCCTGATATTTCTGTTTGTTCAGAGAAAATAAAACGGAATATTTTTAAATTTTCGAATGGATTATTTGTAACATATAATCAGTATGAAAAGAGAAAAAATATTCTAGATATGAAAATTAGTGAGTATTATTACTGGAATGGTTTCACTCTTGTAGATGTAAATAACAATAATCGGGAATGTGTTGAATAAATTTAATGAAAGTAGAAAGATTTGTAGAGAAATCTTTTGGAATATATAATTATCAATCACAGAAAAAAATGCTTTATATATCTATCTGGATGATTTGCAGTTTTTGAAGTTTCCATAGACAAATATTAATTCTACAAAAGTAGAATTAGGAATAATACTTTAATCTATTTTATTACAAATGTTGGAATGTATTCAATGCTAAAATTTTGATAAAATTTAGACGAAAAAATTATAAATGTTACAAATATCCACTCTTACAGTAAAATCTATATAATTATATAAATCATACACATATATATTAATTATATAAATATTATATAAATTGTGTACTTGATACAAAACTTCTAAGATCAGAAAAACATTGCACAAAACTTTTAAATATTTAACGATTTTCCATTTTGATTCAAATAAAAATCGTGTATCTCATCTCTATAAATCCTTTTAGAGTATAGCTTACATTTACTGCTATACATTTTATCTTTCAGAGAGAGACCCAGTATATAAATCTAACATATAATAAATGCAAAAATATTTTTGCTCAATTTGCTTTGGTTTTTAGTAATGATTATATAATCTAAAATAAAAAATATATAACATGATTTATATATGATAACAATGATTTTTTGTTCGAATTATTCTAGAAAAACAATTTTAGAAAATTTATATTTCTGTTGAAAAAAAAAATATAAAAAATTATTAATATATACAATATACATAAATTCAAATTAATAAAGGAATATTAAAAGTTTTAATTTGTTCTCCTCTGTGAATTATTTGAAATTCTAACTAGCTATAATATCATTCTTGAGAACTTTTTTGTGTTTTATTTGTTCCTAGCACAATTCTTTCATTTCTTTTTTCAAGTTTTTTTCTATTATGCTGCATACATTAATATTTTCAATTTATATTAAATTTCAATCTATAGTGTCCTTATACGTCATTCATCCCATAGACAATTCTGTTTCATTTTAGAATAATATGAGAATATAAAACATTTCTTACAGGTTTTTATACCGCATCGATAAGTGCTGGCTATCTTCTTGCCATCAGACTTTCCTTTGCAGAATTTTAAACCACACGGATACCAACCAACACATAACTCCAGAGAGCATGTGCAAGGTGCCCAGAGATTTGATGTGTCAGCGCATTTGGAGACTAACAATGATCTTGAGTCATTCGTACCTGATTGCAGCATAGTTGTAAAGTTATATACAGCTGCCATGAGTAATTCTTCTGAAGAACCTTTGCAATACAAATTATATTATAACTTTACAGAGTTAATTATTATATATAGCTTTTAATATACAAACTATATAAACTATGCTGAAGAATTAACTATACTAACTGTTAATTTGGCAGTTACCTGGTCTTTGAATCCACTGTTTTATATCATCATTCCTGGTATAAGTTGATCCAGCTGCTTCCGCGCAAAGTGTAGCAACATGTTTCGAAATCTCTTTAGATTGAGATACGTCCAGAAAAAGGTCCATTGTGTAATTGACATGACCTCTATCTTCCTCCGCCACACGTACAGTGCCTGGATTTTTTTGACGCAGTTTGGACATTGCGTCAGATGATATAAAATCTACTTTATAAAAATGATTCACGAAACACATGACTTGATATTGATTTTGTCCACGTTCCTCCTCACCGAGTACCAAAGCCTTTATAACTTGAACTTCCTACAATTTATGCGAGCAAAAATAAATGTAAAATTTATAAAAATTACTTATCAGACAATCGAACGTTTGTTATGTGTTTCAGAAACACTTACATTTTTGAAATCGATAAGTTGTGTAACAAGTGTGCCATCGGAACGTTGGAATTCTAAAGTAATCAGATCTTCCGTAACATTAGACGAGATAGTTTCTAGAAGTATATCACCGCCCTGTAAGTATAGTTCATTTAATATTCGTAATCGAATTACTCCTTTCAAGTCTACGTCATTTTCTTGTAGAAAAAATGCTCATATCAAAATCTAGAGATTGACTTGAAGAACATTTATCTACGTGTAATCGATTATTTATCCGAAAAAAAGACAATATTCTCCGTATATTATAAACCTATGCATACGTGAATAAAGTTATTTTTTATTATTATTAATAAGGATGCGCGATTATACATACACATTATCGTACCTGATTTTTGACGTTTATGAGCAAATGTGTAGTGCATACATGGCAAAAGTATTGCAATACGACGCAGGTCGCGAGAAATTCGTTGAATCTCTTCATTGTCGCATGTTGTTCTCTATCGATACTCGTCTCCTCGTCTGACAACGAGCCGAATAAAAAAAATCACTCCATTGAATATAACCTAACGTAGCAAACAGCTGTCTCTTTCATCCTTCGACGGCCACCATGTTTTCGGCTCTCGTCGAGTAACCAATGAATGTAAAGAAAGAAAACTTGGCCAGTTTGAAAAAAAAAAAACTACCAAGTTTGAATATTCACTTGGCTAAATAATTATATCAAAATATTGAATTGCGATGTAAAAATTGACCTAAACACTTGTTGAAAGATTATTAAAAATTGCGAGATACTATAAACTTTATTTTATATGACATTCCATTAATTTTTATACCGTGTAAGTATATATATATAATTAGTGCAAATATATATATAACTATATATAGTTTGTTCGACGCCAAATAGTTTTGATTGGATTATTCACTTTTAATTTGCTATTTATCCTATCAATATTACATATATATTATAAAAGATGAAAAATATGTTATAGCTTATTTTCTTCTTTTTTCTCAATTTTTCTTATTTTAAAGATACACAGTATATATATATTATTAACAAAAATAATAAATATGGCTTAGAATAATAATTCAAAATTATCTAAAAAAGGTGATAAAAATAATATATGATACTGCGTCCTAATATTAGAAACGCAGCTGTTAAAAAGAAGAAAGAAGAAATGAAGAATCAGATATATATGAATAATATAAAGTGATCCTGGGGTGAACAACAGTGCTTTATAATAGTATAGTAAATGTATGGTTTTTGATATTTGGATCTATCATTTGTTGTCATTATATTGAAACGTTTCTATGATGAGTTTGGTGTCTCATTCATATATCTCACTTTTGTTGCGTGCTTTTTTTACTATCGCGGATGCTGCAGATGCGAGAAGCAGATATTTTGTCCTCTTCGCTTATTCGTGCGGTCGACAATCTTTCTCTCGAGGATTTGCTCGGCGCAGTATCCTCTCTAAAAATAAAATATCTATAATTATTATATTACATCTCGTGATATATTTGACTAAACTATATATTATTATATCAAGAGTTGGGTAAGTTTAATAGTTTTTTTAAAACTAATAAAGTTAAGCTAGCAGTATAGTTATGCGCTTATAAAATTAATTTAGTTAAGTTAAAAGTTGCATGAACAAAAAATTAACTCAATTAAAGTAAAATTATAATTTTAATTAACTATAAAATTATTATATTACCCAATCCTGATATATTAAAAACGCGTTTAAAAGACACATATTTACAAGAACTGCAAATGTAACGCCGACAAAATAGTTGGAGTTTCTGGTAGTTGCACAGGCTTCAAATCGTATACTTTCAAATGAGCGTAAACGGGAATCTACAAATAATCGTATCGTTATCATAAAAAGATAACCAGATTGAGATAAAATTCGGTTTATTGGATTTTGAATATATGTATAATAATATATATATATATATATATATATATATATGTATATCTTACGTGTAACAAAGATGTGTCCAAAGTCGTGGATGGTACGTAACACGTAGGCAAATCAGGAAGTTGATAATGATCACCAAGTATTGGGGATTCCAGTTTCCTACCGTAAATCGCATCGAATCGATCAAGCTTTATTTTCTCCGATTTTGAATTATTTGTGAAAGAATTATCTTGAATTTGTTGTTCCACTTCTTTATTCTCGTTAGAGATATTCATATCTGCGATATATAATAAAATATTAATAAAGATATTTACAAAATAATGTACGTACACTTAATACATATAACTTTAGCAGAGGTTTCTTTAAAAGTAAAATTTATTGCTTACTGAAAAAAATAGAAAATTATTGAATTAATATTAAATATATTTTCAATTGATTGTTAACAACTAGTTTACTTTTTGTAACTTGAATGTGTCACACAACATATGCCTGCTCGATGTTTAATCGATATATATATATATATATATACACACACACTCATATATCTTATCTTTCCATACATTTAAACTTAAAATAAATACTGCATCATTATATATATTTATATATAGATGAAGCGGTAAAAGAGAATTAACAATATATAATTAGGAATTTATATTTCGTAAAATGTATAATTCTTTAAAATAGATTTTCACATTTTATACTTGCACATTTTTTAATTTTTTTTACTGAGATCTTATATAAATGAAAATGAACATTTTATTTTAATAATCCTGTAATAATATTCATGTAAAAATAAATTCTAAAAAAATTCTCTTAAAAAAATTAATAAATCGAAAGAAATTTTCTTTCATTCTTTTCTGTTTTTGAAAATCCCGGATAAAATAATTGCATAAATTCCCTATATGAAATATAGGGAATTCATTCGTTTACGAAGTACCGCGATTTAACTCAACCTAACTTCTTCTCGAAGTTTTTTACAGCTTTTTATATAAATATTTCCTTTTTTATATCTCTCTTTCTGAAAGATGTTTTCAAAAAATCATTTTCTTATAAAGAATATATGTATCACAGTGTGTCATGTGTGTTTGAAAATATTTTAATAATAACATACATATTTATAAATTAAAGAAAAAAATCATGCGCGACTGAGCAGTGATTATACAAAAATATAAAATTACAGAAAAAGAAGAAATGCGATAAAAGTCTATATCAATTCGTAAAAACATGAACATTAATAGAATAATTAATCTTCGGAATCAAATCAATCAACACAGTTTAACGACTGTTATGATAAAGGATACACGAAAATCTTTCTTTAATTTGTCAAAGGAAAATGGATGAATTTGTAAATGGCATTTATAAAAGAAAAGAAATTAATTTAGATAAAATGATTAAATGATTTCTTCTACATCATAAAAAGAGTAAGTTAAAATATATTTTATAAAATAAAAATTTATTTTCTTTATTTATTTATTCGTAAGAAATTATATTTAATTAAGAAGAATTGAATTATATCACGTTTTTTCAATAGGAGTCATATTTCATATACTTATTTTAAAAAAAGAATGCTCTAATAAAATGAATTATAGTTTAATTTGTTATTAATAGGAGAGTACATAAGAATTTTCTCTATTTTCAGAATGCAGTTGACATAATTGCATGTCTCCACATTGCAAGAAAATTATATACAATGAAACATTCAACAATATATTTTTGGTTCATATATATGATACATAGTATTGGATAGTCTTATATCGTGCCAAATATCTCTGCTTATGACGATGCAATGAAACTGAGATGATGGTAAACATTGGTGTAGACATCAGGCGCACCAACAGCGCAAGGTGAACCCCAGGAAACAACACCAACTTGCTTGCCATTAGCAACCAGAGGGCCGCCACTGTCACCCTGAAAAATGTAAAGAACCATTTTTTATTTAATTTTATCTTGTATTTTTTAGTAGTTGAATTGTACAAGCTAGATTGATCTACCAGAGTAGAGCAATCATTTCTAACGGATCACATCATTGCTAACGGATGTGTATTCAATGATGGATGTTACTCACCATGCAAGCACCAATTCCAAAACGATTGTAGGCACACAAGTGGGTGCTAGTAAAAGGCACGCCACGGTGGCTGTTCTGACAATTAGACAGCGAGATTATAGACTGGTTCATTTTCTGAAGATATCGTGCAGGTCGTCCATTAACGTTTGTCAGACCCCATCCAGACAAAGTAACCAGCGTACCAGGAGCTGGCGGAGAGTCGGCCAAAGCGATGGGTTTTTGATATTGATTGTATTGAATTGGCGATGCAATCTGAAACGAAGGAAATTGGTAAAAACAAATGATTGAAATAGAAGAAACAAAGTGAGAAGAAAATTTGTTGAACCAAAGTATTGAATTCTTTAATATTTCGACTTACAGTGATTACAGCGATGTCATTCCTCATAGCATCTTTGTGATTGTCGCTATACTGTGGATGTTCTACAACCTTTTGCACACGGAAATTGGTTCCTGTATTGGAGTCGATGCTCCCAGTGCGAACTAAGAAATTGTTATAGGGTGGCTTTACTAGACCACGCACGCAGTGGGCAGCGGTCAATATCTTGGTGGGACCAATGATGGAACAACCGCATATGTGTCCACCATTCAAATTCAAAGAGCATTGCCATGGGAATTCACCTAGTGCGGCAGGCGTACCACCGACGATCGCCTCAGGTTCGTCAGCGAACGTCTCTACAATCAATGTATATCATAATTATACAGGTTTTTCAAAAAAAGGTAAAATATTTTAAGAGGATTTAGTATGTCTCAAAATAAGTTAAAAAATTTAATTAAATATGAGGTCACAAATGAGCTATTTTTGGGATATTTGTAATATCTTATATATAACTTAACTTATAATTTAATTTAATTTACCTGCATTTACATAAATAAAATAATAAAAAATAAAAGAAATAAAAATAATAAAAATTTAAAACAAAAAATATTAAAATAAAACAAAATGCATATAAAAATAAAAATATCTCAAAAACGATTTATTTGCGGATCTAATATTTATTAAAACTTTTTGACTTGTTTTTGGGCATTTTAAATTTCCTTAAAATATTGTATCCTTTTTTTTAACATCCTATTTATGATTCTTATAAAACAACATATATGATTTTGATGAATGAGAAAGGTATAAAACGATAGAATAAAATGTTTAAAAAAGCAAAAATAAAAATATCATATTTTGTTGAATACAATGTGGCTTTACTTACGTTGCGTAAAAACGCCAATCAACAAGAAAACAGCTAATGGCAGCATGTTGGATAATTAATGCGAGCCGGGTCCAAAATAAAATCAGGAATGAAAATGACAGCCTTTGCTCCCTTTTTATATGGGCCGGATTCATATCTGTATTTGACCTCGGCGAACAACTGTTCACATTTCTTACAGTAAATAAACGTAATGACGTTTCTATTCTGCATTTTGATGAGATAGATATAAGATAATCAAAATTGTGTAAATTTAATTATGTAGCATTTGAGTTAAATGAGAAAGAATGATAAAATTAACATACGTTAATAATGTGATGATTAAAACGTATAATAATGATGATTGAATACTGATAATATGTGACAATAATTAAAGAGATATACGAAATCTTTTTATTATGTCTCTTATTATATAATATATTATTTATATTATATTATATATTATGTATATAAATATTATATATTTAATGTATTGTAATTAAATATATATAATGTAAGTTAAATAATCAATTTTGCAAATTGAAGAGATATAAAAATATAGATCTGTATATCTATCAACAGTGTTGGGTAGTATCTATAGATACAGTATGTAGATACATTTTGTGTATCTGAGTCTATATCTGAGATATATTCAAATTGAAGTATCTTTATCTGTATCTAGATACAAAACATGGTATCTGAACTGTTACTTTTTTCAGATACATTTGCATATACATTTTCACATATTTTTTTTAATAGCTCAATTCTTTAAATTTTTAAAAGATCAAGACTACAAGTTATCAACATATTGTCATCAACACCGGTTGAGCGATTATTAAGCATTGGTTAAATCTTAGTACCATGGCGAAATAGTTTGAGTCATATCTTTGAGGCATTTTTCATGTGTTAAAACTAACGAATAAAGTCGTAATATAAACAAAAATATTAATAAAGATAAAAGAATTATTCAGTACATTTGTGCATATTACCATTATTATGATAAAATATAATTTAAAAGTATTTGCTATGTGAGATATTTTTAAAGTATCCGAGTATCTGTATTTATATACATTTTAATATGTGTATCTGTATCTGCATCTAGATATATTTTTTTACATGTATCGAGATACATTTTAAATGTATCTTATCCATCACTGTCTATCAATATATATATGTAAATTATGTGTGTGTATACAATATATATACATATATTGATAGATATACAGATATATATTTTTATATTTCTTCAATTTGCAAAATTGATTTATCTTATATTATATATATTTAATTACATATTTTTTATTTTACATTTATATATATATATATATATATATATACACATAATTTACATATATACATATATTGATAGATATACAGATATATATTTTTATATCTCTTCTATTTGTAAAATTGATTATTTATCTCAATGAAATACTAAGAAACCTAAAAATAATATTGTGGTAACAAATTAATAATACAAATTAATAAACCATAACGACAAGTTTTGAAATAATCAATTAAATAGGTGACTAATAAGAAACGAATAATTTTTTTAAAAGAATATAAATTTAATTATTTATTATTTCTTTCTTTTTTCATCACTCTTTAATAAGAACATAAATATTCTTGATTCCAAGTTTTAGGATTTACAAAACAGAATTTCATCATCAATTGTTATGTTGAATTAATGATTAAAAATAATCATTGAATAATCATTGATAATTGTTAAATGATCGTTAAAAATATTTTCTTTTTGAATGAATAAAAATCTATTACGCTGTGTATGTTCTAATTCTTTTATTAAAGAATTAAATAATACTATAATTCTTCTCAATAAAAATTATTATTATTTTAGTGGGAGACATTTTATACATTTATCAAAGAAATATCAATCTATTAGATTTAAGCATGATGTTTATTTATTAACATGTAAAGTACATAAGTTTCTTTGATTTTCAGGATGCCATTGATGCAGTTGCATACATCTCGACTTCACAATAACATATTCTTTCGATGCATTGGGAAAAACTTCAAATTATAAATTATATAGGTTTGTGCGGGTTATTCCTTATATCATGTCAAGATGTGTCTAATCTTATTGTGATAGAATCCAGGGGCGAAGAGAAGGAACATTGGCATAGGCATCAGGTTCACCTTGAGCGCAAGGCAAAACCCAAGAGGTAACACCAATTTGTTGACGATTAGCAACCAGAGGGCCACCGCTGTCACCCTGAGAAATGCAGAGAAACGTTTTCATTAATTTTTATTCGCTCATTTTATATAATTTTATATCGTAATTATTTTTTGCAGTCATACACATATTAACAAACGGATTAATTATCAAAACCATCAGAATAGAAGAGATTATTTCCATATTCAGTAATAGACTGGATACTCACCTGGCAAGCACCAATTCCACGTCTGTTTAAGGCGCACAAATGGCTGTTATCCAAAGGCATACCTCGATGTCTCTGCTGACAATTAGAGATCGAGACTACAGACTGGTCCATCTTCAGAAGATATCGCGAGAGATTTCCATTTGTACTTGTCAAACCCCATCCGGACAAGGTAGCTGACGTACCGGAAAGTGGCTGGGAGGTGGCCAAGGCGATGGGTTGTTGATATTGGTTGTATTGAATTGGCGCAGCAAGCTAAAACAATGAAAACAGATAAACGAATAATTGAAATGGAAAAAATAATATGAAAAAGGATCAAAGTGTTCTGTAATATGTCGACTTACAGTGATCACAGCGACGTCATTTCTCCAAGAATCCCTTTGCTGACCCGTGTATCCGGGATGTATTACGAACCTTTGAACAACGTGGGTTATTCCCCCTCTGCTATCGGTGGACCCGGTAACGACACGGAAACTGCTAGGGGATCTAAAACTCTCCACACAGTGAGCAGCAGTCAATACCTTGGTGGGAGCGATGATGGAACCGCCGCAAAAATGTGAGCCGGACTGCTGCAAGGAACATTGCCATGGGAATTCACCCGGTGCGGCCTGCGTACCACCGACGATCGCCTCGGGTTCGTCAGCGAACGTCTCTATAAATTGAGGTAACAATCATCTATAGCTCTTCTAAAGCGATAAGCATATATTATTTTAGAGCGTTAAGCAATGAAAGAAAACTAAGATGGATGAACAAAATATTTATCGAAAGCAACAATAACAAAAGTATATTTTATTGAGAATATTTTCGGCTCTCGAAATCAACACATATATATACAATATAGAAATATTACATTATATATATATATATTATATATAATATTTTATTGAATTATACGATCCAGATTTATACTTACGCTGCGCAAGAACGCCGACGAACAGGAAAATCGCAAACGGTAACATGCTTGATGATTAACGAGCCGGGTCAAAAATAAAACCGGGAGTGTAGATGACAATTTTTGCCCCCTTTTTATATTGAATTCATATCTGTCTGACCTCGGCAAACAACTGGTCGCATTTTGTACAGTAAGTGAACGCAATGATGTATTTTACACTTTGATGAGGTATGAGAAAATCGAAGATTGCAACTTAATTAAGGCATATGAGTTAAATGAGAAAGAATGATAAGACATACGATAACAATATGATGATTAAAACGTACAATAGTCATGATTAAATAATTATAATAATAATGATGATCAAAGAAATATATATCAAAAGTGATGAGTGTCTGATATGGAACAAATTATTTTTACTAGAATAAATCCAATCATTCTTCATTTCTTTTTTACCATATCTCTTTAATGAGAACATAATCATGTGATTTTTATTTTCTTTATAAATTATAATAAATTTTTAAATTTACATAAAATTAATTTATGACTAATCATAATGTTGTACTTATAAATGTATAATTATAGAAAAAATTCCATTTACATTCAAGAGACGTTGATATGAGAATTGTTATAATTAGTTGATTATCGATAATACATATTTTTTCAAGTTTTTAGTAACTAAATTCTTAAACATTTCAATATATGAGAATCACAAGATATGTTCAAGATAATAAAAAATACATAACTTTGTTAACAATCAAATTTGATAGCCATCAAATATTAGAAATTGTAAGTTTCTATTATAAACTGTCAATTCAAGCTTTTTTCGATTTCGAATGATTTATAAAACAAGATTTAAGATAAGATTGATAAATAAAAGAAATATTTTAAATTCGTTGTTCTGCTTACCTCTTGTTAAAAATATTTGTTATCTTAATATTTATCACACAAAAAGTACTAAATTGAAGAAAAGAAAATAAAAGAAAAAACGCATAAAAATTCGGAGTATAAAGAGAGTTAAATGTTAATATAATAATTTTTCTCTTTTTCAATTGACAGTTTAAAATAATAAGCAATTGGCAAAGGATAAATAAAATGTCTTTCTTTTTTAAAAGAGGGGATTGAATGAATTTATAAATAATATTTTTCGAAACGAAAAGGCAATCATTTCAAATAAAAGATAAAATATAATTTTTTTACGTTTTCTAAAAAGAGTAAATTGATATTACATTTAATAAAGAAGAGAAATAGATTGATTTTATTTATCTATTATTACAATAATTTATATTTTATAAGAGACTTCCTTATATATTTGTATTTAAAAAAATATATATTAATGCATTACACTATATATATATTATTATACTTATTGTTAGTATATTAATATTATCTGTATTTGATTTTTAATTATATTATAAAAATAGTTTATTAATAGTTAGTTTTTATTTAAAATTGAGGTCATATATTGAGAGAAGTTTTAAATTGAACAATTCTTATTATACTTAAATTATGAAGGAAATTATATTTATTATCAACATTCGTGTGTGTGTGTGTGTGTGTGTGTGCTAAAATTTATTAAACTGTACAAATATGCAATAATAATGTATGTTTAATCTGCCGTCAATATTTTGATAAGGAATATCTCGTTTTATGTATACTGATGATACAATTCTAGGTTGAATCAATTGCATACATATATATCTTAATTTTAATTAATCAAAAAATTAATTTATACTGTAATTATTTAATTAAAATTATTGTTTAGTTGAAAAACATTGACAGGGGATTTTGTACATTTATTTATTAAAAAAACAAATTATTAAATTAAATCATAATATTTATTTATTAACATTAAAAATACATAAAAATTTATTTTCAGGATACAACTACTGCAATTGCATGCTTCTCAACATCGCAATAGCATATTCTTTTGATGCATTGACATGAATTGACATGATAAATCAAATATGTTCATGCCTCATATCGTGCCAAGATGTCTGCCTATGATGAAGGATTATTTGCCTAGAATGAACTTCCTATGATGATAGACATTGTGCCAAGATGTCTGCCTATGATGAAGGATATCATTCGCCTAGAATGAACTTCCTATGATGATAGACATTGGTATATACATCAGGTTTACCAGCAGCACAAGAAAAAACCCAGGAAGCAAGACCCACTTGCTTGCCGTTAGCGACCAGAGGGCCACCGCTGTCACCCTGAGAAATGTAGAGAAACATTTTTGTTAATTTTTTCGTTTATTTTTTATTTAATTTTATTTCGAACCCTTTCAATAATTGTATTGTATAGATTAGATCAATTTATCGTTTATCAGAATAGAAAAGATTATTTAACTATAAACATTACTGGATAACTCACCGAGCAAGCGCCAATTCCACGACGATTATACGCGCACAAGTGACTGTTAGTCAAAGGCATATCATGATGTCTCTTCTGACATTGAGAGAGCGAGACTACAGACTGGGTCATCTTCAGAAGATACTTCGGAGATCCTCCACTTACGGTTGTCTGACCCCATCCGGACAAAGTACACACCGTATCGGGAGTTGGTTGGGAGTCAGCCAACTCGATGGGAGATTGATATTTGTTGTATTTAATTGGTTCTGCAAGCTGAAACGAAAACGAATGATTAAAGTAGAAGAAAAAAATTATTGAACAAGATATATCGACTTACTATGATCACAGCGACATCATTTACCCAAGAATAGTCTACATTATCTATGTAACCCGGATGTGCTCGGACTTTTTTCACACGATGGACTTGTCCTCCTTTAGTGTTATCGTTGGTCCCACTAAGAATATAGAAATTTTTGTAGGGTGGGTATACGATGCCTCTGACACAGTGGGCAGCGGTTAATATCGTGTAATTATTGACGATGGAACCACCGCACATATGTTTGTTGTTTACATTCAAGGAAACTTGATACGGGAATTCACCTGGTGCGGCAGTCGTCCCACCGACGATCGCCTCGGGTTCATCAGCGAACGTCTCTAAATCGAGATATATGCCCAGATAGCCACAGTAATTATTATGACATCATTTTGATGTCAAAATGCATCATTTGCCATAAAAATGATTACTCTGGTTATCTGGGTGCTAATTATACATATATCTCTTTATACATGTCTCTTATAAAAAAAAAACAATAAACATATATGTGTTAATTTAGGGTGTTTGGTAGATGAAAAAAATGTAAAATGGATAGAAATATTCTGTTGAAGACAGAAAAAATAAAAGTATATTTTCATTCAGTTATATGACACCTTATTTATCTATTAATGCAGCTTATACTTACGCTGCACGAGAACACCGACAAACAAGAAAATCGCTAATGGTAGCATGCTTAATAATTAATGCGAGCCAGGTCGAAAATAAAACCGGAAATGAGAACAACGATTTCTCTACTCTGTTTTTATATTGGAGTCATGTCTGTTTGACCTCGACGAGCAGCTGTCGTATTTTTTACATAAACTTAAATAAACGCATTGACGCTTATAATCTGATGAAGTAGATATCAGCAAAAATCAAAGATTACAGACTGAATTACATTGTATGAATTTAATGAAGATAATCAAACATACGTTAATAAAATGTGATAAAATATACAAAATATTTATCTATTATTCCAGAATTATTTTTTATCCGGATAAAATGTAAAATATCAGAAAGCAGGTAGAAGGAATTAATATACATATTTATTTCGGCAAATTATTATTAATAATATACAATAATACTTGCTAAACATTGATTAAATAGATGAATTCAGAGTATTTCGATATGAAAATGCGCATATACATACACACATTTATATGTATATATATATATAAATGCTTGAATAAATACTTAACTAGGTAAAAAAGAAAATCGTCTGTGGAAATAGGATAAAACCGAGAAACATTTTTTATTGAAAAAAAAGAAAGAAGCATATTATCTCAGTCGATTTTTATTAAAATATATGGTTTCTATATTGATTAAATGAGAGTTTGATGTCAAATTACATTTTTTATACATATCTGATTTACTATAAATTCAAAGTATGTATAGCAGTTGTGTGAATATATATATATATAATCTTGAAAGAATCAAGTGAAAATAAGAGAACTGTATATGTATATGTTTATTGTATTTTTATAAAGAGAGACTTAAATTTTAAATATATTTTAATGCATATTATATTTAAAGTAACATTTAAATTAAATTTTTAAAATTATTTAATTGAATGAATTTATACATTTATATATATATTATATTATGTCAAAATATTTTTATAAATATATATAAATATATTTTAAATAAAAAATATAATAAATATATATATATATATATATTGGTTGCATTATCGACGGTAGATAATTTGATAAATTTCGAAATCCTGCGACTGCTCATTCTAGGCCGGTCGAAGCATGCGCTAAGTTAAAGGTTGGGCAATTACTTTCGCTCAAGCACATGTGAGCACGAATACATTATAACTGGAGTGCTTGTTTATAACGTCGATCTCTTGCAAAATGACACAAATCCCGCAGGAGGACAACGAATTAAAAAGATTACTTAATAATCCGGCGAAAAATGCATGCGAAGATGGATCGATGGCTCCACCGTTATCGGTAGGCTATAAAAAACATTCGATTATATGTATACGAAATTTTTTAATACACACGAATCTTGCAGACTAATGTACCGAGGCCAAGCACGTCGCAAAATGTCAATCCACAATCGATGATGAGCGCAATGACACCGGCTAATAGCGCGAAGGATTTTGTGGACCCTTGCTTACAGTTAGTCTTGCAACATATGTTTTATATAAATATACTCTTGTTATGTGTCATGCGTAGCATCCTTTCTTAAAATTAATACATTATGTTTTTAGGAACGTAGTCTCCACAGTTAACTTGCAAACAGAATTAAATCTCACTTATATTAACATAAGAACGAGGAATTCTGAATATAATCCAGCGAGGTTCACCGGACTGATAATGAGAATACGGAATCCAAGAGCAACAGCATTGATCTTTAGTTCGGGCAAATTAGTATGTACAGGTGCGAGAAGTGAAGACGATTCACTTTTGGCAGCAAGAAAATTTGCCAGAATAATCCAGAAGCTTGGTTTCTCTGTAAGTTACATTCAAAGAAACATTTTCTTTTATATATATTTAGAAATAATCTTAAGCTTTTAATTAACGCACTATACTTTTGTATTTTTGCAGGTAAAATTCTGCAATTTCAAAGTACAGAATATTGTTGCAACATGTGACATGAAATTTCCTATTAAATTGGAAGGTTTGTATCGGCAGCATGCTCAGTTCTGCAGCTATGAGCCAGAATTGTATCCCGGTCTGATATACAGAGTGTTATTACCTAGAGTGGTATTACTGATATTCGTGAATGGTAAAGTTGTATTAACAGGTATGTCTGAATGTCTATTTTAGCTTATAATAAATATTATAGAGAAGAAAAGATTCTATCAAAAATTAGCTTATAATATATATATATATATATATATATATATATATTATAAGCTAATTTTTTATAAATTTGTTATATTTTGCAGGAGCGAAAAATAGATCTGAATTAAGAAGTGCGTTAGATATTTTATATCCAGTATTCCAACAATACAGAAAGTATTAATTAAGATATAATCTGTTTGTGGACACAACAAATTGCTACAAATAAAATAAATACATAACAATGTAAATATATAAAGATAGAAAAATTAATTGTATGACAAAGAAATAATAATTAAGTATCTATAGTTAAAAATTTAGATAAGAGTATTATGTACCTTATCTGTATGACAGTGTATGAGATGAAAGGAAATAAGATTGTATTTTGTACATTTGTATAATAATCTACATCTGAGTAATATCTTTTATATGATATGAGATGATGAAACATTATGATTAATGATATAAAACAGATGTGTGGTTTGATATGTCTATGTATTCTGTGATTTTATGTAATACACAATTTATAATTTAGACACACAAAGGTTGGACGTTCACTATCAACATTTTGTCGATTGATTAATTTAAGTTAGCATTAAAAAACTATTAGTATTATTATGAAAGTGCTTATAATTAACTTTATATCGACTCGGTTAAAAAGCAAAAGATAGCTCGATGACTTTGACAAAAGTATTAAATTGACTCTGTATTAAATGACTGTATTGATAAAAAAGACCATTGATTCTGTAAAAAATTTATAGATTTTTTGTATTTTATATAGTTATTATATGTATAATATATATTTATTAAATTATTAATTTTTTATTATAAATATTAAGTTTAGTCGATGAAAAGTTGATAGTATACACACGTCCAGCCTTAGTAATTCTGATTAGGCAAGATTAAGAACATTTATGTTTCTTGTTAAAATATATATTTCAGAGACTTTACACGATAATGAAAATAAACATTATATATATCTCGATATATTAAAATAAAATATAATTTTTAAACAGAATAATGCATATGTCATACGTAGACAGTTTATACAGTGTTTACTATACCAGGATTATTTTTATATATGAGTATATGTCGACATTTACATAACAGTAATAGATCTTTCTTTATGTAAAATTTGAATGTAAATATTTGGATATGTAAAGTTTAATGGAGCATTCAATCGTTATCGAATACAGATGTTTTATAGATATTGCGAAATATTTTCGAATTCTGCAAACCTTACAAAACATCTTTTATGCATCCCCATGGATTGAAAGAATATCAATATATGTCGAAAAATTGATCGCATGAACTGTAGTCTTTATAATGTTAAAATGTATACACATTTATATGTATCTGACAAAATCTCTATACATATCAACAGCTCTATGAGAAGAAAATGTATATGTATGTGTATATATCTATATATATTTATTTTAATACCCGCTGTTAAATAGCCATAGTGGTCCATTTAAGAACTTTGTTCGTGCATCATCAGACTTGGAAAACGTACAACATTTCACAATGTTTGACGCTTTAACGCTGCGTAAATGCGTGTATATTTTGTTTATTATCTGATTAGGCGACACAACTATTATCTGATCACGTTTATGTTAATCGAATTAAAAGCCCCATTTTTTTAGATTTTCAATTTTCTCTCATTGTCAGTGTATTTTTAATAATAATGAAGTATATATATGTTTCCATTTTCTCCTCGAGCGATCTCGCACACGTTTACATAGTCTCTAAATTAATCGACCACATGTATACCCTTCTTCGCAGCTATCGGTAGTTTCTCCCCTTGAAGGAATAGATTATCTTCCTGGAAGAAATGTCAATGTAATTTTAATGTTTAATTTTTTTCTATGTATAAAGATACTTTTTGCAAAAGTGTTCGCAGAAATTAACACGGAGTGTCTCAGTTACCTGGAATTGTTCGACGATTTGATCGAAATCGGAATTCGTAATTTGCACATTGGACAGACCGTTGCTGTTCCCGGCATCGTTGGAGCACTCCAACATGTGTTCTGTATCGCACATGCAGTCCTGCGCGCTTTGATAATCCCGGCTAAATGCCGCGGTGTTCTCGAAATTGGTCAGACAGTTGTTCTCGCCTGTAAGTAAACATTTCCAATATGTTCTCTATGCAAAATTATCATTTTTCCTGAGATTTTGTTTAAGAAAAAACAAACATTTCCCATTATGTTTTTAAATATTAAAGCTCAACAACTATGATGTCATAAACGAGAAAACACACACTAAAAATTAATTCTTAGATGCCGTTTCAAAAAAAAAAATTCCAATGAAATAGCACTTTAGATAGCTTTACACACTCTTAGAATATATTTTTATTTAAAAGTGGCATCTAACAATAAGAATATTCAGCGTGTGCTTTCTCGCTTCTGACATCACAATCCAACGTGGCCACTTTAGAAATTTGGAAGATATAGAACAGAGTGTACACATATACTTTAGATTTTTATTTTTAATTGTTTTATAAATTTCAAACAAAAAATTATTTGGTCGACAATTATAAAATTATTTAAAATTAAAAAAATTAAAATATTAAAATCCAGGAGGGGAAAAATCCAGGGGACTAAAATCCAGTAGTCGAAAAAAATAATGTAAGTCTGAGAAGCATAGATATAGAGTAGAATTTTTACAGAATAATTTTATAGAATTAGAAAAATTTCGTAGCATATCTTGATTTTATCGAGATTAAAGATGAATTTACTCACTCGTGTATCCGACTGGACAGGGATTCGGAGGGGTGCAATAAGCCGGCAAGGGATTTTCCGTCTTCTCGTCCTTGATCCCCTTCAGGCCGGCCTGAATCCTGTGTCTGTCGTTGCCCTTATTATTATTATTATTATTATTAATACGATGATGACTCCATAAAGTGCTATGTTGCAGATACTCCTGATCCCGTATACTCGGATTCGGATTCAGCGTGTCCATGCCGTCGTAATCGGTTGGCAACTCCAGGGGTAGTTCCTTCACCTTCTCCGGATATTCCAGGTACGGGTCGCCCGCGTTAGCGAGCTCATTTCCCATCTGATTGATCAGTTCTCGCAGAAGGGCATCGGTCAATAGACTTTCCTCCTATAACCGTATTACACGTAAAAACAGAAATTACTTCTCCCTGTCGCGGTAAAAAAAATTTTATATATAATTATATATAAATAATTGTACGATTATGCATATAATCGTAAAATTATATGTGAAATATGTCTATTTTTATACATAATTATATAAATGTATATATAAATTATAAGGATTCTTATATAATCATGTCAAATTATATATGAAACATATATATTTATATTGTATATTAAGAAATACTTATTTATTATATATATATAAAGCATTTTTATCTAATTATGTATGGACATAATTTATATATAATTTTGCGATTATATGCATAATTTTATATATTTCTATATAATTTTATACAGTTATATATAAACAAATTTTTACCGGGGTGAAACCGAATGGCTGATTGACTTCTTTGAGATGTGCAATTGTGTCTCTCATTTACGGATTTTTATTTATTTTAATTGGTACAAGGAATAATTAGAGGCTATATCGGGAATCTTTTCAGAATTGTAAATCTCCTTGTTCTTAATTGAGATATGTACATATGTAGGAATGATTTCAAGGGAAAAAGTAGAGTCGAGAAATTTCAATTATCACTCGCGCTGACTTCGAAGATCAAGTTTTGTTTCACAGAAATAAATTCCTTTCACTTTAATTCACCCACATTTTCATTCCAGGGTATTCTCATAATTACCTTGATCGAGGGCAAATAGACGTTCGCCTGTGCAGCAACAACGATCGAGAGGGATAGAATGTAGTACAGCATGATGATGGATATTGCACACTAAAAAAGGAGCATGACGTAATATTATCAAGTAACATATAATAATTTGTATATTATTTTACATTATATTTTTATAGTATATTATTTTAATATTATATTTTTATATATATATATTTATATATTTATATTTTTTTCATATTATATTTTCTATATTTTTATAAATATATATAAAAATATAAAAATATATAATACAATATATAAAAAATTATTAGCATTTTTATACAAAAAATATGATCGCAACCACATATATTATATATAACATTTCAGTATCAATCTGACAATTTATGAGATCCAATTTCTCGTACGACGAGTTTCTCTCGCTATCTCTAGCTAGTCTCGATTCTCTCGGAGCGCGTTAATTAACGTAGCTGTATATATTTGAAATAGAAAACGAGCGAACGCGCGCCATGGCAGAGGGGATGGAGCCGTTTCACTTGTTTTTCCCCTTACGACGATATTAAAACTCACCGGCTGACCGGTCGACGAAGTGGCTCGCGACAACAAGGGGCAACCCCGAAGCAGAAATGCGGAGCAGAAGATGTCCTCCAGAGGAGAGAGAGACGCCGGTCTTCGCACACGCGTGTATCCACCTCCTCGTCGACGTCGTCGTCGTGGTGGTCGTCGTCGTCGTCGTCGTCGTCGTCGTCGCGACGAGCGCCATTCGCGGTTCCCGCGAGTACCAGAGTATTGATTTTACCCTTTTTCCCATCTCGTCGTGTAGTCGAGTTTTCCCCCTCGTTTACGACCACGTTCCGACGACGTGTCACGTCGCCTACATACGGCTGCGGCCGATCCTCCCGGCCAGCCAATCCACATTTGCGGAATCGGGTCGCTGCCAAAGGTCACCCGACGTGACCGATGTGCGTCACGTGGCCACGGGGAATGGGGGCTTACCTTTTGGTAGCGATAGATGCGGAACGCGCTGATGAATGGCACTGATACGATACACTTCGAGCTATATAGATATACGAGAAACGCGTCGTTTACTTTTTTTTACATGTATATGTCAGACGTGGATTTTTTTTAATTAACGCAGGGAATAATTTCTGCACATAATATTTACAGGACAAAAATAGATATATGTATTCTAATATATATTGTATGTAGGAAAAGATATATGTAATTTAAAATTTCTATCATGTACGAAGTATTCATAAAGTTGCATGACTTTTTTTTCAGTCAACTCGACTCGAGGCGAATCTTGCGATATTTTTTCGAATGTATGAAAGATGTGCGAATATTGAAATTTTCCCTGCTATTGCTGGCAGTTTTCTTTTTAATTTTGGTACATAATTAAAAAATGCAAATAATTGACACTAAAAATATATATATCTTTTCTCGATGCAAAATATCATCCGATTAATTAATTAATAACGTATCGGTTATATCCGCTTACCTAAATGACATTCATGAGCAACGTTACCGGGTAAATGTGATTTGTGTGCAGGACACGTCGTTCGTATAATCCGATATAAAAGCCACAGCTCTCTCTCTCTCTCTCTCTCTTTCTCGTATCCTGAAGTTTCTGTCTAGCGGCTATAAAGTTCATAAAGTATACGAGGTCGTTTTGTTTCGTACGCGGACAACGAAACGCGCGAGTTAACGTCATAAAGGATGTAATTTCTTCTCGCAGAGCAACATTCTCCCTCCGAAAGTGAATAATGTCGTTTCCTTAACTGCGCGTTTCTTCACTTCCGGGGATTAACCGCATACTAATCTCCCTACAAATTTTTATGTAGTAATTTTTTTAACGCAATATGTAAAAGGAAGAAGGATGATTTGTCAAGGTAAAACACTTCGAGAGAGAGAAAAATTATTCTCTTCAATTTGAATTCGTAAATTCAATTTAATATTAAAATACAGGACATTTTTTCTTTTTATTTATGATTGTTTTAGCAGGAAATAAAAATACAGATCAGAAAAAAATAAAGACAAAAGTAAACAAAGTTGGCAGAAAATGTCAGAGTTACATAAAATTGTTGGAGATTCATCCCTCATCCCTCTCGTAATTTCCATATATCGCTTGCTCTGCTCGACATAAGTTTTCCTCGCGTAAAATTTCTTCAAAATTTGAGGAAGGATAAAAAGTAGGAAATTTTATAAAGGCTCGGTGAACCGATATACAGCGGCAATCGTTTGTCAGGCCGACACTTTCATTAAGCGTATCGGTTATATAGGAGGGTTTAAATACGAAATACAGAGGGAGAGGAAATGGAAGATCAAAAGATCCTTCCCTCGTTGTTACGGTCGCATACAAACGTCCATTAATCGTTTGCGCTCATTGCGTGCCGACAACTCAATTTTCAAAATCAAATTTTATCCCCTCCGCTTCTCTACAAATTGATTATATTAATTATAATTCTATTATAAAATATATATTGTATATTATATATTATACAATATATAATATATTATATTATATATTATAAAATATATTGTATATTATGATGTATATCATATAATATATATTATATATATATATATAGTATATATCAGAAATATATTTAAAAATCGGAATTTTTTTTGTTCTTATACAATATATATTATATATTTTATAATATATAATATAGTATATTATATATTATACAATATATAATATACTATATTATATATTATAAAATATATTGTATATTATAATGTATATCATATAATATATATTATATAATATATATTATATATATAGTATATATCAGAAATATATTTAAAAATCGAAATTTTTTTTGTTCTATTAAATTTTCAGTGGTTTAACTTTTTTTTTAAGTTTTGACTAAATACTTTCTCTCTTTAAGTTGCGCGTGATACGACATTATTGATTTATTAGCGCGAGGATCGCTAAACCGATCGACAATTTGTCGGACACGAGTATCGAGACATTCTTGAAGCTCCACGAGTGATCTTCAAGCATGAAAAGAAGTCTCAGAGTCTCCCGATGCCGAAGATTCCTGCACACAGTCTGAATTAAATTACACATCCCGTTCGAATTATTCCGAGTTTACCGCGCTAATCGCACCTTGCGTTTATTTTTATTTTTTTTTTTAACGCGAGATAATGATTACAGATATCGTCCGGTGGAATCGAGGGGGTTGATAACACAACGTAACCGGAAGCGAAGATCGCGGCGAAGCCAACCGACCGTGCTTATCGTAGGCACGATATTTCATGCTTAATGTACGGATGGATCGATGATGGAACCTACCGTGGACGTATCCGGTCGACGATATGCTCCCGTTACTTTATTTAGGTTTCCGGATATCACTTCGATGTATATTTATACTGCTGTGTGGTGAAAATTTCGCCCGCGCGCGATAAACCGCAACAGTTGCACGCAAAATATTCTGTACATCTCTCGAGCACATCAGTTTGTTCGGAAGCTGCGCGAGCCGCGATTCGACGAAAGCTCTCGGCAGCAATTACATATATTCGGATATGTGACGAACTGTCACGTCATTAAAATTGTCAGAGTCCTAAATTGCATAGTCGAGAGATGAAGGATTTATCTCCCGAATAATTAATAGCTCCGCAAAACTGTCAATTCCAACGTTAACAATCGTGTAAGTCTCACTTCATTATTACCTGTCTCTTTCTCTTTATTCCGTTGCGTATACAAGGTGTCCCAAAACTCATAATTAACCTTTCAGGAACGGAATCCTGGGATCATTCGGGAACGATTTTTTCCTCAGCGGAAATGTCGAGGGATGTCATCGTTTTTTGCATGTTCCCAATTTTTGTATCCCATCATCTATTTTTGTGACTCACAATATACCTTAAATTAAAGTATTATAAATTCTACTTGAAATTAATTGAAGAATGTGCTTTAATATTTTATTTCTACAAGGCTTAGTTTGTGCAAAAAATTCATTTTTAAAAAATTACTGGTGCCTCGACATTTTCGCATATGATCCCAGGAATTTGAAGATTAATTGACTTTCGGGACACCCTATAGTATAAATAAATAAATAGCAAAAAATGGCTATTTTTTTAACAATAAGGGGCGTAATTAACACGAAGGTGGATCTCGCGATTCAAGGATGTTCTAGCGTCAGGAACATCTCGGAATTCCTCTGTCGGCGCGATTGCGGGCAGAGGGTGCAAGGGGGCGAAGGGGGTGAAAGGGGGGCGGCAAATGCCGCGTGCGTGGTCGGCACTCTCTGCGTGGGGTTGTTACGCTCTCTCCTCCGTTTCTCTCTCTCTCTCTCTCTTTCTCTCGCCGGTCGCGAGTATTGATCTCCGCCCGGAGGCCGCTACGTGAATGGGTTACCGGCTGTCTCGCACCGTATCGCAGAATTTTCGGTCGGTCCTCATCTCCCCGTCCTCGAGAGATCTCTCTGCTTCCCCTTCCTCGTTCTTGAGCTACCCTCACGATAGGGAGCCTTTGTATATTTCGCTGCTGGCCACCGGTATCAACACGCGTCACGCGTACTCTTATCGCGGATAATATTATATATCCTAGGTAGAAGCCCGGAACAAAATTTTTGTATATAATTATATATAAATAATTGTATAATTATATATGCATATGATCGTAAAATGATATGTGAAATATGTCAATTTTTATATAAATTTATTATATAAATTATAAGGGTTCATATATAATTATATGTCAAATTATATATGAAATATATATTTATATATATGAAGAAACACTTATTTATTATATACTATATATATTTAAATTTATCTAACTATATATAAAAAGCACTTTTGTCTAATTATGTGTGGACATATTTTATATATAATTTTGCGATTATATGTATAACTTTATATATTTCTATATATATGTAATTTTATATTGTTATATATAAAAAATTTTTATTTAAAACTCGTATAATGACATCACTGATGACGTCACTTAAAATTCATTTTGGAAAAATTTTTTTTTATATTATACAATTATAATAATATATATATATATACATATACATAGAATAGATATATATGCATACTTAATATACAAATTTTATTACAATTATTTATAACATATATGTATATATAATTATTTATTTGTTCTATTGTTCAGACATATTTTAATAATATATTCAAGCAACATAAATTATATAAAAATTATATAAAGCGATTATCTTTTATTGGGGAGCTTTAAATTTCTGATTCCTTTTGTCATCTTTAAATTATTTTTGTTCAGATAACTTTTAAGTGATGAATAAAATCACGATGACGTCATTATGAGTTTTATGTTCTGGGATGAGATACGATGTACAGGATCGAATGTACAGGAATAAAAAAAGAGAAAAAGAGAGAGTGGGTGCGGATTGCCTTTTTATCGCACGTAGAGGAATAACATGTAGCTCGTTTGATGAAAAAAGGCGATTTTTATTTAAATACTCTCTCTATTTTATAATAAAAAATAATCAAATTGTTTTTATCCCCCTAATGTTCAACGTCATCATTCGAGCTTTAGATTTATCCGAAAGACCCGTAAATTAACTTTATTAAAAGTTGATCCGATATCAAATTATTGTGTATATAAATTTTTTTTCGTTTTATTATTTTCTCTTTTATTTTAAGGGTTTTATGTAATACATATATACACTATGTCATTCTCGTAATGGCAAATATTAGCATATTTAGCGAGTCCGCGTGCGGTAGTGATAATAAAGTTAAGCAGTTTAACTGAAGGCAAAATACGCGACAAATTGTCTCGTATAATTGCGTCTTAAAGATTATATAAGGATCCAATGCACATATTACAATTTGTGATTATCATAAATACCAAATATTTAATATTACTTATATATGTAAGTATAACTGTACAGATGTGTATAAAACTGTGAACATAGGAAAAGAATTTAACCAGCTGACACAATTCTTGATCGAATCCATCTTCAAAGTATCACGGCTAGGAATTGACAGTGACATTTCTAGAGGTTGTGTACATACATACATACATTTGTTGTTAAATATTTAGAATATTTATTATTAGAGGAAATACGTAAAGATTGTTCGATATACGAGGAAAATTACTGTAGAATTTTAATATACTATAATCGTGTGCAAAATTAATCTCAATTAATTATCATGACAGACGACCATCTATGTGTGCCGTGTAGGAATGAACGAACATTATCGGTAATAAAATATTGCTCGTATAATCCACGGTCCAATTACTTTTCAATTAAATCATTAAACAATAAATATGGCAAAATTTCATATTTTTATAATTTATATAAATATTATAATTTATTATTTATTAATTTATTATATTATTATATTTATATATTTTATTATAATTTATTATTATTATTTATTATTTAGTTAATATGATTTAAAACATTTTAATTTTATTAATAATTTTATTAAAATATTTTATTGTTTTATATCAAGTTGTAAAATATGGTGCTCTTTTGCTGTAGTAAACCTATAAAATAAATTACATATGTATGTATACAACTTTTTAAATAATGTCTTAGCTTATCTTTCTCATGTTATAGAAAATATAATATGATTCTGAAATATAAATTTTTTCTCGCACGTCCCGCTTATATTTTAGACAAATTCGTGCGATTTTACGAGCCGAGACGCGACGTTCGATTTAAATACATACGAGCCGTATCTCGACAAGATTCGAGAGATCTTCGTGCCGAGTCTGGAATACAGAATCCATTCCTTGTTGGAAGAATTCGTGTACAGCAGGGATTCTCGATGGGCCGTGCAATTTCCATATTTCAAGAAATTCATCGACGCGATAGTCGCCTGGAGGGATCCTCTAATCAAAGCGACCGAATACGATATCGGGACGATGGAAAGAGCGATAAGAAGTACCGTGAAACGCGTGGCGAGGAACGACCTGGTTTCCTGCTTCCTGGATTCCATTATTCTGTATTATAGATTGAACAAAATCTGCCGCGAACTCGACGCGCTGGGAATCGATGACGATATCCTGCGAAGTCTGAACATGTGGAACTTCGTTAACGACAAGGATCGCGTTTGTTTCACGTACGTGAATTTCTATTATCTAAGTCGCGTCTCTCGATCAGTGTTTGCTGTCTGTTTATCTGAAGAAAATTATATATAGATGATTATCTAGATGAAATTTTCGCGTCATCTTAAAGATGAGATATAAAGACATATAGATGATAAAATATGTATTATCTATCTAAAATGTTAAATGTGTGAATTTCTATTATCTAAAGTCGCATCTCTCGATCAATGTTTGCTGTTTGTGTATCTGAAGAAAATTATATATAAATGATTATCTAGATGAAATTTTCGCGTCATCTTAAAGATAAGATATGAAGACATATAGATGATAAAAATGTGTATTATCTATCTAAAATGTTATCTTTACTAAATTATCTAGAATAATCCCAAGTAGCAAACTGACGTCATTCGATGTCAAAATGTGACGTATGTTTGCTATCTCTCAACCAGGGTTTGCTGTTTGTTTATCTAAATAAAATTATACAAATGATTATCTAGATGAAATTTTGGCGTCATCTGATCTTTATATAGATGATAAAAATATGTATTATTTATATCCTCGTTAAACATCAAAATGTCATTCGACGTCAAAATGACGTACGTTTGCTATTTGGGGTGTTTAAATAATTTGATTTAGTACATAAAAATACTTAATTAAGTAAAAGAACAAGCAGTAAAAAGCGATAAAAATTGATAAATAAAAATATAAATATATATTTACATTCTTTTCTATAACTGTGCGTTAAGCGGTCTTAAAAATAATATTATCTGGAAATTATCTATAGATGAATTGCCATATATATAATTTTATCTTTTATCTAGATTTTATTTAAATCCAAATTTTGATATTTTCATCTCATCTTTATCTAGTCAATTTTAAAGTCATCTAAGCACAACACTGCTCTCGACACGACTATTTAAATCGATAAAATTCCCGTTTAATCAAAAAGTTATTCGCCCACATCGAAATGAACTGATTCCATATCGCCTATTATCATGTAAGGAAAAAAATTGTACCGAGCTTCACTCGATAGGAATCCCGATATGGATTGTAACGTGAGTTCGAAGTCATCCTGCGACGCGAAGGGACAAACCAGATGTGAAAGCGCCATCGAATTAAGGACAAACATCGATTGTCCTCTTGGAAAAAAAATCGAACAACCAACGACGTCGAAATGTTCTCAGATTGTTGACTCGAATCAAGATCTTCAACCAAAAGGAGATGCCTATACACGTGATAAGGAAGCCATAAAGATGAGGAAATTGAAGATGATCGTCCGAAAGACGTATCAGGAAGATTGCAACACATTTTCCGGATCTGTCGTCACCTGCCTGGGTCTACCTTGCAAGCCACGTGATTTAATTGAGCGAATCTTCGAGGCTGATCCACCTTTGGCCGAATCCTGCCTGATAGTGATGAAGCGGAGATTTCTGATGAACATATACAACGTTTGCTCGTGTCTCAACGATCTTCTCCAGAAATTAGACGTCGAGTTTGCGAGAACGTTGCATCTCAATTGCGAGATACATCCCGGATATGTCGGTTTCAGGTTGAGAGGCCGCAAGGTCAACAAGTTCGTCGCCAGGATTCCGATATGTCAAAATGTTCGCAGACGTACGATTCAACGGGGCTCCGTCGTCTCGACTCGCAGCTCGAGTTTAAGTAGGGATGCTGAAGAAGGATCAAAGTGCTCCGAACGATGCGACAATGAGGGTAAAAATTTGCACGATACACTCTCATGTGTTGACGAAGAGAGCGAAGAAGAGGATGACACTTGCTGTTCTCCAGCGGATCGAGATTTCAAAGACACGATAATGTCGCGAAACGAGTGTCTTCAGGATCTTACGACCATTGCTGAAGAAACGTGCAACGTGACACCGAACATTGATAACTCGGGAGAAACAGATGAAAATTGTCACGAGATCTCTTTGGATTCGATGGAACTCGAAAACTGCCAAAAAAGTGAAGAGATGAAATGCGAAGGGAAAATTTGGACGAATGACGACTCGAGTTCGTCGTCGGAGAATCTCGTCGAAATGAATCGCGGAATCGAGGAAATTCCCAGCGACAAAGAACCCTCGAAATGCGACTGTCAAACTCGATCATTGGACAGAGAGCCGAATTTGGAAGATTGCAATGCTCATTCGTGCAGTATCGCGTCATTCCAGGACTCCGAGCGCGACAAACAGCTGGTGGAATTGAGCTGCAATCGTTCCTTGGACAACGACATCATCGCGATCGATGAACGATTGGAGGACGATGATTCGTTAAATTCTGCGCGGCCGGAAATTGGAGACTCCGCGAGTCATCGCGATGATTTCATGATCATCGATAGCATTCCGGGCGTCATCGCTTCCCTCTTCGAAGCCTCTCGGGAGGATCTTGATGTGATTTCGGTAAAAAGAGCTCTTTCCAATAAGGATTCGTCTGAGGATTCGCTGACGGTTTCCGTTCGAACATCCAGGTTACGAGTGTCATCGAAAGGCATCAACGTGAACGTGAGTCGTCCTCGAACCGTAGTTTGCTCGACATCCGAAGAAGATGCAAGCTTATCCGCGAAGATACGAGACGTTGAAGTGGCGGATAAACTTTCCGCTCCGACGATTTCGCGAAAAGTGCGCGAAATTCCGCGCGATAAGAGGCTCTCCGATAAAACGCGAGGTTTTATTCGGCCATCAAGGGGCGACTCGAAAAGTGTCGATATCTCTGAGGAAAAGCATCTTCGCGCGACTTCTAACCCGGCTCGGTGCTGTAAGTTTATTGCGAGCGAATTCGAAAAGTCTCGCGAGTCGGGAGGAAGATTGTCGAAGCTCCGCGTAAGCTCATCGAATGGTTTTCGCAGTGCAACCTCCTTCACGAGGATCAAATGCGGAACGGCATCGCGTAAGGATCGCTCCGCCAAAGTACGATCGCGAACGATGCTCGTGAAATTTCGCGACTCCATCGACAGGTCTGTCGACAGAATAAAGCGTCTGATTCACGCGAGACTGAGAAAAATCTTGTTCGACGGAACTGAGAGAAATGCTTCGAGAACCTCTTGGAAGGACGAAGAATACTCCGAAGATACTACGAGAGTAAGGACAAGTGGAAGATGCGTCAGACAGGTATACATATATCTTTGTAAAAAATATATAATATATACAGGGTGTCTGGCAATTTTTCCTCAACAAAAATATTGAGGCATCAATATTTTCAAGTTATAAGCGATTGAAAATGAAGGGTTTTTCGTCTAAATTAAGCCTTGTGGAAATCAAATATTAACAAAACCACGTTCTCCAATTAATTTCAACTAGAGCTTACTTTAATAAAATTTTAATTTAAAGTTTAGTTATAAAGATACATGGCAAAAATTGAGAATATGCAAAAAGTGATGCCCCTCCTCGACATTTTTGATAAGAAAAAATCGTCTTCAAATACTGAGATCTACTTGTATATTTTCAGAGTGACGCTTTATAACAGACACCCTCTATAGTATAAAAAATGATGTATAACATACAAATATACATATAATATAAAAAAATATATTTACCCTTTGTGAAAAGAAATATCTAAAGATTTTTATACACATTTTAGTTTTTGATTTATTTATAAACGAAATAAGAGATCCTTTTATTCAACATCCAACATAACATAAAATGCAATAATCTAACAATGAAATAATGAATGTTTAAAACAGCTGAAAGACATATAAAAAATATTTATGCAATGAAATATTTAATCTTCAAGATTAAGGTTTAATTATTATTAAATTGTCTTTCGACATTTTAAAATAATTTTTTAAGCTTTAGAATAATTTTGTGTTTTATTTACCCATCTCTAATAGGACTACAGCATAACTTCGTGCTCAACTTCCAACTGTTGCTACAGACACAGTTGCATTCTATCCTCGCGAGAGTCTTCCAACGTGATTCTATCAATCCGCAGAGATCGACATAGAAAAGGAATGAAGTTTTGCGATCGTAGATTAACCGGTGGCAGAGAAACCCTGTCGACTTTTCGCTCGATCGAAGCTTCTTACGATTCGTTGACTTCCGCAGTCGAGGATCTCGAAGAACGAAAATTGAGCAGAGGCGATAGAAGAAAAAGGCTCGAACGAAGTGTCGCGAAAAACTCTCGCGACTTTAGACAAAATTACACAGGGACAGGTACAACAATTTCCTCGACCGAGGTATCCGGAAACGAGTCGAGGTACCTTCAACATTACGCGATCAACGAACAGCGGGAAAAGACACGTGACGTTAAACGTGACCGAAAACGTAACGATGAAGGAATACGTAACCGATGGAAGAGAGAACATCAAAGATTGGTGTACAGAGAAATACCGATGAAACTCTTCAGCAACGAATCTCTGGGAACGTCATCGTACACTCGGAAAAATCCAAAAAAATCCAAGAACGTGCATAAACAATCTCGATCTGACAGATCGAAGAGGGGATTCGCATTTTCGGGCAAAAATCGGCAGATGGAAAATGTAAAAAATCGTCTGCGTGAAAGACGGGTTATTCAGGTTCTGAATGACGTCTACAACGATTACACAGACGATCTCGATCTGGACTTGAAGTTGCACCTGTTGCGATACGTGGAACTCTGTAAAAATGTGAAGCGCGCGTTGACGAAGACGCTGCGATCGGATTTTTACGAATTTGAGTACCCCATGGCAATTTACGGATGAGTTTGATCGACGTGATAATTTCGTGTCGATGATGTAAAATAATATTGCTAATATATGTCGCGTAATAAAACACTCTCTCAAAACATTTATAGTCGCTGCTAGAATTACCTGGAAACAGCTGCTTGCTCAATCTTTTCCCTCTACGAAATGAAAAATAATAATAATATATTGCATTTCTTTTATTACTTTGTCTTCAGCTTTTATAGAAAATAAAAATTCATCTTTTATACTTTTACAAAAAATAAATCGATTCAAAGAGAAACAGATTAAGCGAGAAAAAGCGTCTGGAGTCCCATAAAATTCTTTTTATATCACGCATATTTCGAACGTGACCGAGATGACGAGATATATTGTTCAAGGTCTCGAATAAAGATGTTGCGGAGCACATTGATCGCGAGCCTCTCAAAGAATATGAAACGAGGGAAGATGGGATTCACGGCTTGAAGTTGTAAATAAAAGTCAGGTCTATACTTGGAAAAAATGTTCTTTGACGAAGGAAATATAGTCTCCTTTTTTCGTGCTTTATTCGAATCATCGAAGGGCTATTGAGCTTCATCCCTCCTTTACGAATTAAATCGTTATTCCCGCGGGCGTTCGTCGACACGTCAGGATGATAGTGAAATCCGAGTTATTTAGGGCGCACCGCCGAAAGAGAAAGATAAAGCATTGTACCAGCCATTGAGAACACAGCCAGCATCCCTGTCCCTCCGGGCAGATCGATATTTCCTGGCAACCACCGGAAAGAGTGTCTATTCCCTTCTCCGCCTCCGATCCCTTCTGTTTGTAACAATGCAAGTCGGAGAATTTGGGGGAAAGTTCTCTCTCTCTCTCTTTCTGTCATTTTTTTTTTAATTTTCAGCATCCATTTTTATTCTTTCTTATGGAATAAGGCGAAAGTCTTTAAAATGTCACAGAATTATTGATCTTTGCTTTAATGTCAGATGCCTGCGCATGTTTAAAGTTGATCATTTATTTGGTCATCTAAGAGGAAATTTGCTATTACAATTGTTTTGCTAAGTTGCCGATTTTATTCATGCGATAATATTGAATAGCAGATGAGGTGATTGAAATAATAAGGGGTTGCGGCAAGCTTTTATTTTAAATTTGATATTAAATTCATTCATGATAGGTACAATAATGTAATTCTAATTCATTTCGTAATTTTTAGCATCTTCTTTCTTACGGAATAAGGTAACTGCGAAATCTTTAAAATGTCACAGAATTATTGATCTTTGCTTTAATGTCAGATGCTTGCGCATGTTTAAAGTTGCTAATTTATTTGGTCATCTAAGGGAAAATTTGCTATTACAATTGTTTTTTTTAAGTGAAATAAAGATTTTATTTGTGTGATAATATATTGAATTGACAGATGAAATGATTGGAATAATAAGTAGTTGTGGCAGACTTTAATTTTAAGTTTAATATCAAATTCATTCACGACAGATACAATAAAGTAATTTTAATTCAGAACTTTAGTTTGTGTGTTAAAGAGTCCTCGTTCTTAATCCTTCGCAACTCGAGAATTCGACTATAAAGAGTCCGGAATTCCGCACTGAGGAATCTATTATCAAAATAAAGTTTCGGTATTTTAGATATTAACGTTATAGATATAATCTCCCGACGACACCCTCATCTTATACGATTACAGGCACGTCTCGAGGCTTTCAAACAAATATGACACTCCGTCCTCTCATCCCCCTTCGCAAATTAGAAACCAAATCCAACCCTCTAATGGTCCCGCTCGATTATCAAGTCTTTCAGGAGGGGTTGACGGTATTTTACTGGGAACCTGACAAGTAACCTGGCCGCTAAACACGCTCGCGTTATCCCGTTTTAATACCTTAACGCCGTTACGATCACGCTTATTTCCGTGTGCCGTTTTGTTGTTGCAAAACTCTCAGCCCGGGGGTGCAGCCGGGAAGCTCCGCCTGGGGTCAATCCAAGGGGGGTCGCGAACGCTGGTGATTGGCCGGTGATATAGATGCAACCCAACGCTCCAATCGCGGGCATCCGCGCCGGGATGCGCTGACGCGGTGATGTTGGAACTCAACTTGGGTTGCCAGCGACGCCGACGCCGACGCCGACGCCGACGCCACCGTCGACGGAGGCGGCGGTGGCGACGACGACGACGACGACGACGACGGCGACGACGTCAGGCGACGTCGACGACGTTCTCCGTCGCGTACCCCGCGCTACTCGTCACCCAATCCGCTCGTAATCGCGTCTGGACGAATTATTGGTGAGTGCCCCGCGAGTTCCCGCGAGTTCTCCCACTCGTCGTCGCGTTTTTCGTCCGGTTCTTTCGATTATTATCCTTTGAAAAAATACATTTTCGAGAGGCGATTCTCCATTTTCCCTCACGCGAGCAAAATGAGAGATCCAGCCGAGTGTTATTTGGATCCTCCGTCTCTTTCGGCTGATGAAAGACGCGAGGGAATGATTTTGAAAAAGGTTCGACGACGAGTGATAATCAATCGACGCGGAGTGATGATCATTTTTATTTCAATTCTGAAAGTCACTTTTTTCATTCCGGTGTTTAGTCGTCCATTTTTTTGAAGAGCAGGAACCTCGAGAAGGATTCTGTGATGAATAGAAATGACGAGAAAATTATTTATCTCGTGTTCGCATCTGCTTCGCCGATGGAATAATCGGAAGGAATTTTCTCGACACGTTCATTTTAAGTGAAAAGTTTTTAGCTCCAAAATTCTCGTGACAGATCGCGAAGAAATTTTAGTAGAAATTTTGCTCGTATGCAATTTTCGAGAGTGATTCGTATCTGAGAATGCTCTCTTTTCGTGATGTGAGAAATGTGGAAGAGAGAGAATCTGAACATTTGAAATGATCTGAACATTGAGAACGGAACATTTTTCAGTGCTGGTCGAGTGTGAATTTTCGGATATGTCGTGAAAAATCATCGCGCGAGTGAATGAGTACATTAAAAGTTTCCTGAATTTCGACTATGAATTATCCAGAGGTTGCCCGAGGCTGCGAGACATTTCAGTCAACCTCGTTTGCGCCATTCTTCCGCCGATTAGCTGCAAATCGAGTTTCCGTTTTAATTGGGATCCTCTCTCTGAATATCGCGCAGTAGATCCTTCTATTAGCCCTATTTATCATCTATTCATGAAAATAAGCTTTATCTCTATCTCACAATTCCGAATATTTCATTATCTTCTTCATATTCAGGGAATGACGTACACAATTTTAAAGAAGTTCAAGGAGAAGAGAGTAATATATATTCCATCCTCTCTGTCTCACACAATCCTGATAGCACAACATATCCGAAAGATATTCAGAGGATATCCAGAGAACATCCCCAGGATGTTCTCTGTACGTCTTCAGGATAGTATGCTATTAGGGAATCATCAGAAAAATTACAACTCTTCTATTTTTTTTAAATTATACGTCTGTATTGAAATTGTATTTTTCCTCCCGAAATTTTCTACTTTTAACCGGAAATGACACGAAGTCGGTGACTCGGAGTGTGAGAGAGAATATCGCTCAACGTCCATTAAGTTGAGTCAGCGTGTCCCATACTCGTCAATCTCCACCCCGATTCGTTAACACGCACTGTGCATTTTGTCGCCTATTGTCTGTCACGTGCCGTTTTAATATCCAGAGAGCCATTGTCCTTCCGATGCGCCTCTTTACGATCCCGGCGCAGCACCCTCGTAACGATTTTTGCAGGCTCCGTCGACGACGGCGACGACGATGACAAGACTATCGCGATGATGGGGTGCAAAGAAAAGCCTCTTTTTGAATGCAAATTGCGAGGAAAAAATATATATCAAAGATGTAAAAAAAAAAAAATAAAAAAAGAAAAAATACACGCAACTGCATTGCAAATGAAATAATTTCATTAGAGAGAAAATATTAAAGTGTGCGAGGGCTATTTTTAGCGTTTATGTTGTTGGAAACTCGCAGTCTCATCCTAGATTATCCTAGATTATTTCCAGAAAATCGCTGAAAATTCGCGACTCATTTATTACACTACCTTGTTTGGACGCATCGGGATGCCTTGATTTAAGGATATAAATCCTGTTAAGATTTTACAATTTAAAGCGACGAGATATACACGATTTCTCTAAGTGAAAAATATGAGCCCGGTGTACGGCCGGCGAAACGTTTCTTCTCACAGTTTTCCGCCCTCCGAAGATGCTCCCTCGAGAGTTCGGGGATTAGGGGTGGAGAGACTGCCACTCCAAATAAACAGTCCTAGCCGAGAGTCTCCCCTTCGTCGTATGCCGTTCTATAGAGACGCTATATATAGGTATAGAGCAGACTTTCTTCCGAAAGGAGCCGCGGGTGATCGAGATAGCGAAACGAAGCCAGCGAAAGCTATTTCTGATGCTAATATTGGAAATGGCCTCTTTTTCTCTCTCTCAAATTATATGTTTATAAAATGTTCAATCTCGATATAATTTTGGGAGATCTCTCTTGAAAGTGCGATTGTGAATATTCGAACGATGTTCCGCTTTACTTGAATTACTATTTAACATGTTTCGTTTGTTGAGTTAGAGAGGTGCATATTATTGAATTTTTTGATAAAATTGTGTACACACAATATAGAAACCATTTTTTTTAATGAATGTTTCACAGGGGCTGCCGATTAACATCGCGATCCTACGAAATCCCAGAGCAACCCCAATAATTGGAAAATGTCCGGATTCGCAGCGGCGGGTCTCGTAGCCTTCGACTCCATCAAGAATAAAGCGTCGCTAAAATTATCCGAGTAATATTTATACACATACTATTTATATCTATACACTGCACAAAAATTCATTAAATTTGAATAAATATCTATTTTAAAACTGCTTAATAAAGCATTTATTTGAAACTAATATTGATTTGATATAAAAAATATTTATTTGATATAAGAAATTTATTTGTTTCCAATAAATGATTTATTAGGTAGAGTATTGAAATAAATATGCATTAATTTAATCATTTTTTTCAGTATAGAACTTTAATATACATATATAAAAATTTTGTCTTGTGCAAAATTACTCTAGACAATTATTTTTAATTTATATATAATATTCTTTCAAGTAATATTCAGTTTTTTTATATCACGCCGTGAATGCAATATTAAATTTAATCAAAAACGGATTGTTTCGAAAGCGGCAAAAGTTAAAAAATTGTTAAAAATCTAACTCAGCAAGACAATTTTTTAAAAATTTCGATTCTCCTCTACAGACTTAGAAGGAAGAAGGATCAAGGTTACGAGGAGTTCGCAGGCTCGCGCGAGGGTAGCAAGGACAATAGAGGGTTCGAGGATGAGAGAGGATACAGCAGGCATGCCTCGTTCGAGTCGCTTCCGGAACCGGAAAGGCCACCGTTACGTCATATTGATACATATTGCATGCCGGAATGTCCGTGCCTTTCCAAAAGGTACACTATCGCGTCGCTGGCTTGCGTGGGTAAGAAACAACGAATAAATCCGTCATTAATTAAATTACCTAGAAAATCCAGTCTCTTTTCACGATAAACTAAGAATTTTTAAAAATATATAGTGAGTTTTCTGCAATGCTTTTTATTTTTTTATATCTTTCTATAGAGATTATTTTTCTATTTTATTATTCTTTATATTTTATTATTTTATTTCTATTTTATTATGTTATTTATATTTTATTATTTTATTTATATTTTATTATTTTTATTTATATTTACATTTTTATTTATTTTTATATTTATTTTCTATTGTTATTATTTTAATATTTTTCTAAAGAAAAATTTTGGAAACAATGTGTCTCACTCTATCCTGATGGCGAATTTCAGGATTCATCATTTCGTTCGGCATGAGATGTAACATGGGGATGGCCAAGTTGGTGATGAAAAACAGCACGGAGGGCGAGAACAACACTATCAAATTCAATTGGACGATCGGCATGGAAAGTGCTCTCGATTCGTCCTTCTTCTGGGGTTACCTGGTGACCCAGGTGCCCGGCGGCTTCCTCGCGTCGTTGTATCCCGCGAACAGGATATTCGGCGCCGCCATCGCGACATCTTCCTTCTTGAATCTGCTGGTACCCGGCGCGTTGAAGGTGGACCCTATCGTTGACATGATGGTGCAAGTGATGAAGGGACTGGTCGAGGTGAGTGTCTGAAAAAGTTCACTTCGAGGATAAGAATATGCTCTGTAAAAGATACTTATATGCAATTTATTTATTTTAATGTGCAAAGATATTCTTTCGCGCATTTTTTTTACAAGTCAATTTTACAATCTGCAGACAATGTAACTCCAATATCGATCGAATCAATTTAAAATAATTTATCGGATGCTTGTCTTTTTTAAAATAAGAAGAGGGATAATATAATGAATAATTTAATTAAGAAAATAATTAATAAATTAAAAAATAAATAAAATTACAATTAAAAACATTGAAATCATTATAATGAAAACAGATGACAAATTATACTGTAAATCTTTGAATTGAATCGCAATCCGTTAGTCAGTCGAAGTCGAGTAATAAGCGGAAGTTGTCGCTCAGGGTGTCACATATCCGGCGTGTCACGGAATTTGGAAATACTGGGCGCCGCCTTTGGAAAGATCACGTCTGGCCACGTTAGCATTTTGCGGATCTTACGCCGCGATGGTGATAGGAATGCCACTTTCCGGCTACTTGAGTGCCTGGTTCGGCTGGACGGCGTCGTTTTACTTCTACGGTAAGCAGTGTTGTGCTTAGATGATTTTTAAATTATTTATATAGATAAAAATGAGATGAAAATATGTAAATTCATCTTAGATTTTAAATACATCTAGATAAAATATAAAATTATATAGCGATTCATCAACTTCCAAACATGGGCGTCCGCAGAGGAAGGCAAAAGGGGACATTTGCCACCTTCTAAGATTCAGTAAAAAAATTAAGCATTTACTTTCCTTGTGAATAAACACTGGAATTTATCTGCAATTTTATTTAATATCTCTAATAGCATAGCACAATATATATCCGAAAGATATTCAGAGGATATTAAAAGGATATCCAGAGAGCATTCGAACATCCTCAGGATGTTCTCTGAACGTCTTCGGGATACGTGTGCTGTTAGGGATAACAATATTAAAATAAAATAATAAAATATTAAAATACAAAAATAATTAAAAAATTGAATTTAAAAAATTATGAAAAAATAATATAATAGGAAACAAAAAAATTTAATTATGCCCCTTCCTGGAGAAAATTCCTGCGGACGCCCGTGCTTCTAAATTATTAATAATATATTATTTTTAAAAGCGCGCTTATATTTTTATATATTTTTATTATCTATGTAAAGATAAGATAACGTGAAAATTTCATCTAGATGATCATCTACATAATTTTATTCAGTAACAGCAAACACACACTGATGTTAAGGAAACATCCCCCGCATCCTTTCAATCCACGTCGACGTCGACGACGGCAGTTGGTGAAAATCCACGAAATTTGAGATATTTTTTTGATCGAATTGCAGGCATCTGCGGCCTGGTTTGGTACTGTTTCTGGCTGTGGCTGGCGTTCGAGAAGCCGGCGAAACACCCGTGCATCTCCGCCCGCGAGTTACGCTACATCGAGGACTCGCTCGGCCAAGGACAGATGCAGATACCGGTGCCCACCCTGTCGACGACGCCTTGGCGGAAGTTTCTCACCTCCATGCCCGTGTACGCCATCATCGTCGCCAATTTCTGCAGATCGTGGAACTTCTATCTGCTGGTGCTCTTTCAACCGCGCTTCATGCACGAGTCCTTCGGCATGCCGCTCGTCGAGGTCAATAACACATATATGTATAATCGTCCGCAGAATTTTTTCTAGAGGGGACATAACATTTTTTTTCTCATTTTTTATTCTTTCTTAATTTTTTGAAATTAAAATTAAATTTTTTTATGTTAAATATGTCAATAAATTCCAGTGTTTATTCACAAGGAAAATGCTTGATTTTTTATATATATGTGTATAATAATTTTGTAATAATTTTTGAATTGCTTCGTTCGACAGACTGGAGTCATCGGGTCGCTTCCGCATTTATTGATGACGATGATCGTACCGTGCGGCGGGCTGCTGGCGGATCATCTCCGCAAACGCGGCATCATGACGACAACGAATGTCAGAAAGCTCTTCAATTGCGGTGGTTTCGGCATGGAGGCGCTCTTCTTCCTGGTGGTGGCACATGCGACGACGTCCAAGAATGGAACCGCGGCTACGGTCGCCCTCGCGATCGGCGTCGCGTGCAGCGGTTTCGCCATTTCCGGTTTCAACGTCAATCATCTGGACATCGCGCCCAGATACGCCAGCATCCTGATGGGCATGTCCAACGGGATCGGTACCATCGCTGGTCTTCTGGTCCCTTTCTTCGTGGACAACATCACGGAGAAGAAGGTAATTCATTTTATTATTTATTTTAATAATTATATTATTATTATGATTTATTTATTTATTTATTATTAATTATTTATTTATTTTCTAAATTTATTCATTAGTGTATCAAAAAATGTGTGTCAAGAGGTGAATTAAAAATGAAGAAAATATTGTGGTTGAATGACACAAATTGAAATATCGGAAATGAAGGAGTAGCTTAAATACAAAATTAGAAAATTTTATGACCGTAATTATCGGTCTAATATATGTAACGATCGATTACAAAAGGGAAAAAAAATTCTGCGCAGGATCCGCACAGTTGGCGAAACGTTTTCATCATTGCGGCGTGCGTTCACATGTTCGGAGTGACGTTTTACGGGATTTTCTGCTCCGGCGAATTGCAACCCTGGGCCGATCCGACTCTAGAGGAACAGAAGTCCTGGAATGCCATGGACGAGTTCGGACAAACGAAGCCGCCCGTGCCACCTCCGCCGAAAACTATGCAATCTGAATTTATAGTAAGTGCTTCGACAATTATTTCCTCATTACACTTTTCATACATGTTTCCAAACCATGTCAATACATGGTCTAATACTTAAAAAATTTTTTTAATCCTTTAGTTCTTATTGTCAGGTGACATTTGTTTTTAGCAGGGTTGGATATATAATAATTAGTTAATTAGTTAAAAGTTAAAAAAAAGAGTTAAAAAGTTAATAACTTTTAATTTAGCTTAGTTAATTTAAAATGTATTAATTTTTAACTTTAACTAGTTATTTTTTACCTTAAACTTATTAACTTTTTTCCTAAGTTAAATTTCTTTCATCTCTGAATATTATTAGTATTTTTTTATAAGTTATAAACAAATTATTTTTTAAATAAAGTATTATTAATTTTTATATATATTTGTCATCAATTGTAATTACCAAAAACATATATTTCTATATAAAAATTACTTTATTTAATTCAGTTAATTTAATTTTAACTGAGTTAATTTTTTGTTCATGCAACTTTTAATTTAACTAAATTTATTTTATAAGCAATTAACTTTAACTTAACTTATTCTTAGTGTACAAAAATCATTAACTTACCCGCAACCCTGAAGTTTTTAGTAATGCTGCTATCTGTAATATTCTCCATTTCTTAAATTAATTATTGCTTAATTTAACATAAAAGATTAAAAACATTTCAAAAAATTGTGCAAATAAAAATTTGCACATTAGCATCCTCACCATATTATTTCGCTAATTAGGATGATTTTCCAATTAAGCTTCCTTATAGAAGAAGCTTAACTTGCACATCGCTTGATCACAATTTAATTTCGCTCATTGACTTTTTAAATCATGGCAATTTTTAAAATGATATATTATATTTGGAATATTTCAAAACTTGAAAACTTATATTTGAAAAAAAAATTCAAAATTTTATAAAAAATCATTGCATGAAATCACTCCGAATTGAATATCAGTAATTCTTGATGAAGAAAGCACGCAACAATATTATTTTTGCAGAAACAACCGTCCCACGACGGAGTCACCGACGACTGGAACACTTACGAGCAGCCGGCGCCTGATAATTACTTGTACGCGCAACAGGACAATAAAGCCCCCGTGATAAGCTACGGTTCGACGGACGAGACCAACAGCAACAATCCGTTCCATTCGACGAATCCGTTCGCCAGTGACGTCAGCGCGTCATTCGTGCAACCCCCGGCGACGGACGACTATGCGCACGACGTCGTGCACAATCAGCAGTGGAATTGAGAATGGTCAGCCTCCGGATAGAGAGATCGGATACGAGAAGAGTAGACTGCGTTTTCCCAAGAGGTTGTAAGTCACTTCTTATCATTAGCCGTCAAATCCGCCGGTTCCTCGGACAAGCCGCGTTCGCCATTAAACCGGAACTCGCGAAAGTCTAATTGTAAGATTCGTCCCTAATCAGATTCGTCCCAAGTAGCAAACATACGTCATTTGAACATTTAATGACGTCAGTTTGCTACTTGGGACGCTTTTGTTTCCGAGGGAGAAAGATCGTCTCCTCGTTTTGAGGGAAATCAGGTAAACGTCTCGTTTGATTTTCTCTCCTAATAATTCTGATGATAATTTGAAGGGAGTGCGAGATACTATAGACGTATTAAATGCAATTTAATTTTAATTACAACTACCGTTTGATATTAATTATTAAATTGTTTAACGAAACTCGCAGCGTGTCTGAGGAACGTAATATATATAAATAAAGTTTTAATGATTTAGTGATTCTTTACGAATCGCAAAGTGCAGATAGTTAAATGTTAAAATGCACATTTTTAAGTTTGACGTTGAAGACTCTCGGTAAAAAGATATCCGCGATTTTTTTCTCTTCTATTAAGTGTAATATCTAAGAGTGCAGAGAATGGCTATGAATGGCTACGTGAATGATAACCCAAGAAATGACACAAAAGGGATTTTATCTCGGCTACGTCGTTGAAAATTAACGAGATTCATCGACAGTAGATGAATAATCGAACGATTGTTATTTATATAAACTTTATCGGAGATACATATATTCTTTACAAAACGTTTTGCGATAAACGAGGAAAATGTTTTTCTCTAGTTTTTGCTAGGAGGAAGGATTTTAGATTCGCAATTTTCTTCACCGGCCTTTGTGCATATTATTTTCAAATCAAAGTAAACGAGAAACGACGTCGAAATTTTAAAAATACATCTTATATAATTAATAATTAATCGCGTTTAATATTTTTTGAAAGAGATGCGATAATTCACAAAACACGACGAGTACATATTAATTCTTTCGTGAGATACATTAGATGAAAAAGAATGTTACCCTAATTTATAGGACATCGACAGTCTAAAGAAGATTCTTTAAGTCATAAAAAAATTGCAGAATGTTTAATTAGGATACCCGATATCCGCGAAGTATTTGCGAATGTCTTTTTTATAAGAGAAAAAAATATTAATAGTGGAGATGCTGCTTATACAATATATATTAGTGACGAGATCGAGATATCGTCCCGAACTGACAATAATAATTCAAACCACCTTAGACAATAATATTCTCCGTGGACAATAATTAATGGCTAGGTTTGAAGGAAGAAAAAATATAGCAATCGCGAGAGAGATCTCGATGAGCGCAAACATGGCTCAATCGCTGAAACTTTTAGATATTTCTTCTTCTCTCCCTCCGGGTTTTTCTTGTGACTTTTACGATTATTATTAAGTTACTCACGCGAAGAAACATAGCAATAAAGAAGGGGAAAAGTTTACAACTCGATATAATAAATCAATATATTCAAACGACATAAATCGTTTGTCGAAATTATAAAATTATACGCGCGACATCTTTACGCACACTTGGATGTATCGAATATATAATTAAATTTGGAATAACAAATGGAATTTTATCCGTATAGCATAAATATTCGGAGAAATTATGTTTTAAATATATATATATTATATATATTTATTTTGCATATTCGAGAGTTGCAGTATCCAATTTTCCGGATACTCCTTAACTCTCGAAGATATATGTTGACATATGACACAAATTAGATGAGACTAAAAAGTGTTTACGAGAATAATTAAGTTTGTGAGATCCTGAATGAGATATTGAATTATCCAAGAAATATCTAGAAAAATTCAGAATATTTATGTTATATGGATATTGCGTGTGCGAAGAGTTGATGGGCAAAAGAAGCATCGAAAAACCGCAAAGGGGAAAGTGGAACTATTACTTAATTTTTCATTAATATTCGCCAGAAGCAAAGTGCGAGAGATATAGCAGAGATCGGGACGAACGTAAAATTGTTGATTGAGTTCGCGACGATTGCGCAAATCGAAATTCCAAAATTGATTTGATATCTGGCGCGAGTTTTCTCACTATCCGAGACAATATCTCTGAAAGTATATAGCAGCCTATAACTTGAAACGTATTGAAAGTATTCGTAAGACAGTGATAACGAAATGAAAGTAACATAAGAAAGTACCGATAAGCTATTAAGTAGACAAATCGATGAAAATGAAATATACAAAGATCAAAATAAGATTGAGATATTTAGAACAAAAAAAGATATATATATATTATAAACATTGTCTAGATGTATTTCATATATTATGCATACACATACACATACACACACACACACACACACACACACACACACACACACACACATATACATCTTTCACTCTATATAAATATATATATGTATGTTCTTCATGATCATGCATATGCGTGATCAAAGGTTAAAAACGGGACGCATACAAGGAAGCAGAATGAAAAACATACGGCGCAGATCGCGCCGAGTGAATGATGGCAAAATAATTAGGTCTCTCGAAACGGCTAATTTCGACTGTTCCATTTTTTGGATACGCAGAATATTCGATATTCGACGCACGCGACAATAATCCGCTCTTTTAGAGAAAACCAAAATTATTATGATTTCTTTCGACAAAAATATAAGGACGAAAGGATATGGAGAAACGAGGCTGGTATATTCATAGTTCGATCTTACATTTAAGATCAACTTAAGTCTGCTCGAAGAGCTTGGACTTAAGACGATCTGAAATATAAGATTGGACTATGAATACCGGCCTATATCCCTTGTATTGTAATCGGATAAGAGAGAAAAGACCCTTAACATGAAGCCTTATTGTCAATTAATTTTAGACGAACTTTGCTTTCAACGCATAAACTTTGGACTCGGATAATTAGCGTTAAAATTAGCGTTAAAAAAGGATATTAAATTTTTATATATTTTTAATCGTGAAAATTTGTAGAGGGAAAAAGTTCTTTCAGTTCTCCAGCAGGAACATTTACACATCTGCTATTGAACAAAAAACACTCTCCAATTGCAAATGAGCATAGAAATAATTTTTATAGGTAACGAAAATTGAACAAAGGCGCAATTAACCGATTCGATCGCCTATAGTGCTGAATCTAATCTGATGTGCGTTTACGTTAATAAGTATAAGGACATCGTAGTACAAGTATGTTGAACGCCACGTGCGCGTGTGTATGTCATGTGAGCCTATACAAATTGAGTAGCCTAGATTTTTCCGTTCTTTCCTTCCAAGGAGAGAATCCACAAAATTAGTCAATTTTACGCGAGATTCGCCTTTTTAAAAATACCTACCGATATGATGAGATGTGTCGACACTTGTGATATCGGCAAGTATTGTCTCGCGTTCTCTCGTCAGCAAATAAGATTAGACATATAGATATGTCGTGCGCGTTATACATTATATATATTATACGTTATTATGTTGTACGTTAATGTAAATGTAACTATATACACTGATTTATACATATATATAATTATTATATATATAATTATAATATATATATAAATCACACATGTCATAGATGTATATTGTATACATTAATGACAGCAATGCGCGTGGATGATTGATATATTTAAGGATGATATATATTTAAGAATGCTTGATTAGAAAGGAGAGAAAAAGAGAGAGTGAGAGAGAAAGAGAGAAAGAATTACAATTTATTACATTACGCAACATTAGGGCATAAAAATGCGCTTCGAAGTATTGATTATCGGGCGTTTCACTATATACGACAATAATACTTAAACTAAAGCCTGATGCACATGTTAAAACAGAGCACCAGATTTAAAGTTTAATTATTTATTTAGTCACACGTGACTTCATTACGTCGATATTTGCGAATTGGGGTGTCTAGAAATTCGCTCGACGAACGGACTTGTCAAGATATAGATCATAAATTTACTTTGCCGTAACGTTAAAAATTAAAATAAATATTGAGCTGCCAATTGGTTCTCTCAGCCATGGAAGGCAAAAAGAAACAAATTTGATAAGTTATTTTTCGAGAATATAATTTGCGGCAAGCTCTTTAGAATTTTCAAATACAATCTTACTTTGTATTTCTAAGTTTGATAAAATTATTTTAAAAATATATAATATATTATATATATATATATATATATATATATATAATAAAAAATAATTTATACAAAAATTAATAAAAATCATACAAATTATTAATAAGTAATAAATTCCGTTATTTTACAAGCATTTAAACTCGTGCTTTTTAAAGTTAATAGAAACTCCGAAAATTATCAGAATCAATTTAATTTCTAATTTAAAAAAGAACAATATTTTTTTTTTTTAATTCAACCAAGTCTCAGCCAGAAAGGGAGGCCGTTTAAAGACAAAAGGAAGAGGGAGAACATATTCGTCGCGAATTACCAAACACCCCCGCACACACGCAACGATAATAATCTCACTTCGTGACATCGATGACAATGCGGGACGGACATATAATGACAGGTCACGATTAGAACGGGCTCGCATTAATGACGACACGAAAAGTGCACGACGATGCCGCAACGCACATTTTGTTTTAACTCGGTGCATCGACCTACGTTTTTAAAAGGGGCCCGCGGGATGATAGAAAGTCGGAAACACATTTGCGACACGCTTGAAATTAATGATAGACACGTGATAACTGTCATCTAAGCGCTGTGTACCATCTGCGTCACTAGTTGCGCCAGGGAAAAACGATTCGTTGTCAGGCTGGGAAAAAAAGCGGATATAAAACATCAAACAATGACAATTTGCTTGAGGGCAAAATTAAAAAAAAACGAGAGAAATGAGCGGAACACCGCTTTCCCTCGGCAAATAAGTATAGTAGATACACGCGAAAATTATCATAATAATCTGAGACCAAGCGGGATTGCAGTGAAATATAACAATAAAAATTTGAGAAGTATTAAAAAAATATAAAATATAAAAATTAAATTTATTGTTTGTAATATTATATTTATTTTTAATTTTTTAATCGATTTTTCTCGTTTTTCGCATTTTTTTTAATTCGATATTTCCGCTCTAATCGTGACTCGTTCTGATAAGACGGATAAAAACGCGTTACGTTAAGGATCTCTATATATATAGATATATTTCATCATTATATATCGAAGTAGTGACTGGCCTAATGTTATTCACGACTTCAATCAGCGAAACCAGAAAAAGAGTTGTTTTCTGGGACTCGAGATATTATCTATATAAAGCATAATTATATATTACGAGAAATTTAGGATATAAGTTCTAATGCTGTTCGAACAATAATACCGATAATAATACTTACATATATACGTATAGCTCCAGTAATAATTTACGACAATAAATGAAACACGAGGAAGGGGGAAATGTGTGCCAGTAGTAGAAGCAAATCATCATTTATGTATTGAAAAAAAATTCGTCATTATCTATATACATATAACGTATATATTATGAACGATCGTTGCTTATATCAGAGATGGATTAGCGAAGCTTCATTTTTTCGGCATACCCTGTATCGCTTTATGAAAATTTTAGCTTTATACATAATACATATATACACATATATTATATATACATATATATTATAACCAAGATTACAGATTCGTATTTGCTTTTTGCGAGTTTCAATAGCGCTAGAGGAGCAGAAAGTGAGAGAAAACTCTCAACTGCAGAGAATGTCCCTTGATATTTTCGTTCATGCGTGAAAGAGAGAAATTCGGAAATCATGTTCGCGAACGCTTTTTCGAGTGCTCGGCAAAAGAGAACAATTTTTGCGAGAGAATATGCGAAAGATATAACGAAAGTATTCGAGATTGTATTTACATTTTGCCGCCTGTTTCCCCATATTATATTTTTGTAAAGAGCTCGCATCAGATTTTTTATGCGTACCACAAAAGTGACAAACACGGGAGAGGACAAGACGAGGAATTAATCTCGTATCATATGCATATATATACTCACAAAGGATCATATATAGTTATTCCTTTGACAATACAAAAATACACATTCGTGGAACAGAGCAAAAAGATGCGAAGATATAGATATATCGTAAATTTGATATCATATCTTTCTCCGATTCAGAATTGTAAGAATAATGTTGGGATTAATAAGGTTTCCGCACTCCGAAGAGTCCTGTGCAATTTTTAAATATTTTTTTCGCGAAAAAATCAAACAAAAATACTGTATACGCAATATTTTACCATTTCACAGCTTTGAAACAAGCGATTGTAATTTATGAAACTTTCATTATTGAATTAACTTAAAATACGTCCCAAGTAGCAAACTGACGTCATTAAATGTCAAATGACGTTAAATAATGTCATGAGACGTCAAATGATGTCATATGTCATGAGACGTCATAAGATGTCAAATGACGTCATGAGACGTCAAAATGACGTACGCTGGGGTAGTTCTTCGTGACTTTTTCAGCGAGAGGGGAAGATACATTATACTTATAATTCTGAAGAGGGACACAATAAGCATTCGACAGAGTTTACGGTATGGAACCACATCTCTATATACAATACTTACATATTTCTATATATATTATATATACACACACAATATACTCCTATACGTGTATGTATATACCTTATGCAATACTTACAATGCTGTATACATATACCCGGCGTTCGTCGCGTATTTGTACATCCTCCGCGCGGCATGTAATTAAATTAAAATAATTTACGTATTTCTCGATTGAACGTGTTTACAAAAGTGTATCAATTACTATATCGACAATAACGACGAAAGTTCGTGAAAGAATGAAAGTAATATGTTGTAAGTACAATAAATAGACAAAGTTTCAGAGATATATATATATATAAATATATATATATATATTATATTAAATTGTAAAAACGACGCGAAATTCTCGAAAAAATTCATACATAGAGTCATGGTAATTGAGATAATGTGATACATTATTTTTAAAAATATATATAATGAAAAATATATAGTTAGTCAAATTTTTACATCTACTTTATTTAAACATATATTTATACATATATGTTTTATTAAGAAATTTATAATAAATATTTTCTCTTATTCCTTTGTTTATTCGATATTTTGAGACAAAGCGAGAATTTCACGCCGAGAATAAAAAGTATTAATCAATAAGTGTTACATACTAAGCTTTTGATGGCTTGATATTACGAATCAAGTGTAGATTAGTAAACTTTCTCATTGTTACCATTTTCCGTTTGTGGGAAACTCTCGTAGTTATATTCTCAATATTCTCATTCTCCGAGCGAGGATTCGAGAAGACTGTTTTGCGTCACGCGAAATATATGTTTGTTCGTAAAATAGCTCTGTGTTAAAAAAATACGCGATTGCGCGATAGTACAATTAACCCGAAAGAGATTGCGTTATATATATATGAATTATTGTTTTATGTCAGTTGCCTTTTATACTTGTAATTGTACAATCTGTAATCGTTCACTTTATAAACTTTACTTTCGCGAGACATTTAATTCTCGCGAAATAAGTCTGTTTTCTATATGTTGTATCGATTGTTGTATTGTTTTTTTTCGGTATATCTCGCTGGCTGAGAAATACCAGTGCGTTAAAGCTTAGTGGACAATAATACAGTGTTAGCTACACGTTATATACATATATTTAAGATTTATCGATATGATTAGAGAATTGTGCGTGAATCAAAAGAATCTGCTCTTCCTACGCTGGAGCAAACGCGAATTTAGCGATTCGCGATTTTGTGTATTCAGAATTTTCCGACGCAATTTCCATAAACGTTGATTGATAAATTAATCGAGATTCCCAGATTCTATCTTTGCTTTTTTGTCTAGAAGAAATAAAAGATTTAGATAAAGAAGAAATTTCTTCTTTAGACAAAGAAGAAATGTCTTCGTTTCTTCATCTAGACTAGAAGAAATAATAAATCTAGAAGAAGAAATGTCTTCTATAGATAAAAAATTTCTTCTCTAGATGAAGAAGAAATTTCCCCTCTGGATAAAGAAGAAATTTCTTTATTTCTTTGTCTAGAAGAAATAATAAATCCAGAAGAAGAAATTTCTTCTTCAATGATGAAGAAATTTCTTCTGTAGATGAAAAAAATTTCTTCTCTAGATAAAGAAGAAATTTCTTTATTTTTTTGTCTAGAAGAAATAATAAATCTAGCAAAAGAAGAAATTCCTTCTCTAAATGAAGAAGCGGAAATTTGATCGAATCGCGATCCAATTTTGACAAGCAAGGTTTACGGAAACGGCGCGAATAAATTTGGATGTTTAGAAAGAGAGAAAGAGACAAAAGCTGTACCAGATCCGCGCGTTTTTGTTTTTTCCCTTCTCATTGTAAAATCACGAGTGAACGAAGACGACGGATATATATATATATATATATATATCCGTCAGTTGTTTATGCAACTTCACTTTGTCCATTGTTATTAATAATGTCTCGCCTCTTTACGAGAAAAAATAAAATTATATATTCCGGAGATGTTTTCTAATAATCTTCCGAAGCGAGAGACGCGACAAAAAAAATATATATATCTATTTTGATCGTTTGTATTAGCAGGGCTCGCTCTATTATTGTACTGATGTACTGTATAGTCCGCATTATTAGAAATTATTGTTATCACACGCCGGTGCAAAATCTGGTTTGTTACTGATTATTATTCAACGCTAATTATTATGTAAAATATGTATGTAATACTGTAATTTTCAGTGTATCATGTAATTAAAACGAGAGGCACGATTCTGGCGGTAAAGAAAAAAAATTGAGACAATAAATCGTAAGCCAATCTTTTCAAAACTCGAACTTCCACCTGGATCTTTGGAGCGAGACGAAGGCGCGCGTTTACTTAATTAATTACGAAAGATAATCAAATGCAAAGATTATTGCGAGAGATCCACGACCTGTTTTGCATCGCGTCGATTCCGATTATCGATTAGAAGTCAATCGATCTATAATCGTTTGCGTAAGAAAAATTGTAGAATAAGAATACGTGGATCTTGGATAAAAAAATCACATTCTTATCATAGATTACAAATCTCATTGATTACTATCGATCCTTGCTTAGCCTCGAAGCGGTCGGCCTTTAAGCATGTGGCATATGCCCTCGTTCGCATTTGCCGTTATTACCTTCTCTCGACTTTGTTGCGAGGAGATCATATTTTACATACAGATATATATGCATAGTATATCTTTGCCTACATCTCTATCCACCTGCGTGCATATCTCGTCATCGTAACATTTATTTCACGAATTAAACGCGCACACAATCGCGATATTTCCTTCTGTTTCCTCATGTACATTTAGCCCACATAATTATATACATATATAGGATGTCTGACATAAGATGTCACACCAAAAATATACAAGTAGATCTTGTTATTTGGAGACAATTTTTTCTCAGCAAAAATATTGAGGCATCAATAATTTTCGAATTATAAGCGATTGAAAATAAAGGTTTTTTCGCAAACTAAACCTTGTGGAAATAAAATATTCACAAAACCACATTCTCTAATTAATTTCAAGTAGAGTTTACTTTAATAAAATTTTAATTTAATGCGTTTAGTTGTAATAAGATACATGATGGCAAAAATTGGGAACATACAATAAATGATGGCGTCTCCCTCGACATTTTTGCTGAGGAAAAATCGTCTCCAAATAACGAGATCTACTTGCATATTTTCGGTGTGACTTTATGTCAGACATTCTGTATATAATTATTTGGGCTAAATATATGTATATGAGGAAATATACATTGTACATATATATATACATTGCGAATGAACGAAAGTGGTCAAGTAGTTCGCGAGTAGTTGAAAGAGATAATATATGTACTCTTGCGAGAGATCCCTCTCAATTTCCCCATATAAACAGAATAGCAATTTGTGTGCGACAATCGTTAAATAGACGCTTCGGATTCATTTCTAGTCGTTGCGTAATGCTTTGTTTACGGTAACGTACTATCTAGTAGTTATGCAGAGAGCATTTCCGCGATGCACGTTATACGTGAGAATTAACTCTCTAATAATATCCTGCAAAATTAATCTATCTATTACGCACGCGAAAAGGTGATTTCCTAATATGTCCGTAATCATTGAACCATGTAAATCACATATCCGACAAAAGTGCACTTTTATGAAAATACGATGTGAAATGTACAAAATTTTTGTTCCTTAAAAAATTGATGCTTATCTTTTTTTAAATTGTGCTTTTCTACTTCTACATTTTCGAAAAAAGAAATTCGAATCAATCAAAACAAGTGATTGCATAATTTGTCCGCGTAAATATAAATAAAATAACTGCATTATTATTCCGTCTCTCTCATTATATACAAAAATAAAATTAAGAGATAATTTTATCTTTTTAATTGTAAAGAATAATTGTGTATAATCAAGGACTTAAAAAGAATAAAATCTTGATTACGTACCATTAAAAACTAAAAAAACAAGGCACAATTTTATAAAAAAAAAACAAAATAGTTTAAAAAATTCATTTAATTTTGAATATTTATTTAATGTTTTACTTTTTATTTTTATTTAATAGTAGTCTATTTTCTGTTAGTAATACGCATATAAAGAGAACTTTCTCTTATTTGATTAAATATTTACTACAATAAAAAAATATGAATATGTACATAGTAAAATTTACTAATTTTGAATTTTGAATGGTAAATAATTTAATAAATACACAGAGGGAATTTTCTCTTAAAATTTACTCTGAAAATCATAGTAATCGTGAGACAAAATATTGGAAGAATTTTATAAATTTCTCTGATTATGAAAATATTTATCACAAAAAAAAAATATTAAAATCTACTACAATAAGATATAAAATATATTTTATTTTACTAAAATAATTAATCGAACATATATTATCTTGTATCTTCTTGTAGTAAATTATATTATTATGATTTTATTATGCTTTTTATTACAAACATTTTTTTACAATAAATATTACAATAAATATTTTAATCATAGAGAAACTCATCAAATTCTTCCAATCTTCATCCGTCCCAGAATTATCATAAATTTGAAGAGAAAAAATTCTATGCATTTATTAAATTCTTGACCAAATTCCAAATTTGGCACACGTGTGTAAACAAAGCAGTGACAAGCCTTTTGTATCACCTATTTTGACCGGCAAAAAGCGTGTGTATATAGGTATGTATACACGTGCATGCATACGCAGCACGTGGTCGCGATCCGGACGCGAAACGCTCGCGTGCGTACTTAATCGGCGTGCATGCGTGCGCGCACACGTTGCCGTGCGTGCGTTTGTGCATCGCGCGCGCGGGATGCACAAATGCAAGAAGCGGTAGAGGAGAGGAAAAGAGAGAAGGATGAGAAGCGCTGCGCGCGGCGTAAGAAATAGTCGTAAAAGCGTCGCGCCGCGCGCAAGTTATATTCCTCTATCCTTACTTTCTAAATTCCCCTCGCGCGCGCAACGCGATATATATCCCTCCGGTGACGTTGCATTTTGCAATACGTACACGCACGACGCGGCGGCGGGATTCGCGTCCGCGTATACGGCGATTTTTCCGTGCCTGGATGTTATATCACAAATCGCAGGATCACCGCGGGAGATGGCGGTCAGTGTCGTGAGATACCACGTTCTCCTCTACGTGCTCTACGGCGCCCTGCTACAGTACCGTAAGTACTCTCTAATCATTCATAGTATTTTTTTTTTAATACTCTTTAATATTTACTAGTTGCCGCGATTCGGCCATTTTCGATTTCTCGAATCTCGATTTCGTGGCTGCGCGCTGTATCGATTTTCAGAGTGATCGATCTCTGCGGAAGGACACGCGAGTGATCTATAATTCTCTTATGATTAAAATGTTTTTAAAATATAATAAAGCGTCCTGTCTGTCACTTTTTAAAAATACACGTCATCCTGTCTGTCACTTTTTTAAAAATACAATAAACCGTCTCGCGTCTGTCTCTTTGAATTGAAGATGAAAGATTCTACTGTCCTTTCTATCGAGAAAAGTTTTGTTTCAAACAAGAATACTGTCAGACAGTTCCGGTTCAATGTATGCCGAGTCTTAATTAGTTATTTATTTGAACTCCTGTGTCTGACATTTTATTTCTGATACTTCTTGTTCTTTTTTATTACACCTCTTAATTCTAATTCTCTTCCATTTGTATTAATTCTTATTGATTATTTATTAGCTATTTGATTATTTAATATATATATATATATATATATATATATATATATATATACATATATATATATATATTTAATATAATATAATATATTTGTATACATATTTAATATATTTAAAGATTGTGTATATACAAACACACACTTTACATTAGAAAATACTTCTTACATAACAGCGTATTTAAAAATCAAAATAAACATGTAAAGGAATTCCGCTTTTGTAATATAACTTTCTTCGAGACCGAAACTGTAGCATTCGCGATAACTTTTACTTTCAATGAGTAACTTTTACTCCAACAGTGAGATAAATTATACTTAACTGAATAATTCGGATAAAAGAAATTCCAGTTTCCTTGTTGAAGTATCACATCATAAAGTGCTATTAATCGTAAAGAATATTGCATTCAGCAGAATCTGAGGCTCGCAATCAATTATCTCGTAAAAAAACTCGACTCGATAAAAAATCGGCGAAAAAGTGAAAAAAGAGAACGAGCGTACAACACCTTTGGTTTGTTAATAAAAATTTATTTATAGCATCCGCGTAGAAAACTAACAAGATCACAGACCTTCACCCAGTTTCGTCCTACGGTCCGATAATTTCTAGTGCGCGATACACGTGATCCAGATTATACGATTGATCGACTGACTGACGATTACTAAAGGTGTCACTCGCTTATTGATAAAAAAAAAAAGGAAAAAGAAGATGAAATCGACCGATCTCTCCAAATTACTCTTTCAGACAATGCGATGGCTCAAAACACCCAAAAGACCCTTCAAGATCTCTTCAACAGCACGTCCTGTGCAAAGCCACCTTACACCTGTCCGCATTCGCAGATAGAATTCTACTTGTATACCAGGTACCTTTCGTTCTTTCAACATCGAATCTTTCCGTTACGTAAATCTTCAACCGACGAAAATTAAGGTTTCAATGCAAATCGGGCGTTCTAAATTTTGTCATTAATTTATTCTTACGCTCGAGTAAATTATTGATGATGATTTAATCGACTCTCGATTTTCTAGCGTTTAAAGATATATTGAATTTACTTTCGGTTTCGTTCCCAAGTTTCGAAAAGCAAACTCGCAAACGAGGAAGCGTTTACTCTCGGTTTCAAGATCACGATCATTTCATTACTGTACTGAAAGTAACCTCCTTTCCAAACTCGTACCTTTCTCCGGCATCTATAGTATCGTCCGATGCTCTCACTATCGTGTCTATATTTACGTAGCGGATGTGAATTGCAACGGCGAAATGTGTTGCATTCATATACGAAATATGTACGTTTCAGGGAAACGCAACAAAATCCGCACTTATTAGACGTTCGAGATTTTAATTCTCTTCGGAATTCCAAATTCGAGAAGAAGAACCCGACGAAGATCATTATTCACGGCTTCGGCGGTGGACGAAATTTAGCGCCCAGCACAGATTTACGAGATGGTAAGATTCTCCTAAATTTTCCAAATTTTAGACCATCCTCAAGTTTTTGCAAAAAAAAATATTGTTTATTATTTACAAGAAAAATAATTTTTATGTAAAATATAATTAATGAATGACAGTATTTAAATTACATCAGGCATTTAAAAAAATATATTTTCAAAAACATAATTAAAATAGTTGAAAAATCTCAATTCTATTTTCGTAGATGTAACTTACGGTGAAACAAATATATAAAATAAATCCATCAATATCGATGATAACACGATATCGCTTAGCTATATATAGACATATACAGGGTGTCCCGTACTCAGTGAATCACTGATTTATAGTAATTCCCAGCATCATTTGGAAACGATTTTTTCTCAGCGAAAACGTCGAAGCACCAATAATTTTCAAGCGATTGAAAATAAAGACTTATGAAAATACAATATTAAGAAAATCACATTCTTCAGTTAATTTTAGAGATTTTAAAGTTTACTTTAATATATAGAATTTTAATTTAAGACTTAGTTGATGGCAAAAATTAGGAACATGAAAAAATGATGATCTTCCTCGACATTTTCAGTGAAGAAAAATCATCTCCAAATGAAATCAGGAATCTGCTATAAATTAATGATTCGCTGGGTACGGGACACCCTGTATAAAATTAGAGAAAATCTATGAAAAATCTCAGAGGAAAAAATAAAAAATAAAAATTCAATAAATAAAAGTATAGCCAAAAAACACCAGCCACGATTCGATTTCAGCGTATTTCACGCGAGGCGATTACAATATTATAATCGTCGATTATGGTTCGTTGGTACGCGAGCCCTGTCTCTCGCAGATCTCATGGGGCCCGGATTTCTGCTCCAAGTGCGTCGCGCAGCTGGTCAAGTACCTGAGGGATCATCCGCGCGGCACCAAGGTGGAGAACATCCACGTGCTCGGGTACAGCGTGGGCGCGCATATCGCTGGACTCATCGCAAATTACTTGCCCAATGACAAGCTAGGGAGAATTACGGGTAATTGCTCGTATGCAGCATATCGATCGCCGTCCCGCAATAATTCTCTAGACTCGATACGCGATTTTTCTCTTTTCCCTCACGCGAGAGAAAAACAACGAATTTCTTGTTCAATTATTCATTTTTTCACAATTATTTTACACCCGAAATCGTATATTCTGTAAGAACTTTTTCGCTCTAGAAGTAGCTCTATAGCTCTTTAACTCTTCTTTCTTTCTCTTTTGCTGTACAGTTTTTACGTAACTTATAAACGGGATTTTCTCTTAGAGTTTACCCTGAAAATCATGGTAATCATGGGATAATATATGGTATTGGAAGTTTTATAAGAATTTCTCCGATCACACACAATATTTGCCGCAATAAAAATATTAATACGTACATTGTAAAATTATGTAATCAAACATATTTTATTATATTTTTTATTTTCTTTATTTGTCATATTATTTATATCTTATTGTGGTAGATGTAAATATTTTTATTGCGGTAAATATTAATTAGAGAAACTCATAAAATTCTTCGAATAATATACTGTCCCACAATTACAATGATTTTCAGGATAAATTCTAAGAGAAAATTCCTTCCGCGAGTAGAGACAAAGCGTTACAGAGTATTTTTATAGAGTAGAACCATAATTCTGAAGAATGATGTAACGAGTGAAATTATATATAATAAAGGTATCTTAATCGTCCATCTCCATTTATAGATTACGTCTAGAGAGAGCGTGTAAAATTCGTCATTATACTTACATACAGCATCGACGTTAATTCACGATTGCGTCTGTTTGCAGGCCTCGATCCGACGATATTTTTCTACATGAACGGCAACCGCTCGATGGATTTAGACGAGACGGATGCCCATTTTGTGGACGTGATCCACACAGCCGCGGGCATCCTGGGCCAATGGGGACCAACCGGCCACGCGGACTTTTACGTAAACGGTGGCTCGAGTCAGCCCGGATGCGCCACTTCTTCTATACTCCGTAAGTAACGAGCGAAAAAAAAAAATAAAATAAATTGATCGCGATCGAAAAATGAGAAAAATAAAGAATTTTTTAAGAATGAAGTAATATAATCGAGAGAAAAATACGCGCGCACGCATGAAAAAATGTCGATAATATGAATGGACCCTTCTTCATTCTCGCAGAAACCCTCTCGTGCGACCACACGAAGGTGACACCGTATTACATAGAGTCGATCACGACGAAAAAGGGATTCTGGGCGGCGCCGTGCGCGAATCTGTTCTCTTACCTGATCGGGTGGTGCAATCCCAAGAGAGAGGATCACATCCTGATGGGGGAGGATTCCCCTCATACGTAAGTAGTATAGATCCGTGTTTACGTCTCCAGGAGACTTGCATGCTGCGTCGCTGCGACAGATCGATTAATTTCGATATTCCTGAAAGTACACGCGCGTCAAAAAAAAAAAAAAATAAAAATAACTACTCAAAGAAATTTTTTTTTTAATTTACCCTGAAAATCATGTGATAATCATATGTTGAGACAATATGGTATTGGAAGAATTTTAGAAGAATTTCTCTCTAATTAATATTTTTTTATATATTTTACAATAAAAAATATTTACATATACCACAATAAGATATAAATAATGTTAACATAAAATTAAATTAAATAAAAAAATATAATAAATAAAATATGTTTGATTAATTTTCCTATGTACATAATAGATATTAATATTTTTTATTTTGTGGTAAATATATTAATCAGAGGAACTTTTATAAAATTCTCTCAATAACATATTGTCCTACGATATTAGCATGATATTTTCAGACTAAATAATTTTAAGAGAAAATTCCGTGGTGGAAAAATATATGTCGTCGTGTGTAAATTTACAAAATATTTATGGGCGCGTTTATGAACTAAAAAAAAATTTGACAGCGCACGCGGCATCTTCTATCTGTCAACAAACGCACGCAAACCGTACGCCCGAGGACTGCCCGAAAAAAGCCAGCGACGGACAAATCGGAAGCAATCGTCCTCCCGCCAGTCCTGAGCCTGCTGAAGCAGCTAATCAACATAATTATAGAGTAGCGTATAGTCCGTGTTTGTACGTGAATCAGTCAGGAGAAAAGAAAACGTTAAGTTATACATTATTATATAAATATTTGTGTAGATATATATACGTTACGTCGATATATATAAGTTTTAGTCTTACACACCCTGTCGCGACTCTTTTTGTACATTCGATTAATCATTCGGAGGGATTTTCTCTCCTTCCCGATTTTTTCTTTTTTAATAAAAGATGTTGCGCGCCGATATAAGTGTATATCGCGCGAAAGCAAGAAATTATGCGTTTCATTAACGACCGATCGGCCATGTATAATTGACGTGTCTTGCACATGTGGTCGACACGTAACACTTTCACCGCTCCAATCGAGCTCTTCTCTTATACTTGCACTCTTCATTATATTTACCCAATGGCATGTCTTCTTTTTTTTTACAAAACGACGAATGTATTCAATAGGCGAATCAATTCGTCGCTTGATTAATATCCGATCGATTCAATGAATGTGTCATTGGGAAGAGCGAAAAAGGTTCGAGGTCAAGTTGGAACTAGCAAAAACAGTTTTGCGCAACGGTGAACGTAGATTGTATCTCTTGAAAGTGGCACGAGTTTGTTTTAAAAATTCGTCTCTTATTATAATTTATAATGTTATTGCGTAATGTGGGAGATGAATTTGAGAGCGAAAATTACGAGAATAAATTAATTCGCTCGATATATCACTCTTATCACAGTTGCACAAAATCCATCTTTCGCTCTGTCACGAGTTTCTAATTCCATATATCATCTGACACGTAATCGATGAATTTTCTAATCGTAATTTAAACCTGCGAATCAGGAATACCTTTGTCTTCCTCTCTATTTTCGTATAAAGTAAGTTGTTTAATACGGACATTGCTCGAAGGATCGCAGGTGCGGATGCTTTATTCAAAATCCAGGATCCTCGTCACTTTAGGGTCCTGGGGGACAAATTATCCTCGCGCAGCAACACCACCTCGCAACAACAGGCCCCGTGTTTATGTTAACAACAATATTTATTACATAATAATTATTACGAGATACGGTAATAACTTCTATGGATTTACAGTACACTGTGTCGCACTAAATCTTAATAATAATTAATATATATATAATATGCAATGGAATGATTACAAGATACATTCTCGTTTCAAGCCGGAGGCTTCTCGATGTAACCTCGACGATATCTTTTCTTCCCTTAGGATGGACCTTTCGCTTACCTATGTTCTACGGAAAGGCATCTATGACCTTTCCGTGACCTTGACACTCGGGACTGCTCGATCTGCACTCTCTTTTTCTTTCTCTCTCTCTCTCTGTTTCACACACGTACACACTCACACTCACACGTACGTACGTATAATAGGCAAAGGTGCATCCGAATTTTCGAGTGTCGGCCCTACAATTTTCGAGATCCGACGAACTTTTAACACGTCGTCTCGAAAATTTCTCGCGCTACGTGATTTTTCAGATTAGTTGTACGAAATTAAATAACGTATTCTTAAAAAATGCGAATTCGTTATGTAAACCGTAAAAAAGTGTAACGATCCTTCTCTGCTCATTTAATCTGCGAGTGCAAGAATCTCTCTCGCGGATGCAAATATAATCGATCGATATATAAATCGATTACTAAGTCTGCAAAGGAAATGAAAGTGTCGATCAGATTTGAATCTCACCGTCTGTCGGGATAATCGAGTTCGATAAGTTATAATCTGACCGGTCGCACATCCGATTGCTCTTTACTTTTCCAACAACTTTCTTCGTATATTATTATATAATATATAGAGAGAATCGCGCGAGATACTCGCTTCGAACTCTCTAAATATTTTGATTAAAAAAAAAGTTTAAGAAAAAAATAAATTATACATCGCTGTGTCGTCCTTGACATTTTTCTTCTTCCAGCTGTTCGGTTCGCTTAAGAGGCTCGTGAATATTTTGCAAGGCATTTATCGGATCATCATCATCATCATCGTTCGGATCGCTTCTTTCGCAATCCGTGAAAACGAAATCTAGAGAGAGATACAAACGCATCATATATGTATATTTGTTCGTAAAATTTCGGGCCGATCGCATCGAGGACGTATATTTCCACAGACTAAAAACTACAGCTTTACAAATACACTTTTCTTTCTCTCTTTTTTTTCGTGCGTGTGTTCCTCTCTTTCTTTCTTTTTTTTATATACATCTCTTCGTGCGCCCTACGTTGCTCGGCATACAAATGTGCATGAACGGATTTAACGCTAACGATATATCGATATATTATTTAAAAGCGGAGACTCACTTTTCTTCCTCCCTCTTTCTTTCTAACTTGATGCATTCGCAGAATCAGCGCTTGTTCCGCGGTCCAGATTGTTTTCTCTCGAAGATCGCACGTTTCCTGATGATATTCTCGAAATAGACATACACAGTGAATCGTAAAAGTTTACTGCCTTCGAAAGTTGTTGACTTCAAGCAATCAACATTTCTTTTTAAATGAGATATTTCGGGATTCCATCGATATTACATGTATCATGAATCGCGATCTATAAATGTATATACAAGGTGTTAAAAAAGTATCGGCACCATTCGAGAGAATGAAAATCTAAGAAAAAAATGTCAAATATTATTTTTCAATGAATAGTTTCGTCGCAATTAATTTAATTATAATAATCAGCGCGGAGCTACAAGAGAATTTTTGCGGGCATGTTTTAGTCTGAATTTAAAAAATGAGATTTAAGGTAAATTTTATAAAAGGTTGAGTCTGCACTTGAACAAACTGCTTCCCTTCGAATCAGTTTTAAAATCACCTACTTCGCGTGCTGCGCCACTCGCTTTCTCTTGTAGTTTCGTGCTAATTGACTGACAATGAGTGCAATAATATAATTAATTGTGGCGAAACTATTTTTATCGCGTCAAGAAATATAGTATTAAACATTTTTTATATTTTATTCTCTATTGGAAATCGCCGAGCATATATATGTTTTTTAACACCCTCATTCGCGGGATACAATGTGGTCGTGTACATCTTTTCTTTTTTTTCCTTTCATTCTCCGTGAACCTACTTTGGACAGATCGACTTTCCCTCATTCAGAACATCCGCACGTACGATCTACGATTAATTATCACGATTGCATACATCTTCCATTATTTCAATCTCGACGCGTTTTTACTCTGCCTCTAATTAAATATGTTACTCGTAAATGGTAGATGTGTGGGATGAGATAATCGATATTAATGATGTCAATATAGCGGGCGACATTGTACATATGGGACGTACATGGTTCTCCTTATATCAATTCCGTTCTCTTCGGCAGCACGCTTGATCTCTCCCTTTCTCTCTTTCTTTTCTTCTTTTTTTAATCCTCTTTTAAGTCTTCGTGTAACATGACAGGTCTGTCTTATTTTAAGTATGATGACAGGTCTGTCTTATTTTAAGTATGGAAAATGCAAAATAAGCGCAGCCGAAGAGAACGGATCTATTTCTAGCTAAATTTTTAACTCGCGAGAAATGGCGTTGACCAGAACGTCGATGGTGAAAATCATTTTGTACGAATCCAATAAAAATAAAAATAATAATAATAATAATAATAATAATATAATGATGATGATGATGATGATGATGATGATGATGATGATGATGATGATGATGATGATGATGATGATGATGATGATGATGATGATGATGATGATGATGATGATGATGATGATGATGATGATGATGATGATGATGATGATGATGATGATGATGATGATGATGATGATGATGATAATAATAATAATAATAATAATAATAATAATGATGATGACGACAGATGACGATGATGATGATGATATAATAACAATAAAATTAAAATTTTTCGCGAAAGAAAGAATTGAATATTTTTTATTTAAATATAAAAAATACTTCAATTTACCTTCTCTCTTTTCTATTTTATCTCTCTTTCTCTGCCATAATGACGGATTGACTATTTCCGCAATCATTAGCCGGATAAATTAAAACTGCAGCTGTTGTTCCCAGTCGACGCCACTCTCTCTCTCTCTCTCATTCCTCAACAACGTAATTATTATAATTCGAGAATTCTCGTTTAAAGTATATTTTTTTAAGTACAATGCTGCTGAGTATAATATAGCGTGCTCTCGCACATGCTATACCGATACATTATCGTTTAATTCGATAATTGGTCCTGGATAAACCGGTAGAACCAAACCCGATAGTATAACGCGCATATATATATGTATGTATATATATGTATATATAAGGGAGATCTTTCGCGATCTCGCGATCTCGCGATCGTCGAGCGAATATCGGTGACGATCGCGAGTTCGCGCAATCGGAGGTGAAAATTTCAGGGTAAGGGGGAGGGAAGGAGGGGAGAAAATCTCCTCTCAAGGCCTACTACGAGACACGCTACAAAGGCTAAAAGACGCACTTTTACACACCGCTATTTAATCTACGCGCTATCGCTAATCGCTCGGCGATCAGATTTATGAATCAACTAAATACGCGCGTTGTAATATATATAATTAATTAATGCGTTGTGTTGTTTCGCTTTAAGGGTGGACTCCGATGAGAAGGGATCTCTGATCGGCGATTATCCACGATTCGCAAAATGTAAATTATCCCTTCAAACAGCTGATAACGTTTTAGCCTTTCGTTCGCACACGCGTGAAATTTCAGTTTTCCTCTGTTTCGAATCGAAGCGTAAAGATAAGAAGAAGACACGCATCGTCAAAACTGTAAAGATATCATGGAAGATATTTTATGACTGCATGATGATGAAAGTGAAAGTGGAAAATTAATTTTGAAAAATTTCTTTAATAATTAATTAAATTATAAATTAAAATAAATTATTTACAAATAATAGAAAATTATAAAAATTAAAATAAATTAATTAAAAATAAGAGACTCGCGATATATTTGTTGTATGAATTAGATTTATAGGTATCGTTATTTAATCGAGAGTAGAGATGTGCGAATCAAGATTTTCTAATTCGAATCGAATCGAATCACCCATATTTCGAATTCGAATCGAATCAACGCGTATAGAATTAAACGATAGAATTAAACGGATTTTAATCTCTTCTTCTTACGCGATTTTTTGATTCGAATTCGAATTGCAGTAATTCGACGTTATCGAATCTTTCGATTTCGAACTACGTCGATTCGAATTCGAATAATTCGCAGATCTCTAATCGAGAGTAAAGTTGAGTGAAACTGATCGAATGGAGATAACTTGAGATCAACGTCTTCGATTCTCATCGTTACGCTTCCATCATTTCCGGAAGTAAATGATGATGGAGATAGACTTGGATTTTTGTTCGTAACAGCTCTCGTTAATAGGATAGATATACAGATGGATATATCACCGAATTTGCTTCGAAACATCGGGAGATACGGGAAAAGGACTCCGAGAATGTTAAACGGCGTATCTCCCTTTCTCTTTCCTTCCCGCGTATAAGAGAACTTCATTCTACAATAAATTACTTTAATCTTCATCTGTTATAACGATAATAGATATATATATATATATATTATATATGTGTAACGCGTAATTATATAATCTTACATACCGAGTAAACGCTACGATACAAAGCTAGAATCAATATAGATATCGCCAAATAGTCTCCATTCTCGCTATCCTTGGTTATCGTTAACATTATTATGATTATTATTATTTATTATTAGTTATCGTTATATATTATCGAGAGATCATCCATATCCTTATACTTGAGGTGATCACGTTTCTCTTTCTATCGCGCGATTCAGAAAATTGCGCGAATTTTTAAAAAATTCTAAAAAGAACTAGATTAAGAATTCTTAAGGATTCTAAAAGATTCTATTAGATATGTTGATATTTGTTAGAAGGAAAGCTATATCAAGAAAAATAAAAATATATATAGTTAGATAAAATAAAAGAATTCTGACAAAATATAATATATTTTACAGTTGTGATATAGCAAAATTAATATCTACTCGATTATTATGTTTTTTAATATACGTTAAAAATTTTGACACGATATTTGTGTAACTCATCAGAATAGCTGAAAGAAAAACGGATGTGTTCCGGGTTTTTTCAAGGTGATCACTTCAAGTATATCATCAACCGGACGTTACCGTATATTTTTATCATATCGTGACTAGAAGTTGATATAGCATATATGTATGTATAACTTCTCTCTCGGAGGGAGGGACGTTAAAACTAAAATTGCATTAACTACATATAATAATCGAACGAAGTGACAAAGTGATAAAACGGCGAGGAATCGTAATCTCTGAAAGGACTCACAGTCAACGTACATATATTTACAAAAGAAGAATATTAGACTTTCAATTCAATCGGACGAGAAAGAGAGAGACCGTAAAAAACGAAGGAATCTCTTTTTTTAAATTAACTTCGATCAGTCGAACTTGCATCGATAATTATTCAAGAAAGTTGCATTTACAGAAGTATTGGAATCTCTGCAGTTAATATTATGATAGAATTTTGCTTTATCCTTTCAATTTCCTCATTTTCCATATTTTCACGTTCGATCGTAATTCCTCACATATGTAAATATCCTCGGATATTTGTAAATATCCAAGGATATCAACGCGGGACACGCACTGTTCCTTCGATTGCACGATACCATGGATGATTAACAAACAATATAATAACACAAGTCGAATAGGCCCGTTCATGATTTATCACTAACAAACGATAACAATGTCTACGGATAATGCACTCGCGATATAATATATATTATATTATGCATATAATATATATGTATATATGTATATGAATGTTTTACACAGTTGCATGCAGATGCGCACGTCCGTCGTATATCGCGGATCACGAGCGATGACGGATGGATGACAGCGAGTGGGAAATTGCATATAGTCACGCGCGATTGCAATATATGCGATTTCTCCTTTTTAAAAAAAAATCATGCACGATCCCGAGTGAAAATAATAAACATGAAACGTAATAATCTCAACAAACTTTCCCGAATATTTTCACATCTGCTCTTCGACATATATCGAAATTCGCAATCTCTTATTTTTTTTTTGAGAATTTATGCAACGAATAAAAAAACAATCACAATAAATATACAATATATAATAATAAAAAATATAAATTATATATAATTCATGAAAAGATTGTTTAAAAAGAAATATTTTGGTGCGTTCCAGATGCAAGCTTGAAAAATCGTGGAAAAATCGTTCTCGTTCGTACAAGTGGCGCATAATGAGTGGAGAGTCTAACTATAGTATATCGCGGATTCAAGCATCGCCTGTTTGCACGAAAATATGCCGGGGTGTCGTTTTACTCGGAGATCGATACGGAAACGTCCGTCGTCCCTGAGCGAAACTTATGCACGATCGTTCGGAGCCACGTTCTGACCTTTCGAGTGCACGAGAGAGTTCAGTGCACGACGCGATCTCGATTTCTTTTTTTTTCTTTTTTTTTTGCGAAACGACGCGATGGATTGCGAAAATGCGTGACAAGTAAATAATGGCAATTTTTTGAAAGAAAGAGAGGAGGAGAAACGAGGTGCGAAAGAGTAAGAAAGATACGTGAACTGAAAAAAAATGTTAAATATAAACATATATATGCTATATTATAATTATTTTTATTAAGAGAAATAATTTTACAACTGCCCAAAATTTCGAAAAAAAGATGTAATTTTATGTTGATTTAATTTAATTTCTAATTATAACTTTGCCTTTCGCCGGGTATTTGTTATTTTATGCAACGCTCTCTTTCGCTAATTGGCCTCAATTGGCGAATCAACATCCATATTTCGGGATCTTTTTGCGAATTCATATATGTTGTCATCCATCACTATTATTTCGCACACAACTGTGAACGTTCGCATCACCTTTGTTCTACATATGTTTCTTCCCTTGGAAGAAAATTATGCCGCTATTTTTACGAATACAACCGAAATAATTATATATATATATATATATATATATATATATATTATATATATATTTGTAACATATGAACGACGTATTTTAGACAAAGTTTATGACGGAAATCTGCGCCGAACGGCCGAACCAAGATGGAAGCCTATCTGCGGGTTGCCTAATAACGTAGATATTATCTCGAGGTTGTGAGTATATATATATATATGAATATATATATATTTTTTCGTGAATCTTCAACATTTTCGTTTCTGTTCAATCGATATCCCAAAAAGGACGACGCGTTACTTATGTAAATCATTCAATGTTACATCTACAGAGAGAAGTATATTAGATATACGTATAGTATATACAAGACACTACACTCTCCACGTGGGAACATATTATTTTAATGTTAAATCCTTCATGGTTGGTATTTTTATCGTTTAATTAATTATAGATTATTAATAGCTATTAAGTATGTATTTGTTTATCTCTCTCTCTTTCTTTGGATTTATTCGCTTTCTCTCTCTTTCTCCCCCCCCTTCTCTACATCCCTTTTATCTCTCCTATTCTTCTCCGTACCCCTTTCCCAATCAATTATCCTGTAAAAAGAGGGCCGCTTTCAGAGACAGAATCCTTATCACAAAACTTTTCTGAATCTTCGAGTAAGCAAGACAAAGGCAAGAAGAAATTGCTTGTATATGGTTCGATTACGCAGGATGTCCCGGAAATCGCCGATCTTAACGAGATTTAAATTTCATCTTTCAGAATCTATTAACGTCGTAAAATTGCAATTAAGAAAAAATCGATTTCGAATTAATAAGGAAAAAAAAACATTCTAACTTCGACACACTCCGGAACACCCTGCCCATTCAATCCTTCGTACTGATATACTGAATGCGAATACCTTAACTGGAAAGTCAACGTTCTTAGTCCTTCTTATCTCCGTCTTCGGGGTCTTTTAGCGTGTGCCATTGGGCGATCGGGCGCCTCGGAGACGCCAGCATGTCGGACCAGTGTCTCAATTCCGTTCCGCTCGCATTATATCCCAGGACCACCTTCCCGATCGGTTCTGACGTGCCGATGCGATCGTAATCGACTACAGTGACGACGAGTTGTACTTTCTGAAATGTCATCACAGAGTCACACATAGTGTCGCAATCATTGGAATAAATAATCATTTATTTTATTATGTCACCTTAACGTGTATTTTAAAAAGGTGATTTAAAATTAAAATAAGCTTAAAGCTATATAAAATAAATTTTAATCTTACAGTATTTTTTATGGATGAGTGAAAGAAATTTTTCGTATCAATTATTTTTAAAAAGTATTTTTAGTATTTTTAATAATTGACGATCACGTGTTAATTCGAGATACTATAATAAATCGATGCTTTATAGTGTGAAGTGGTCCATCAAGAACCACTTACGTATATATAGTGTAAAAAATATATAACTGGCAAAATTAATATTTATGAAGTTTTATAATATTGGAATAAATTAAATTATGAGTGAATCGTGAACTGACATAAATAGATATTTTCAAATATGTTGAAAAGTTAGTAATAAAATTGATCCCTTACCTGTACCTGCTCGAAGGGTACTTCAAAGGAGAATGATTCGTTGTAATACGGATTAAGGGTGCACTTCTTGATCGACGTTTTCTTCTTCTTCAATCTCTTTCCGTTCTGCATCAACGCGATTTTAACATAAGGATCCGAGAGACCACCGACGTCCATCTTCTTCAGGTTCTTGGCTTCCAGAATGACAACCGTGAGTTTTCCAGCCGTTGGTACGTATCTCAATGAGAAGCATATGTCTCCCAATTTGTTATCCTAAATTATAAAAATATTTAACGCACAATACATTAAATTACCGCAAATTTTTAATTATTCTTAATTAATTAAACGCTATTTTTGACAAGTAAAAATAAGAGTTAATTTAATGATTGTATTTCACATCCTCGCTATATATATTGCCATATGTTGCGTTACAATTTCATTGACCTCACCTGTCCACCTTCGCCTTCGACACTCTGCAATTCTCTCCACTCCTCGATCGTCTGCGCCAAGTCGATTTGGCAAAGCGGCACTTTAACTTCGCCGATTTGATCGTGTTTCGAAAATCTATCGAAGTCGAAGATGGCGAAGACCAGAGTCTTGTTCATGGCATCGGCATAAGGAACGCTCTATACAATTACATTCGTTAATAACAACGCAGCTTTTGCATTTAGAACGTGAAAAAAATTAATCAAACTCTGAAACTGTCTGCATGGAGATTCCAGAGTTAACCGATTATTTTTCATCAGGAACATTATTAATTATTGTACTGACCTTAAACGTGAAAGTCTCGTTGAAGACCGGATTCAATGTCTTTCTGTGAACCTTGGTCTCAAACTTTTTCTTCTTATCCGGTAATAAATACACTTTTACGTATGGATCTGATGTACCACCCATGTCCAAAGCCGGCAATTCTTCAGCTTGGATTACTGTCACGGCGAGACTGTTCGAATTAAAATCGTATTCGAGCTGAAACCAAGCGCGTTTCATTTTTTAGAATATCATCTACATCACATTTGCATAAGTATACATATATATTAAAGATAAAATTAAAACAAAATCCAACATAGCTGCATTAATAATAAAATTATATGTGAACTATTTGTTATTTAAAACACATGTATCGCAATTAAAAACGTACATTGGTATATACGAATAAAAATCAATATTAGAGATGTTACATATCAATTTCTTTGACATATTTTTCTCGATGTGAATTCAGTTTAATTTTAGAAATCTCGCTGATTGGATTTTTTATTTGTAACAATTGGGAAAGATAAAGGGAGAGAAGATAGCGCATAAAAGGCGGCTATATATAAAATAAAATAAAATAGAAAGATAAAAAAGACGCGAAAAATATTAATGGCAATCTCTGTACCTTGTATTGTAATTTTCCGAGTTTAACTTCGCTCTGCTTGCTCTCAGCTTCATCCGGTTCCTCGGCATTGTCCGTCAATTCTTCCATATCCGGCTGTACCTTCACATATCGAAGTGGATTCCACGAGTGTAAAATGCATCTCTAACATCTACATGAAGTCACGGGACACCGAATACCTACCTTGTCCTTGTACGTGCTGCCCAGAAGCTGCACGGACTTTAGGTCCACCGCGCCCTTCAATCCCTTCTTGCCATCTTTGGATCGTCTCTTGCGACAGCATCTTCGTATACAGCAGAAGCAGATTCCGAGAACGATTACGCCTACTCCTACACGGGAGAGAAATATCAATAAGTATATTATTATCAAATTTCAGTATCAATTTCTTACACACGCGTACACAATTTATTGAAAAAAAATGTATTAAAAAAATTGCATATTATCTAAAAATTATTTAAAAAAAGAAACACACACATATATTATCAGGGAAAATAAAACACAGTTATGCAATATATTTAAAGCAAGATGTATGATACTGTACATTAAATATACTGCATTATTTTGCTCGATGTGAACGTCGTTTCGCGGAATAATCAGTTATAGAGGGATCTTCCGTCTACAGAGGTAATGAGGATTGATTATTCTCGATTGATTGAGATTAGAAGCCGGCTTGTGTGCCGAGGGGGCATGCGCTTCTTTACCTATTAAAATAGCAACAAGACCCCAAGGCGGTATCCCCACTTCTTGCGCGATGCCTTTCCCAAACTTCTCGATTTTATCCTCGAAGGATTTCGCTGCGCTTTCGGTAATGGCCTCATCTGTTCCTGAAAGCACCATGAGCTTATAGATTAATATTAAATTAGCACGAAAACAGATAAATTATACAAAGCGCAATATAAGCGCGTTCTCCAAAGTATATATACTTCTAGCACAATATAGTTGGGAAGTAACAATTTAATTTTAATTCTGCGATAGATGAGAAAAGAACTGGAGAGATTTGACATATCTACACAGAGAGAATTTTCTCTTAAAATTTACCCTAAAAATCAGGTAATTTAATAATCATTAGTAATCGTGGGACAATATATGCGGTATTGGAAAAATTTTATAAGAGTTTCTCTCATTAATATTTACACCACAATAAAAAATATTAATATTCACAATAAATTATAAATATGTTCGATTAATTTTACATATTTTTTATTGCGGTAAATATTAATCAGAAAAACTCTTAATCCTATGATTACCATCCCAATGGCAAGTATATACATCATTTTGACGTCTAATGACGTCAATTTACTACTTGCGGGATGATTTTTCGGGGTATAAATTCTAAGAGAAAAAATTCTCTCCGTGTACGATTGTATATATATTTTTGAACGAAAAAAAAAAAAAAACTAAAAAAATTACTCGCTAATACTCACCGGCCTTCTCTTCGATTTCTGTGCTAAAAGCTACGTTGGAGTCGGTGATGCCGGGCTCCTCGTTACGTGCCTCGGCGGCATTCACGTCCCTTTTGACCAACGGCGGCATTTTCTGCGTCAGGGAGACATTATTAGAAACCCGCTCGCACACAGAAGACAATTTATTTTAGACGGCACATACACGGTAATTTTTTTCTCCGGTAACGAGACGCCCGCGCGCGAGTCCGGTAGCTATTATTTCGCGGAATAAGATACTCTCTCGCGCAAGTTCAATCCCCTTGTTCCTCTTTCCGGTGACAGATGGGTCTAATGACGCGAGGTAACATATTGCAGGTAGTGGGTACATACGACGATAAAGTGTGCTGACGACTAACACAGGGCGGACACCGTGGTTGTAGAGATTTCGCAATCTACGAACGGGTTTCCGGTGGTCGAAGCCGCATGCGTATCTAACTGTAAAACCTCGCCTCTACATGAGTCGGGGAACGATTTTATTAACGAGCATGCAATCCGATATATTCGCGCGCGACGTCACAGAGACGTTTTATACCGGAGAGACGTGTCATTTATCACGTAAGGAGTACAGAAAATAGCATTGTAGCGTAAAATACAGTGGCCATTCATAAAATTATTTAAAGTCGCTAAAGAGAAATCCCATTACAATGATATCGGCCTTGACGTTAATGATGAGGCCTTTTTTTATCAGGGAAAAGGATTATTTGAGGAACGTGACCTTATATATGTGCGTACGAGGTGTTTTTATATATACGGAAGAGTCTTCGATTAATTTCCATTAACCGGACATTTCTTTGCCCTTACGATCTATAGGAATTACATATGCGCAATTCCTGAGGCTGAACCAGCGGCTCTGTCACTTTAGCGCCTCGATTTCTCTCGCAACGACGGAGAACAATTGCACAAAAAGGTTGCTGAGGACAGGGAAGCGGACAAGCGTACGAAGGCGATATACGTTCTCGTGATGTATTTTATCGAACAATGCGTGGGAGGTTTGCGCGTTTCAAATAAGGGAGCGACGTAAGAAATGGGAAGATGCGATGAGTGGGATGATAGGGAACCCTCGAGATTGTCGGATTGTCCGAATAAAGATGTGAAATATGTCTCATAATTTTATCTTAATATTTTGATTTCAGGGGAGCTAGAGAGAGAATTAAGAAAAAAAGGGAAAAATGCGCATTAATTTAATTTCCAAGAATATATAATTATAATTTAAAGACGTTTTTGCTCCTACTCTTTTTATAAACAATTGAATGCACAAACACAGTAGGTGTGCAAGATCGATAACTCTCAATAGGATTACTTATCCCAGATACAACAGGCTAGCTCAACAAGATGCTGCCTATAATGTCTATCTTGATAAAAGTCGGTGGCTCTCTTTGAGAAGACGGGGTGCGCTTAAACAAGTATTTTTTCTCGAGAATTTTTTTTCAGGGAGATAAATATTAAAAATTAAAAATAGCGATATTAAGTTAAGGAAGCAGTTCGTTATAAACTCAAAAGTTTGATCATCATACGTATCTGATTGTAAAATCATCGATTCTTCTTAATTGCTCATATATACGTCAAAAATTGCACCTACATATTCTCGCAAAATTGCGACAGGGAATTTCAATTAACGGCACAAAGATTCGCGCTATCTTTTCATCTAGCTTGCATTCGCGCGGACCGGGTATTAAACGATATTGAAAATTATTTCAGACGTAAAGAATTAATTTATCTCATAGCAGGTACATTGAAATCCAGCGCTGTGAAAAGATTAAAAATATTTCTGCTATTTACTTCATAGTTGAAATCTTCTTTTGATCGAATATAAAATTTATTTTTCCCGGGAAATTTTATCAATATCAGCATATCGTTTGTTTTTATGCATTATTTATATATATTTTATATATATATATATATATATATATATACGCGTATATTATATATAGTAAAGTAAAATGACGTCATTAAACGTCATAATGTCATTTTACTACTTGGGATATACATATATTATACATATATATATATATATATTTTTTTTGTAACGGAGAGATATTTTTTGCTCGAATGCGGACGAAATCTTGCCTTTGATCGAAATAATCGAAGATCCTCTACCATCGTGTATCATTTATAAGCTGTCTTCAGCCTATCATCGAACGCGGTTAAAGTGTTCCTGTATATATATGATTATACGAGGCCTCGCTGCGCGTTAATTGGGATATCGGAGACGGATGTCTAAACGACCCCGTAGATGCGCGCGTGTGCGTGAATGAGCGAACATTTAAAGCACGAATCAATACAACTTGCTACTGATAAGTAGATCGGCCAATATCGTCTACAACCATCTTGCATCCTTAATAAAATCGATCCGGTTATTCCGACAAGATAACTACCTACTGACTACCTGAAAAAAATTATTAAATTAATAAATATTTATTTCAATACTGCCTAATAAGTCATTTATTCGAGACAAATATTTATCTGTTTCAAAAAGGATTTTCTTATATCAAATAAATATTTTTCACGTCAAATCAATATATTATTAGTTTCAAATAAATGATTTATTTGTCGGCATTGTAATCAATATTTATTCGAGTTTAATAAATTTTTTCGGTGTAAAAAAGCCTAATATAATATATAAAATCGTATCATACATTTCAACTAATGTATGTAAGTCAAAATTACATAATATTATTCCATAGAACCTGAACAAATGCGTAATAATTTCCGTTGTTGATGTTGATAATGTAATTTGATTTTTATGTATGCATAATGTAACGAGTTTGAAAATGTTGTTTTCTTTTGCGCCACGTGTGCGTCATTTTTTTCGAAAATAACCGGGATTCAAATGCTGGCAATGCATTATTACGTAAAATACGGAAGTCACTTTCTCCTCCTCTGTCGTCTTCAACGTCATCCCGGCAACAATTTCCCGTAAGCTATACCGACATAATAATAATAATGATCACGTAGCCGCGACATCTGCCACATGATCCTGACAGGCACTTAAACTTAAAACTTTGAAAAATGCACGTTATAATTTATTGCTACGGCACCGTGTAATTTTACAAACAATTACGTGTGTGCGGATGCATTTTGCGCGGTTCACATACGATGAGAAATGTCAATAAGGAGTTTCAACAAAAGTGACATTTCAGTATATATGACAGAAGTTTACCCAAGTGCGCAGATCTCTCAAACGTTTCCTCACAGATACACAAACATGATCGAGAGTGCTCAGATGCAATATACAACACACGAATTGTAAGAAGTAACGATAAGCTATCTTATTTTTTTTTAACAGGGCAAAAAAAATTTTTCACAAAACGCATCTCTTTTAAAATGATGAGTCGATTTCGGAAAATGTACGCGCTTATTTTATACTATGATAATTATTACAGAATTGTTAAAAATGTAAATATCGAAATGGGGTATCAATGGTGTCTTCCCTCTTTAAAAAGTAATGGTCATTCGACTATCGACTGGCCTACATATCCTTCTCAAGGACGGCTACAGCTACGTTCTTAGACCATCCAACGCCCTTTTCATGAATGAATGTCCTCCCATAACCGCTGTAGCATGAGCAAAAGTGCTGTTTGCAAAGAGGGGAGAAAAGCTCTTCCGCCCTAAACGTAATATATATATATATATATATATAGAAAGAGTGCATCTAAATAACTACAAAAAATTTTAGGAGATGATACTATGTCGAAAATTAAGAAGGATTTCTTATATGAACATATATCCCTCTCGGAAGAGTTACACTTTTCTAAAGAGGTATGAAGTTTTTATTTTTCTCTCAATTTTTAGACAAGTTAAAAAAATGAAATTTTAATATCTTTCTAATAAAAAGAATATTTATTAATATTAAAAATCATTCTCACAAAGAAATATATAAGATTATATGCATAGAAAAAAAAAGCCCTCCTTAATTTTCGACAAAGAATCGCCATAAATTTTTCACACTTATTTAGATACACCCTGTGTATAAATAAATAAATATATATATATATATATGCAAACTATGACACGCGCAGCATAAAATACATCCCGATCTTTGAAGACCGCTAATTAGCCTGTCGGAATAGTACTCCAAATTGTTTGGGTAGCGTAGCAATTAGCACGGGTCTGCTAATGAGTATAGTGTATTTACCGGAATTCACCGGCACTCTACGTCCTAAGAGATCGGACAATCTCGTACTCGAAGAAATTGTGACTTGTCGTGCCGACATCTGCTTAGCATGTCGCGGAGAAAATTATGAACTGCAAATCAAACAAATTGCCTGTTTTATTGTCTCGCGAGAAGAAAATCACAGTTTCGTTTATAAGCTTTATAGGATATAATATTTTTAACACTTTACTTAATTTAACGCATTAAAAAAATGAATATTAAACCGCAATTTCTTCAAACGCTAATATAATATTTCCTACTTGTACTTTGGTAAAATTTTAGGTCTTCGTAATTGAATTCGAGCTTCGAAAATTATATTAGTAAAATTATATTAATTCTATTCTTTGTTAAAAAGAATATCAGATAACAAGTTAGATATCTTTAATTGCCTGAGAATTATTGCGTGAACGTACTATTATTACAAATGTCAATAATAATTAAATCCATCAAGAGACTCGAGGATAAAAAATAGATTCTCCTTCTTATCATTTATTTATAACCGTGTTCAACTGACGGCTCTAATACTTATCATTTTTTCCCTTCTGCGAGAAAGCTTTAAGCGGACTCATCGATTGTCATATAATTTATCCAAACCGCGATTTTCTTGTGCGTCTTCGAGCCGGAAACGAGCTCGCGGAATGAAAAATAAGTGCGATGTGCAATTTGAATCAGAAAAGAAGCTAGAATTCGAAAAGACGACGAGAAAAGGAGAAAACCTTCTAGCGACCGGAAAGAGGGTAGGCATGCAGGAAACGATTACATATCGCTTCGACTAGAAACATTTACCCTCACCCGGTTTACTCTCCGAAAAAAAATCGTGCAGCGATTAAAGGCGACTCGATACTCGATTTTTGGCTCGATTGTCGGGGTGCGTTTCTTTCGATTGTACCTTATATAGGTACCGCGAAGGGTTGATCGATTGCTAATTTTACACTAGTCGCGGACTGGCGAAAACATGGATGACGAAGTTCGATACGTTTCTCGGAAACATGGTACTCACGACACACCGGAAGCTGTTCTCTCGTCGACTCTATAATATACACCCTCTCTCTATATCTCTTCTTTCTCCGAGCTGCTTCCACCCCTGGGCGTTACTCGACGGCGGCCTCGACTCGAATCGGCGAACAACCGGAGCGGCGAAAAAAAAGAACGTTCGGGGGTTGCGATGCAATATTTGGTTCACACTCTCTCTTTCTCGCCCTCTCGTGTTTTTTTCCCTTACAGGAACATCGCACGTCGCTGTATACGTCGTTCGCGACGCGATATGGCGGTAAACGATCAGGGGACACGAGAATCTGTCCTTCCACGGCGATCTCTCGTCGACGACGACGACGAGAACGACGACGACGACGACGACGACGTGCCGAGTGCGCCTGACTGGTGGTGGTGAACGCGCGAACATGGCCGCCCCGACGTAAATCGATAAAACACGTTACGTTTTCCGGCGGCGCCGCTCGGAGCCGACGCTCTGCGTCGTTTTCTCACCCTCGTCCCCACTGGTCCCCGCCGCCGTCGTCGTCGTCGTCGTCGTTGACGGAGCGCCAGAAGACGACGACGACGTTGAGGAACGTCCGTTCGACGTCATCGGGCGCGCGTACGTTCGATATAAAGCGGCTTTTTTTCTATTTTTTCTTTCTTTTTGTTTTGAAATTATATACTCTCGCCGGCCTTCCGGGATGCAGATAATGATGATAGTATGCTCAGTGACGTCATAATATATCTACCGTGATCGTGATTTTAATTAGCTCTGTTCTCGTTACTCTTGCGTCGGCGTCAAAGGAGCAAAGAGCATTTGAAGAATAGTATAGTTAATTATTATTAGATTAATTAAGGCTATCAACCCTCTACTATCCTCTTCCTTCGTTTGTTCGTTTAAACACTAATGTTCTTATATGCAAAAGATTCTCATGATGCAGCTATCATTTTTAATCCTCTATATTTTTCGTGTCGTACATTTATTATCGTAAAATATATTCGCACTGAAAAAACTTATTGAATATTCGAATGAATATTTATAAATCATTTTATTTGAAACTAATGATATATATTGATTTGACGTGAAAAATATTTATTTGATATAAGAAAATCCTTTTCAAAACAGATAAATATTTATTTGTTTCAAATAATTGATTTATTACAGATATTATGTAGATAGTATTGAAATAAATATTTATTCACAACGTCTATTTTTGTATTTATTTAGAAAAGAATACGAGAATAATGTAATATATAGGGTTCTTGCATTTTTAATGAGGAAAGTTGGGCGAGCAGGCGGACAGCATTTTTAGTTAGTGTATAAAAAACTAGAATATTCTTCTTCGAGTGAGAGGAATATCGAGAGAAAAACATCTATTACGTGTGCTTGTATGTGTGTAAAACAGAAAGAAGTATAGTCATCTACTCTATATAAAGCTCGCGTCCTAACTTGGCGCATTCCCGAATCTATCTACTGCGACAGAGATCTTTCGATATATAAAGTATTTCCGAGTTGAATGGAATCTTTCGATGATATTTTAGGCATCGAAAATAAAATAAAGAATAAATTTGCGAGAAAATAAAATACAATAAAAAAAGTTTCACAAGTAATTTTACAGATCAATGAAAGTTACGGGGAAATTTTTTTCATCCACAAACAGTATTGCTGTTATCTAAAAAAAATTATATAGATGATCATCTAGATACAACGTCATTTTGTCATTATATAGATAATAAAAAATATATATTATCTATATCGGCATCTTACAATTAGTTGAAAAAGTGTTATCTTTATTAAATTATCTAAAATAATATTCAGACAATTTGGTTTAGAGTCATAATAAATAAAAATACTCTTAAGTAGTAGTAAAACTTGAACAGTAAACGATAAAAACTTACAAATAAAAATGTGAATATATTTTTATATCCCTTTTATAATTAATATTTTTTATATAACTATGTTTACATAAGCAATTTTAAAACTATAATTATCTGGAAGTTATCTAGATGAATCGCTATATAATTTTATCTTTATATCTAGATATATATTTAAATTCAAAATTATCTTTATCTTATCTAATTGTAAGATGAATTTACATTTTTTAGCTTATCTTTATCTAAATCATTTTAAAATCACCTGAGCACACAACACTGCCCACGAAATATAGTAAATAAATAACGAGACATTTCTTTTAATTTTTTAATTAGAATAAGAAAACTAGATCCGAAAGTATCTTTGTTTTGTTCTCGGCTATATATGTATATATATTGAACGATAAAAGTTGATAATTTCTATACTTGCTTATAGGTCGTGTGCGATGATTCGAATATCCGAATGCTATTTTAACGTTAATAATATACAATGTGCACTGTTTCGAATCTCGAAATAGCGATTTTAATGGTGAGATATCGACCACATAGGTCGACGTTAATATAATCTAGAGCTCGCATGCGAAGGGGGCGACGATTCTTTCCGAGAGATGAAACATTACGATTGGAAGGAAATCGATTCGTAATTTTATTCCACTCTCTCTTTCTTTCTCTCACCTACTAGAAGACTACTATATAAAGCTTTTGTAACGTCTATGTAAATCCTTTTGTCTGAAATAGCAACGAGCTATATAACAAGTACAATTTGCATATGTATACGCATTATCTGTTTATACACAGAGAGAGAGATAAGATCGCAATATGTGACACAAAGTCATCGCGAGACACATAAAATATATAGACACAAATATCATTTTTTTTATATATATTTTTTTATTTATTTAATATATCTTTTTATTTTAATATATTTTTTAACATATATTTCTTTTTTAAATTTTTTAACATATTTTTTATATATTAAATTTTAAGAGCCTTAAAAATTCTTAATACAAAATATCAATTTTATTGCAATATCTTTATTTTATATCTATAACCTTGACGCGGCAGACAATATATTCCATTAATTATTGGAATTATTTAATTTCATCATCAATATATAATTCTCTCTAAATACGATTCCTTGTATTTATAAAGGATATATATTAGTAAATAAAATTGGTTACATCTATATAAATTGTATAAAGAATATATTAAATAAATAAAAAGTGCCGCATAGGGGCATATTGCACGGATTCCAGAAGAAACATTTCGTTTTTCATGCTAGATACGCGTATTTGAACATATCCGCATGTGTAAATAGACAATTTGCAACGATAAAGAGAATTATACAACCTGCACAACCCATATAATCTATATATTTATTAAAATACAAAATTACATACCCGTCCTCGTCGAACCGCGCTATCCCGCCAGCCGCCATTTTGAAATTAAGTGCTCGCCGAAAGTCACGTGAGCGAGACGTCATCGATTCGCTTTCTAAAACAGAGACCCGCGACGTTACCGACTGTAGCCAAATTAAACGCGGTCGGTATGTAACCTCGGGAGCTGTCAACTAGCTGTCAAACAAGCTTCCGGACGATCCGTTAAGATGACGTCTCGCGTCTGTTCCAGCATCGTCGAGGGCGTTCGTCTCGTTTCGGGCTCGTCTTCCTCTCCCTCGGAAAAGAGTCCCCTTCCCGTGAGGCTTTATCAAATATTTGTATAAATTATAATTACGACGTGCCTACATATATCGCCTCGTCGCCTCGAACGATGACGAATTTGGCGCGGCCCTCGTCGTTAGTCCCGTCATACACTTTGCGCCGCGATCGTCCGGGTTCCTGCGCCCGATACTATGGTGAAATGGCATAGCCGCGCTGACGTGCGGCTGGTGAACGCGGTGCTTGGCGATCGCGCACTCGTCGGAAGACGGATCTCCTGTCGTCTCGTTTTGGCTATGTCGTATTTGGTATGTATACATATATATATATATATATATATATATATATATATATATATATTTGTCTCTAACCGATGGGCGATGACACATATTTTATTACGCCAGATCCAATTATTCACCCTTTTTTATCTCATTTCGACTATAGCCCTTGGTGATCATCTTAATCAGATGAATGCGAGATAAATAAGGACCGGGAAATTTTGTTTTGGCGTCAAGATGCTAACGCAAATATATACATAAAACTATGTCCTCACTGGAGCAACAATGAACATTTTTCAGAAACATGGAACGTCAACAAAAAATTGCTCATTGTTGCTTCAGTGAAGATGCGGCTCTGTCTTCAGTGGAGCAACAACAAACAATATTTTTAAGAAACATGGAACATCAACAAAAATGTTCCTCATTGTTGCTGTAATGAAAAAGTAGCTTAAGAAACTTTTAGCAACAGCTAGCAACTTTTTGAGAAACAAAAGTTATCAACGAAAGTTGCTTGTTGTTGCTCCAGTGAGGACATAGCTTAAGGAACTTTAAGAAACTTTCGGCAACTTTTTTAAGAAACATAGAAAATCAACAAAAAGCTCATTGCTGCAGTGAAAAAGTAGCTTAAGGAATTTTAAGAACTATTCAGCAACAGCTAGCAACTTTCTAAAGAAATCTGTTATTCCAATGAAGATGCAGTTCTATGTTCTCACTGGAGCAACAATGAGCAACATTTTTAAGGAACATGGTACGTCAATAAAAAGTTGCTCATTGTTGCTCCAGTGAGGACATAGCTTAATGATGACGAGTCTGTTGAATAAACTTTGACAAATTATTGCAATGCTTTTTTTCTTGTTTAGATAAACGAAGGATGGGTTGCGTCAGTAGTAGGGCGAACGTTTTTCAAGTGATGAACGTGAATGACCAAGGTAAACCCATTGCTCGAGGACGTTTGGAAATCACCGAGATCAACATTATATTCCATCAGAATGGCAAGCAGCAGACTATGTGGCCACTGCGTTGTTTACGGCGATACGGATACGATTCGGAGCTATTCAGTTTTGAATCCGGCAGACGTTGTCCTACAGGCGAAGGCATATACGCCTTCAAGTGTAAGAAGGCGAGAGATTTGTTTAATCTTGTACAAACGAAAATTCAGGTTTGTGTAAATTCAATTTCTCTGTCTCCGATATTAATGTTTTATGTATATTGCAAAAAAAGTGTATTTATTATTATTTATGTATGTATATTGCAAGAAAAATGTATTTGTTTATTAATAAAGGTGTACACCAATAGTGGAGATGATGCGCAGTCAAGAGACTCAATTACGTCGCATCCTACCCCAGCAGTGCCAAGACTGGCAGTAGAGCCTACTTACTTAGATCCAATAACATCTAATAGAAGTAACAGTTGTGTGGAGTCTAGAATTAATCATAGTCAGCAAAACGGAAGATTGAGCAGTGTTGGAAGCAGCAGTGGTCCTATATCACCCCAGGGTACCGTGGGATCACCCTCGCCACCTCCTATGATGCCGCCTCCGCCACCGACATCTCAGCCCCATCCGTCCTCTTTATACGTCAATGAAGAAGTCTTGTCATCTGGCCTCACAGAGCACAATAATATCAAGAATCTTGGAAGAACAGTACAAAGGTAACGGTGTCGATTTAATCGATCGGATAAGACATGACGTCGCGAATGTAATATTAATAAATTTTTATTCTCGTTCTTCCAGATCACCACAGCCCGTTGTGGTCGAGAATGCGGTATTTAACAATAATGCAGTCGCAGAAATAGAATTAATACCCGTTCAGCCTAATGCAGAAGCTACGAATTGTGACCCAGCGTCGCCGTTACTGACTAAGACCCCTTACATGAACATAGACATCTGCAGTGAAACCGTCTGCAGTCGTATCTCGCCAACACACAGTACTTTGGAAACGAATCAGCTGAAGGAGGAGAGTAATCCAGGCGGATCTCAACACGCTTACATAAACTTAAGTCCCGGACAGGATCACATAGAGAAGATCGCTGTCAGGGCACGTCCATGTCCGCCTCCATTGCCCGTCTTGCCATCGGACGTCGAGGAAGTCTCGAGGCATTGTTACTACAATTTGGAGGCGAGCGAGATCCAGTATCTGAAGAAACGATACTCCGGTACCTCGATAACCGAAAAGTCGCCGTTGGCTCCTTCTACGCCGACGGAATGTCCGACGAGGGAGATGAATTACGCGATCCTGGATCTGGATAAAAGAGATTCGCCCCCTGGCACGTCCGATACCAACATGAATTCGCCGCCATCTCCGCCGGAATCTCCAAACAAGCCGCAAGTAGGCTACGTCACGATAGACTTCAAGAAAACGGTCGCGCTCTCGCACTCCGTCAATTCCAATCACGATAACGAAGGCTCGAGGAAGACTCGTCACAATTCGACGATGGACGATCTGCTGACGACTGCGTGCAAGCACAATTCCTCGGTGAGTGAGTAACACATTTTATACTTCCTACAATGAGATCGTGTTCCTCGCTATTTTGAATAAAAGAAGAGAGAAATTGGAAAAGATCGATTTAGTTTCGCTATAAGCTTCTGGAAGTCATTAAACTCATTTTTTAATTACTCGTTTAATGAACTCATTAGGCTTTAAACTTTCGACATTTCTTAGCAAATTGGAGGCTATCGTAGTATAGTTGATATACCGCGAGATATATTTCTAGCGTATAGATTTGTACACCAATTTTCAGTGCATTTTATCAGAGCAACAGTATTCATAAATGATAAGTCTTTTTTCCAAGTCGGAATAAGGCAGCATAAAAAAAATTTTTTATACATATGACACATATAGATAAGTTTTTTAGTACTTCTCACACAGATTTTTTACATTTAGCGTTTTACAAACTAATGTTGGAGGAATTGGAAGCTAAAGTGCCCTAATCTTTTTCTGTAAATATCATAGAGATTAATATGGCTCAAATGATCATATAACGGAGATACAAAGTATGTGGTATAAAAATATACGTAAAGAAAATATATACATGAGTTTCACTGAGAATCATAATATAGTGATTAATTTTAAGTGATTGCTGTCATTAATTATTGGATCTATCGCGAAGATAATTGATAAACAAAGTGTAAATTTATAACGAATATTTCTATGATTAAGTAATCACTTGAAATAAGATTGCGAGTGTCATATTCATTTAAGTTTGATACTTGTGATGCGAACGACTAACGATATTAAAAACAATACGTAGTTGATGCAAGCATTTATTACGTTCCAAAGATTATATATATTTTCGTTTCTAGTAAAAAATTTATATACGGATGTATTTAGCATTTATTAGCATTAGTTGATTTGAGTTTTTAATTTTTCTTCTGTTAGAGCTCTTAAGCTGTGTAATAAAATGCTGCAATACACATCCAAGATGTAAATAAGCATCACTTATGAATATAATAATCATTAATTTTTTTATAGATATGTATATTGTTATCTATTACATTTACATTTTATTATTAAAAAAGTGAAATTTAAACCAAATACATCACATATATTTTACACATTTTTACGTTAAACCAAAAATATATCTATAAAAAATAGATATAATCAAGTAAGAGTCTATTTGTCAGTCAATAAAATATTTTTGACACACTCACACGCACACATAGAAATACACTTACATTCGCGTGTGTTGAAAGATACGTAGAAAATATTGCAAAAAACATTAGATCTTTATTTTTTATGTAAATTGCATTCCAGTTCTTTCTCTCTCTTCCTCCTCCCCCTTCTCTCGCTAAAAAGAATTAGTTTATGAGCCACTATTCTTAATAATTCAGTCGACACGATTGAATTAAATAGGAATAACAAGTCTTATTAAAAAAAAAAAAAAAAAAACGCTTTCTTATAAAATGCACGGAATATAACTCTCGCTTATTTTAAAACTTATTGCGTTAGATTGCATATATCTTTTGTATAAAAAATTTCTTAAGTGGCAGCGACAATAAGGAATTGTTTGCCATAAGAGCAACAAATTATCGAAATAATCGAAAAAGGGATAGTGTGTTAAGTTTTACATAGATACGTATATTATATAATTAATTTTATGCAATAGGTGCGTGTGTGTAAATATATATATGTAGATATGTATGTCTGTTTTCTTTTCACTATTCTCTATTTTATGCAAAAGGAATAACTTTTTTATCATTATGTGCACTTGTTGTTGGGTGCCTCTATTTTTATTCGTCATAACATGATTCATTCGCGGGTTTCCCCGTTTATCTGTCTAATTGACACGCGTGCAAGATCAAGGGCGTCCGCAAAAAATTAATCGTCTGCTCTCTTTTGAATAAACACTGAAATTTATTTTTATATTTAATAGACAAAAATAAAAATAACAAAAAAATTAAATACAACATATATATTTGTATGTATATCGGCTGTAAAGCCTATCGCGATGTTTTTGCGTTAAAAAATTAAATTTAAAAATTAAAAAAAAATAATAAAAAATGTATTTATGTTCCTTCCTGAAAAAACCCTGTAGACGCCCGCGATCACATGTTGATTCTTGTCTCTCGGGAATTATGCATGTACATTAAATTAATAAGCACACTAACATCGCACACTTCTGCTTACTACGAATCGATAACGCTGTTATATATCTGTTATTGTTTGACGTAATGCTCTCGTTATTTATTACTGGTTATTTATTGACGGGATTGCCTGATAAGATTTCCATAGGTCGCATTCCTTTTTTTTCTCCCTCTTAATACAACCGCATTTATCTAGTTTGCGTTCCCCTCTTTGCATACAGTATTTAAAATCAGTGTCTTCAGTATTTTTCCTTTGTTGAGACAATCTGTTATGCATTTAAATTTTATATTATCTGCAGGAAGATCAAAGAAATCTGCATTTACTAATAAGTGACGCGAATTCAATAAAAGATGAAGATTCTTCTCTTGTTCCAATAATCTTATTTTGAGGATTGCTTGTTCAATAAAAATTATTCTTTTTATTATATAAAGTTTTCTATTATTTATTGTATTATAATTTAATAATTAACGCCTGTATCGCAGAAAAAAAAACAAATCATATCGAAAAGGAGCGTAACATAATTTTTTTAGATATCTATTAATAAGATCTCTTTTTTAAATGATTATACATAAAAACAAAATCGGTACATTCGAACACTTAAATTAAAGACAACGATATCATATTTGTTAAAATAAGAACTTGAAAAATACTGTTCGATGATATTAACGTATTCACTGCCATATACGAATACTTGAGAAAAATATTTAATATTTCTGCATCTTATCTGCATCGTTTAAAAAATAGTTGATTGATATATAAATATATATATATATATATTTATTATATAAGTAAAACTCATGTGATAATCTTTACAATGCATAATTTTAAATAACTTGATGGCATTATTCTGAATATCTTATTTATTATCTATTGCATTAATATCATTTTATGTGTGCGTGTGTGTATAATTTTTCAATACCGCGAATACTTTAAAAAAATACGAACGAATACTTTTAACCGAATTAATCGATAAAAGACTGAATTAAATGATAGTAGAAGGAAAGAGTAAATCCAGAAAAAATATACTTTACAACTGTGGAAAATATATAATTTATTAATGTACAATTTCAAATACTTTTCAATGCAACGAAGAATTAACGAGTAATTTCAGGCAATAATATTCAACGATCTGTTTTGTATGAGTTTTCGTGATAAATCAGATTTTGTAAATAGAATTTTTTCCTGCAGGCTCTAAACTAAACCGATTAAAAATTGGTAGTGAATAAGTTAATACGAGATCTCACTGGCTTTAATGTTCAAAAATTTATATAAAAAAATTAATTTGTTTTACATAAATACACTTTAGAGATATTATTAACAGAAGTTTTTGTTATATATTATAATATATGCATATATATACATATGTATACATATATATGTATATACATATATGTATACACAAAATTAATTCATATGTTATTCTTATATTATCTATTCAATTTTCTAATATGGATACACATGTTTGTCAAAGTAATATATATTAAATTAATTATATTTAGGAAAGCGAAAAGAATTCAGACCTATATATCAATTTATGATAAATGTCAGAGATGAGCAAAATATTGAAATTACAAGATTTGACAGATATCCTAGCTTTTCATCAATATTTTTCTAACTCCGAAACTATTGTAATGTTGACATCGTTAAAAGATAGATTCTAAATAATTTTTAGAATATGAAAAAATAAAATATTAAAATATTGCATGATGAAATGTCTATGTAGATAATGCTCATCTCTAACAAATATTATAGTATGTATCACGGGAAGATTCTATGTAATATATAATTTGTGATATATTGCATGCATCTTGGAGAGAGAGTTAGAACAATTAATGTTATAATATAAGAAACATACGACGAGAGTGTAACAATGTGCAATGCTTGAAATAGATGAGCTTTTTGTTCTTCGCATAGTATTTTATAAACACAACAAATCTACAATACAAAGGCCTCTGTTGTAAAAGAAATATATTTTTTCTAAATTATTAAATACAGATTAACTCGTGTATCTTAATTTTCATAAATGTATACTGTGTAACATTGTTATATATAGCGTGGCCTATATAATTCTAACAAAATTATTATCAGTGCTCAATATATTAAAACACCGTGGATGTATACGTTTACATTTAAAAAATGTACAATTATTTATCCAAAGAATCTATCTGTAAGAATGTATGGTTTAAGATATCTTAATTATAGATGACACAATAAATGTGTCATCGAACTCTTTTGTTACAATAATATTCTTAGAGGCATATATGAATTTTGATAACAACGCGATACGTTTTCCTTGTGCCAAATTATTATGCATTATAATTGGTGATTTAATAAGGTTAAGGATTTTTGCAAATTTAAGGACTATAATTGTATAACAATTGCAGTAATGAAAAAAATGTTATCGAAAAGGGATATTATAAGTGTGCGCATCAAGCACATTTCTATGAGATATGTTGTGGATTGTTTTGTGAATACATAAGTAGAATGTGCCAAAAAATATATAAATCTGTTTTATAATGTTTAAAGTTCGAATATATATATATATATATATATATATATATATATATATATATATTCATGATTTAGGCTTTCTGGTGCTACATACGTTCTAAAAATGGACATAGCCGATAACAATGACAGTGTCAATCTTGAATATGCAATATAGCAGCTGTATTATAGACAAATACATCGAATTGAATTTCTATCGAAGGGTGTGTGTTTGTGTGTGTATAGACGTATGAATTGTATATGCTACACTAAACGCGCGTACCTTAATTATATGTGACGCTCATAAAAAAAGAGCTTCTTATCGGTAGCAGCTAAAAAAAATGTGTCTCAGCACTCGTCGTGCGACAGTATTAATATACGTATGCGCACCTTTTCCGGTTCCCTTTAAGTTTTACAAAATTCATAACAACTGCATTTGTTAAAAATTTACATATGTTTTTAATATTGATCCGTTAGATAAATAATAAAAATATATATATATATATGCGAATAATATTTCATACAATCGTTGCAAATATTTTTTCGTAAACTTTTTCTGGTTTTTTTGTGTAATACACAAAGAGATTTAAGATTGACGGTGCAAAATGTAAAAATTTACAACTGTGAAACATGTTTTGTAATGGATGTGCGTTGAAATGGTCGAAAAAGGAGTTGTACGTTCGTTTCTATCTATTCTATCCTATGTGCATGTAATAGGAAGAAGGCTGTATGAAATAGAGGGAAGACGTATTTATTTTTATACAATATCTTGACGTTTTAATGTAGTAAGGTATAGCGAATTATATGTATTATACATTGCGTACGAGAGAGATTATTATATATATAATATTTATGTTATAACTCTAACACACACAGCCTTCCAGATATCATATGATACTTTGAAAAAAATGGTTTATATAAAATCCGTTAGCTATACATACAGACATGCTCCCGATTTATTCATTTCCGCGCTTTATTTTACAGATTGTATGGATTTATAAAATATACACTAATGTTATAAAAACTATCTCATTTTATTAATTATCCTTCTCAAATAATTCGACATGTAGATAAGTTTGCTAGCGCTATTCGCTGATAATAATTCAAAACCAAGCCTTCAAGCTTTTTATTGCACTTCAAGGTCAATTTCTTGTTTCTGAATTTATTCGTTGACAAATTTAATTTTCCATTTATATCTTCCTCGCGCGAATTCGTTATCCCTTGTCTTCGTCCGAATTCTCTAGAAATGATTCATTGGAACCGGCTGCTTCATCGTAAGAGGAATTATTTGTTACTTGAGACTCTGGATGTCGACGACATCGACATAGTCATCTCCATATCAGTGAGACTGTCAGTCGCTTATTTAACTCATCTTGGGCGCCGAAGAACTCTAGAGGAAAAGCCACGCGAAGTAGACACTTTACCCTAAATCATCGCGTGCACTTAATTGGTCTCGATTATTCCCGCTCGTACAATTTATTCGAAGCGAAGGAATATGATGATGCAATTAGCCTGCAAGATATTTCACTTTCTTCATCAAAGTTAAACTATATATACTTATGCATTACATTCATGTTACAGCAAAATCGTGTGTTGCAAAAGAATACAGCAAGGGATCAACGAAAAATATTCAGACCGCTCGAACTGACAGCAATTAAATGTGTCTCGTTAATTGACCTTCGATACTTACTAATAAAATACGAGCAATTCGTTCTATTAATTCTTATATCGATTTCATATCCCTTTTTCGTCTTATTTTCTTCCTCGACATTTAAAAAATATTAACTTAGAAACATAGTAAAACTAATATATTTTATCTATGAAAAAATTGATCTATATTTAATAATCTCTTTTTATCGATTATTCATTAATACAATTTCTTCGAAGTTCGCGATATGACGCAATCGCAAATAAATCATATTGATATGCTACGCCTATTAACTTGCTCTGCCTTCTATAGAGTAATGACGCAAAAAAAATTTGGAATTTGGCTAACTAAACTATATATGTACTTGTTTCATGCGAAACTGAAGATTTCGATGAGATTGATTAAACATATAATTAAAATATCCAATATATAATATGCATTGTCGGAAAAATTAGCCCTTTATTGAAATATTAATTTATAAGTAACTTAAACACTAACTATTAACACAGAGCAAAGAGAACTTTGGAAAAGCTGTAGTAGTCATAAGTCATAATACAATAATGAGTCTTCCTTCTTGTGTACAAAATAATTATTTTTTAGTCATTTATATATATATATATATGTGTGTGTGTATGTGTATGTGTATATATATATAGAATTATATTCCGAAAACAAGTGGCTTCTATATATGCACTAAATGATAAATTGATACATTTGAATTGTAACGAAAAAGTATATATCGCAGATTTCCAATTAAATCAAAAGAAAAATCCACTGAGCGACGTCGATTTCACACAAATCATATCTTCGCTAAAACAAAAAACACTATATTATCATTTATAACTTAATTACAATATATTATCATTATATTATAATACAGGGTGACATTATTTAGAAACGACTTTTCCTCAGTGAAAATATCGAGGGAGGTCATTATGTTTTACATGTTCCCAATTTTTACCATCATGTATCTTTGTAATTAAGCCTTAAATTAAAATTCTTTAAAGTAAATCTATCTAAAATTAACTGAAGAATATGGTTTTGTTAATATTTTGTTTCCACAAGACATAATTTGCGAAAAACGCTTTATTTTCAATCGTTTATAACTTGAAAATTATTGGTGTCTCGACATTTTCGCTCAGGAAACATCGTCTCCAAATGACGTCAGGAATCTGCTATTAATCAGGGATTCACTGAATACCTGAAGACACCCTGTATATTATCATATTTAGCGATACTCACTCGTTTATCTGCTTCGCGATCTGGAGCCTGATCGAGATTTCGACTTGGTTCGATCTTTGGAAAGAGACTTGCGTTTCTTGTTACGATATTTATCTTTAACACCGGCGCTCTTGCTGCGGGATCGGCTGCGTCGCGACGAGCGCGAGCGATTGCTACGGGATCTCGAGCGGGAACGTGAGCGCGATCGTGATCGTGATCTTGATCGCGAACGGGACCACCTAAAGTAAAAGTCACAATGAATAAATGTTAGAGTATAATGACCGCGTCCTACTATTACGAAACACTAGCATAAAACGTGAGACGTGGTTTCACTACTGTCTTTAGAACTCGAGATTACTGACTTTTAATAGCACATACTATCTCCAAAATTAATGATTAATTTCAATCAATCGCGCATTTCAATCTCACCAATATAAAACCTAAATCCTGTTAAACCTTTAATATATATGTATAATATATACTATAATATAATATATACACTTAACGTGCATAAAAAAATAAATAAATATATACTAAATAAAATAATTTCTTAAAAACATTGAAAACGTCTTCACGTTACAAAGTTGAAATGCATATTAGTGTATGTATAACGAATAATATATAGACAAAATTGATTTACATAGTCTTTTAAAATGTATCGACATAAAAAATATTTCTGTTGGATAATTCTTCGCCTAACTTATTTCCATAAATATATGCAATTAACTTTAAGAATCGTGCAAGTTTATGCATAATAATTACAACGGATTTGAAAAATTCACTCTGCGTCACCGTAATACGTTAATCCATGTAGAATTATATACTTGATTGGTTCTACTTATGTACCATCCTGGTTCCCTGGGCTGTACTTATAGCAGATAATCGTGGATCGCGTGCGCGCGATGGCTACGCCTGGGAAGGGAGACAGCGGACGAGCGCTTTTATGCGGATGAAATCACGAGAGATGAACGGAGATGAAGAGTGGCTAGAGATGGGAACGCTGAAAGGTTCGTCTCTCAGCGATCATTAGGTATTACGAGGACGACGACGATGACGATAACGACGACGACGATGACGACTGACGACGATGACGAGGACGATGACGACCGACGATAACTGCTGATGATGATGATGATGACGACGACGACGACAACGACGACTAGGCAGAAATCACAGATAGCTGAACGAAGAACGCCGACGAAGTCATGCCGACGTGCATAAACTCTAGATCTGTGATGGTCAGTGGTCAGCGGATCGGTATCGTAGTAGGACTAGTAGTAGCCGCCACACGTGTCCGGCCCCCATGATTTTGAGCCGCGCTTTCTCGCTCGCAGAGATGTGCAGAGGGAAACCCAAAGTAGGTGGAGTGCTCTACGCTGTAACTACGACGCGCGGTGTGTGTGTGCGTTCACGAACACGTGAACCCAAGGCGAATCTCGCGCGACAATGTCGGGGCGACAACACACATTTCTTATGCATGTGCCGCATGCTCAGCCGCAACTCCTATAAATAATGGGGTAGTATTACGTTTGCCGCCTTCTACAACCACTTTATGTTTGTAGGAATCTACTTTTTTTCTCTCTTAATCATTGATCATCTGAATGACTATCGATATTGGTTAAATAACGTCAACCTATGCAATCTTTTTACATAATTGTAATGACACAATAATTGTAATACTATGTCATTTAATCAAATAAAAAAAAGATGTTTTATATGTAATAATATAGATCATCTTATTGGAGATATATTAAATATAGCAGTATTTTTTGTATTTAATTAACTCCTAATTATTGAATATCTAATAATTAAAGTATGTTAAATACTTAAAATCTAAATACAATTGATGATCAATATAAAATAATATTTTTTAAGCAACTGTAAGCTTGGACTTAGATTTATATAACAAGATATAAATCTATATCTTTCTGTAACTATTCTATGATCCTTTCTCATCCTGCAAGTTATGTCCCCATAGTGCATGTACAAAGGCAAAAATTTGCATACAAAATGTAAACAATTCAATGTACAATCTTTTAAACATGACACAAATTTAATATATACAAATTTTATAAAAATTGTATTTATATATACAATAAATATAAATATGAAATAATAACTAATTCTATTTAATATGAAATCTTTAGGAAACTTACCTTCTTCTGCGAGAACTCCTATGGCGATGACAATCTCTAGCGTAGTGGCCCCTTTCACCACATTCGTAACATTTATCTTCTGGATGAAAGGGTCTTCCGGTGCCTCTCCTAAAGGAGCCTCTATCTCTCAATTTTTTTCCATTCGACAGTTCCACACGAACGCGTCTTCCGCATAAAGTACGACCGTCCAGACCTCTCACTGCATCCTCCGCATCTCTAGGATCCTCAAATTCGACAAAGGCAAATCCAGGAGGATTTCTGGCAACCCAGACATTTTGTAAGGATCCATAATAGGAAAACGCATCCTCCAATTCTTGCTTACTAGCACTACTTCCCAAATCTCCTACGTAGACTTTGCCATCAGAGGGATAACGTGACATCTGGACATACATATATGTGTAAGATTAAAAATTATAAACAGAATACTGATAAACAAGATGAATGAAATCCATATCTCTAACTATTTTTCTTATCTCTTCATTATATCACATATACTGCATATATTTCAAAGAAGTGGGGAAAAAAAGAGGAAAAAAAGAGAAATTTAAACATATTTCATTTCATTACGCTTTTTTTTGAGATATAAGAAATATATAGAGCAATAAAACAATAACATTTCGTTAAGTGAGAAACTTTAAAACTGCCGACAATATAATTTTATGTTTGTATACCTTGCTCATTTTGCTGGCTTCTCGTAAATTACTCTAGTAAATATGAAGACCTATATGGCAGAAACTATGCTTTATTTTGGAAAATATCGTGAGAGTTCCGTAATTAGCGAGATGGCTTCTCGTACACACCATATCGATTCGAGAAACAAATTACGAATTGATTAGAGAGAAACCGCTTTTCATAGAACCAATTTTTCAATAGCGTTTTCACCACACGATATTTACGAGAACGTCCACCAATGACAGCGACTCTTCATTGTGCTCTTCGATTTGACTGACCAATCCGCGAAAAGAACTCGGTTTCTCTATATCGTGATTTTTTTCAGGAATAGTATACCAACGACATCTTAATTAATGATAAAGTACTAACAAAATAAATTTGTTATCATCAAACGAAATTGAAGAGCGCCGATATTATCGATAAAATCATAAGATGCAATATAGCGCGAAATAATAGAGAATTTTGATACAAAATGTTTTTTTAATCAAAACAAGTTACAGCAATTGTTTTTATTATTACAAAAATATCGATTAAGAATAATAATTAGATTATTGATAATTGAATATTATATATATACATATATATATATGTATATTTGATGTCATCACGGTTGTCATAGTAACGACGCGGTGAAATATTTTGACAGTTCATACTTTGACAGTTGTTGAATATAGTGTAATAACGTAATATGTCAAATATATATATTATAGTGTGCTATATTATATTAATATAAATAATCTGTTAAATTAATTTATAGTAATATTAATTTAATAATCATATATTAATAATATATTGATAATATTAATTTAATCATGAGCTCGATTTTCGGAAGTAGCGATAAAACTGAAAACATTGTTATTTTTGACGTCTCGAAAAATGAAAGAAAATTGAATGACGATTTCAAAGTACTTCAACGCAAATTAAAGACAAAATCGAAATTTATAGAGTAAGTAAAAATTTGTTAAAACGACTTCTCATACAGTTGTTTGTATATTGTATAAATTATACCATAAAATTCTAAGTTTTCTTATATTAAAATTGAAAACGAATTTATACTTTAAAAATGATTATATTTCAGAAACAGCGAAGTGATATCGCAAGAATTATTGACAAATGCCAAAATTTTAGTATTGCCAGGACCATTAGATAAATTTACAGAGCTTGAAATGAATTCCATTAGAACCTTTTTAAATTCTGGTGGCAATGTTCTTGTTACACTTGGAGAAGGTGGTGAGAACAAATCCAACACAAATATTAACTTTTTACTAGAAGAATTTGGCATTATGGTAAATAATGGTATGTAAAATATTTAAAAAGAAAAAGAGAAAGAAAAATATTCCATTGAAACTTTTTATACATATATACTCACAAGTTTTAATTTTTCTATTTCCAGATAGTGTAGCTAGGATGAGTTATAGTCAAACAATGCATCCTAAGGAAACTTTAATATGTCAAGGTCTATCAAACAAATCTATATTTCTAAAGAATCATGACGAATGCATGTGAGATAATCTTTTAATATTCTACTATATTTTTTTATCAGTTTTCTTAATGTATAATTGTTTCAGTGGCATGAAATTTTTATATCCTTATGGTGCAACTTTAAATGTAGTACAACCATCTGTCGTTGCTCTGTCCAGTGGATCAATTGCTATTCCAATGAATAGACCTATTTGTGCCTATCACTGCATCAAAACTGGTGGTGGCAAGTTAGTTGTGTTAGGTTCATCCAAAATGCTGGCAGATACTTACATAGAAAAGGAGAATAATGATGCCTTGCGTGAAATGATTTTTGATTTTTTTGAGTTGGATGTCACAGGGATAGTGGATCTTCAAATGGATGATGTAGAAGTATGTTTATATTAGTTGTATAAATTAATATAATTCGAAGATTACGATTTTCTATATTCGGATTTATAAAATCAATTTGCAATTAAAATTTTTTATATATTTACAGTTTTGGGAATACAACTTTGTGCCAGATTTAACACAACAGGCAGATAATCCGAAAGTTTGCACACAAGACTTGGATAATATCGATATTCCTCGCGAGTACACCAAGTTATTTAAGCAGCATTTTTATTCTATAAATTTGAACATGGTACCAGCTTGTATAAAAGCATACGAGGCCTTAGGAGTGAAACATGAACCGCTTACTTTGATTCCACCTCATTTTGAAGCACCTTTACCTCCCACACAGGCTTCAGTGAGCATTACATTTTGTGTGACCAATTATCTCTATTTCTAATTTATTAGCACACATAATTATTATGTGAATAACTTCGAAATCATCCTTTATAGGTATTTCCTCCGAGTTTTCAAGAATTACCGCCGCCTGCTTTGGAACTATTTGACCTAAATGAAGCGTTTAGTTCTGATTTCTTGAAACTGTCCCAGCTCACTAATAAATATATGGCGACAAAGAATTTATCAAACAATAAAGAACTAGAGCATTATATTAGAGAATTTGGAAGTATTATAATAAGGATAAACAATTCTGAGACATACACCGCCAAAGAAGTATTAAATTTCATTTTTCAGAAAATTTGCAGTTACAAAGCAACACATGATTGAAATCTTTGTACAGAGGAATAATGTATTAAAATTTATCGCTGATTTTCTAAGACAATCCATTAAAAACAAATGTTTAACGAAAAATTATTGTGATTTATTTAAATTTCCCGCTTAATCATTTTTTTATCTAGCGACATCTGTCGACAAAATTTGGATCAAATTTATTTGATGTGACAATCATCAGCTGATGACAATTTGTGACAGGTGCTGTTATAATCCTTTTTTACAATAAAATTCTAGCAACAATTTTTATAAACTTTATAGTTACGTCGAAGTTATACTATGTAATCAACGTTAATACCAAAGTAATCCCTTTATAAGAGTAAAGATTAATATTTGCAGTGCAAATATTTTTTCGCTTAAAGGGAGAATCATGGAGTCACACGAAATTAATGATGTAGCTAATAATGTACCATTAAATGCACAAACTGTGTTAAGGTCATGTGTTCCAACAACTAATGAAGGTACATATAGATCCACTGGTAGACTGCTAGTCCGCACCAAATTTAGACATTGGACACTGTACCTTTATTTTGAAGTATTTCTGCATCTAGCACAATTTTTCTGTTGCTATATTTTAATCTGTATTAATAGACTAAATTGTGTATCAGATTACACAGAAGCTCGGCACACTGAATCAATTAATAATCGCACAAAAATGGCTCAAACTATATGTCATAATTACAGTACAAAAGATTATGAATGATAATAATAATAGACAATTTGCATTTAGCTGAAAGATTACGAAATCTCCAAGAAGACGAACACTCGAAATTAACAATTGGAGCGTTTTTCGAATTTATGAGAACTGCGTACCAAGTTAATGACAGTTGCGAAGGTCTGCCTACGATACTAAGTGCTAATAGCGAAATTGATTGGCAAGCATTAGCAAAGATTAATTTAGATCTAAAAACGCATGGAGATAATAAAGTCACTAATGACAACTGTAATTTCAATATTCAAGAACAGCAATACAAACACAATGATTCTGCACAAGAGTTATCGCCACAAACAACAAGTAGTAAAGAAGCAAGTCTATGTATATCGAATAGTACAATAAATTCGCACAATTCTACAATCTCTTGTAATACCAATATTTATGAGGCATGCAATAAAGATGACTCTACACAGGAATCTAGCAGCGCAGAAAGTTCTTCTAACAAACATTTAGAAACAGGGGATAATGCCAAAGAAGTGAATCAGTTATCAGAAAGTTGCCAAACCTCGAATGAAAAGAAGAGAATTTTACAGCTTAAGGAGCATGTGGAAGAGATTGAATATGGTCTAGCAAAAGTTATGAAGGAAAATCTAAGAGATATCTTGCACGAAGGATTATTGGACTCTGTTTTGCCATACATGCTGCCGAAATCTGCTCTATCACAGCCTGTTATTAAAAAGTCTATGGTCGTTACAGATGTTAAAAAGAATTCTTCATTGGGTAATGTGGTTGAGAATAAAGCTGCAGTTTCAATTTATAAAGAACGGGACAAAGAGAAAAATAAGATAAACAAGAAATCATTAGAGTAAGTGTTTTAATTAAGTAATTATATATATATGTATGTATGTATGTATATGTGTAAAAAATTTGAATATATATTATCTCTATATTTATCAATACATTGTATATCTTTTAGGAACGAGGTAGAAATTCACGTATGCGACGAAGATAAGAACATAAAAAAGAACTTTAGATGTCCCCAAAAACTTCTTATTCAGAAAATGTGTTATTTTGCTGATGTAACAGCAGGGCAGAAACTTGACGAGATAGATATATCGGTACATTGTGATGTCGTTATTTTTGATTGGCTGATGAGATGGGTAAAGAAAGATATCATAAAAAGTCCGAGTGGCCAGTTCTAGAGGCGAGTAATGTCATTCCGATTATGGTATCCGCTTGCTTTCTGCAAATGGAGCCGCTTTTGGAGAATTGTCTTCAATACTGCCACAACAACATGTCAGATATCTTGAAGACGTCGACGATCTTATCGTGTCTGGACGATAATCTTCTCACAAGGCATATACTTCATTATTTTCATCAGTAGAATTTTAATTGTATTTTTTATTATATATTCTGATTATGTGGCAAACAATAATATGTAGCTGTTAAAATGTTTTCTTTTTCGCTATTTTATTGAGATTATTTTATTGACAGACTGGCTGAATTATTTACAAATGAGGATGTCGAAATGTTAAAAGACAAAAAGGATAAAGTTCAGAGTCGTTTGTTCTGCAAGTTAATTATGTCACTGATGGAAACTACTCCGGATAATAAGAAGGGGCATTACAGTTCGTTGGCTATGCTGTTCAAATGTGGAAAATGCAACAAAAATGTTATACAATCAATTTCGGATTTCGTTCCTTGCATCCCAAGTGCAATAAAAATCGACAACAAGGGAGCCGTTCATAGCAAACATGTCAGGTACACGCAATACTTTACAACATGTGATTTACACGTAAGAGATGGAAAATATCTCATTATTTTACAGAGATCTGACTTGGACATTGAACGATTACATCGTTACTTTACGATCGGAGTTACGTTCCTGGCGTAAAGTTTATTGGAGATTGTGGGGAGATTGCCATTTCTTGTTTTGCCAACAGTGCAATGTGTATTTTCCGATACATCAGATCGATTGGTGCTGTTATCATCCGGAATCCGCGCAATTCTTTGTGAACGAGCAACAGAGGCCTACACCTTTTCCTCTGGGAAGATATCCATGCTGCAGTCAACGTGCCTATAGATTCGAAGCTTTGTCCAGTCAAAGCGGATGCAGGTACAAAGTTGGTATCAGTATATTATGTATTTTTTGTAATTACATAGAAATTAAAAAGAATCGATTTTCATTACATTAAATATTATTTAATTATATATTAAATTATTATTAAATATATATATATATATATATATGTATATATATATATATAATGCTAGTGTTAGCATATATATTTTTTGTAATTACATAGAAATGAAAAAGAATTAATTTCTATTACATATTAAATATTATTATTCAATTATATATTGAATTATTATTAAATATATTGTATATAATGTATATATAAAAATGTAGATTATACATGAAGTTCTCTTTTTATATGTTTTTGTATATTTGTTTTAGGAACATGTACCAGATATAAAGAACGAGAAAGGTTTAAATGTTTTAAATATTCTGACAGCAAATAGAGAAGTAATAACTATCGAACCGCCCCAACTTTTTTTCCCGGAAAAGATTACACGATTGGTGACACGCGATCCGTCTCTTCGACCAGGTAAATTAGTGTGCAAGGATATAATGTGGTGGAATGGCATAGAACTCGCGCCATCAAGGCCAAAACTTGGCCTACTCGGTAAGTCGAAAAAAAATTTTCCTTTTTCTTTTATAAATTATTACTTATAATGCATACAAAAACATTTTTTCTTTCACAAAAAACAGGAAAAATTTGGGGTGGTTCGGGACTCCGTCGATTACTCCAAGCGCAAGATTCACAAAAATCTTTGCAGAAACTTCGTCGACAGATTTCCGCAACTACCGACCCCTTGTCTCCCACTTCTTCGATTACGGATGAGGACGACGAAGACGATGGCGGAACCGCATATGAAGACAGTAGTATAGACGACGAATCGTATTACAGCGAAGAATCCAATACGTGCGCATTAAAACCAATGAATAATACGAAGCACAATCAGAAGTAAGCAATCGATTTAATTGATAATATTTTATATAATGTAAAATATAAAGCATTTTATGTAATATAAAAAATCATGTAATGTATTTTATGTAATATAAAAAAATCACTTTGTGATCTTATCATATTTTTTAGGAACAACAGTAGATGTTGGAGCGATAATTTAAACGTAAGACACAATCAGGATAATCAGAGAGATTTTGAAGAAAGAGCCGCGGTGCAAATGATAGCACTTCTAACAAAAAGAACAGTTACGGAAAACTTGCTTTCAAAATCTTACAACAAGCAACAACACAATTACAAGACTAAGCAACCTATCGGTATGTTACTCATGTGCAATATATATGTAATAATATATTTAATTAAGCAAAAGAGAAATCAGTATCACAAATAATATATAATCTGAAACAGGTGGGACGTATATGAAGCTAGAAGTTGAATTTCGCGAACAGCTCGCTCAGTCTTGTAAATATAAGAATTCTGTAATAGGGAAGACTCGTATGAAATCAAACAAGTCCTGATTTGCATAAAGTTAAATAAATTCATCTAAAGTATCGTGTTGAAAAAATTTTGTTGCGATTTAAGGTAAAGAGAAAAAAAGACACTGCCATGCATAATACTCTTACATTGTGTAATAAATACATTTTATTTAATTAAACTACATTTATTAAATTAATTTATTACAAATTTATTACACATTAATCTTTATAAAAAAATAAAAATGCATTACATTATTATAAAGACATGCATTATTATAAAGATTGAAAGTAAACTTTTATTACTGAAAAATGTAATCAATACTGTATTTATGGAATGACAAAGATTCGCTTGTTAAACAATGTAATTTGTAATTATTGTAAAATTAATATGTAATTATTGTCTGCGTTTCTATTTCTTTCAAAAAATTATGTGGATTTTATTTATCAATCATCTCTTCTATCAAGTCGCTTCTATCTAACAGTGTGTTCAACTCTGATTCTGTAAACACTACAAAAAAATATCAACCTATTAATTTCGATACAATTCTTTACATGCATATTCTGATCTGATATTATGTGACAAAAACACTCACCTTCATTTTCAGAAGTAACAACTTTATATTCCTTAGATTCCATCAGCTGCTTCATTTGTAATAAACCCTCTTTATTTAAAATATTCATTGCGCTCAATTCTTTTGACATAACTATTTTTTCTAAAATACGTTTAGAGTCGGCACGCTTGATAATCGCTTCATCAACCGTTCCCTTAGTGCACAGTCTATAAACAACCACAGGTTTGGTTTGTCCTATTCTATGACATCGTGCCATAGCTTGTATATCCGCTTGTGGATTCTGTATTTAAAATTCGCGAGTGTGAATAAAATGTAAATATTGACAGGCATGAAAAAAAAACTATACCAGAATTATTAACTCACCCAATCACTGTCATATATAATAACAGTATCTGCGCCTGCCAAGTTTAATCCAACTCCACCAGCTCTAGTAGATATAAGAAACAGGAACATATCCGGATCGTTGTTAAAAGTTTGAATATTTTCTTTCCTTGTTTCAATTTTAGTTTTACCATCTAATCTCACATATTTATAATTTCGTAATAAGAGATAATCTTCAATCATATCCAAGATCATAGTCATTGTCGAAAATAGCAGAATTTTATGACCTCGCGCTTTAAGTTTTTCCAGCATAGCATCTAGCACTAAAAGTTTGCCAGAGGATCTGATCAAATCGTCATCGATCTTTGGCAAACCGACCGAATTCAATGGGCAATGAACCAAATACGGATGATTTACAATCTTCTTATACATTGGAACTGAAATATAACATAAATAATTAAATAAATGTTTAAAAAATATGAATTAAATGTTTAATGATAACTTACTTCTATTTTGATAATTAATACGGATAAAAAAGTCCCTATTACGCTCTGTAACATCACTATACTGTTTCCACATCAACAAATTTTGTTGGTCTTCAGGTTTTAATGCATGCCACTTATTTGTATCATTGCTACTTTCGATTTCATCAAACGAAGTACAAAGTAACATGTCATTTCCGAAATTATCTTCAATAGATGCGTATCCACTTCTCATAAAAGCTTTCCTTTTCGGTCTTTTACCATCTTCAGTCGATATAATTAAATTTGATGTCTCAATTTTGCTCAATGTTTCTAAATCACGATTTAATACTGCTTTGTAAAGGTCGTGTTGCAGTTGCGTGAGTGGTGCATAGACTACCAACTCCTTCTTAGGAGGAACCTTCAGATTAACTTCATCTTTTATTCGTCTTAACATAAACGGCTTCAAAATTTCACGCAATGATGATAATACATGTTTCTCCTCTTCTTGCTTCAAAAATTTTTCGGTGCCTTCCTGCTCAACCTCTTTAACGTCGAACCATGATTCAAATACAGCTAAATCATCAAAGATTTCTGGTAACAAGAAATTTAAAAGGGACCATAGTTCAGCTAAATTATTCTGAAGTGGAGTTCCAGTCAATATTAGCCTATTCATGGATTGCATCTTTTTCAAGACACTAAAAAAATTAATCAATTTTTAGAACAAAGATGACAATATTTTGTAATTAAGAGTTCTTTAAAAAATATATATATTTTCATCATATAAAATATTTTTTATTTACTCTAAATTTATATTAATTTCAAAAATAATTTTTTAGCATTGTGTTTTTAATTAATTAAAACAATTAACATACTTGACTAGCATACAGTTATAATTTTTATTCTATGTCCCTCATCTATTATTATATATTTCCATTTCTGAGACTGAAGAAATCTAACTTCCTGCAGTGGCACTTCATAAGTAGTTATTACAACAGGCTGTGTTTTATAACCATCTGTAACATGGTGTTTATTTCTTATTTCTCTATATATAGACTCTCTTTCATCTTTTGGACCATGAAACAACACAACTGGTATATCAGGAGCGAATCTCTCAAATTCCATCATCCAATTTGGTATAGTGGAAAGAGGTGCAATTATTAAGTAAGGTCCTGCTTGTTTCTTCTCTATAAGATGGCTTATCAAGGCTATCACTTGTATTGTTTTTCCGAGACCCATTTCATCAGCTAGAATCCCATTCAAGGCATTCTCATAAAGCACCTTTAACCATTCAAAACCCTCTTGCTGATAATCATATAATTCTCCCTGAAAGTATTTTGGTTTAACAAAAGTGTTTTGCACAATAGGTGAATTTATTTCAGTAGGTGATTTCATTTCAGTGTCTGAATCTGCAGACAATTCTGCTTCTATCTCCTCTTCGCTTAGACTTTTTAGATCCTTTTTAGTCTGCATTTTCTTGACCTATAATTTAAATCCTCTTGTACTTAAATGATGTTACAAACTATGATAAAAATTCAAATATATTTTTTCTCATTACTTACTTCTGGAAGTATATAATCTTGTACATTATATTTTTTTGAATCCGTCTGTTTTCTTATGCTCCTTCTCTTCTTTGGTGGTGGTGGTATATTTTCATCATTAACAACAGATTTGCCTTTCTTCTTGACATTCCTTTGTTTTTCAATTTTATTTACCAAAAATGATGAATAAAATTTACTTTTATTCAACAAGTGCATCAATCGCTTGTATCTTTGTTCATGTTGCTCACGATTATATTCTTCTTCCGCAAGTCGTTTACTTTCAAGCTCACTCTCGTTCAGTCTTTTTCTTTTTATTTTCTTTTTTTCTTCCAAAGGTGTATTATTGAATTTGACATTACTGGTGAGTGGTATATCTTACATAAGAGAAAATGTTGAATTATTAAGATAAAACATACATATACATTTCTTGCCAACAAAATCATTGCATATAATCGAATTTATTTTTTAGGAGCTAACAAAATATGTAAATTAATTAATATGTGATAAAAATGAGAGCGAGCAAGATGGAAGAAAATTTTATAAATTATTCTGATTATTTAAAAGTAGATAAAATTGTTCTTTCAAGAAATCGGAATAACATGGGAGTTTTTCTTTAACCAGAGTAAAACGTGATTTTATTATCGGACGAAAAACTACATCAAACACACAAAGAGAAAAATGCTGAAAATAAAAATAATGTTCGTATTTTTTGTATCGACAAATGAAAAAAATTTACCTGTGGAAGAAACTGAACGGTCTCCGGATTCAATCATATTTGAATTATTATCAACAGGACAATCAACATCCATTTTTATAACGACACAAAAGAATTAATAAAAACTTAAGTTCTGTAAAATAAAGCAAGAACTCGGAATAACGGTTACAAAGAAATACGGTTAAAAGAACTAACACAAGACACAAAAGACGAAAAGACTGATACAAATATGGTTGCACAATAAATTGGCGCCAACAATAGGCAGGATGGCAACTGCCGAAATGTTAGTGACAAGTACATAGGGAAAAAATAAATGTCTAATTTTTATCGTTTTTATGTTGGCAATACTTTGTATAAAAAACTTGACTCCAAAAATAATTTTTATATAAATACGAAGGATTGCAGATAAAAATAAATACAATTTATTCATATTATAAAAATAAATAACTTCAGTAGTCTTTATAAACATTTATTCTGTCGATGCTGTATTAAAAGAAAACAAAATTGTGTAAACAAATATTTTTCAAAATACTTATGAATAAAAAAAGGATAAAGATTTATCTTATTATATTTTTAATAAGAGTAAAAGAAAATAATTATATAAAACAATAATGTATTAAAAGAAACAAAATTGCATAGACAAATAATTTTCAAAATATTTATGAATAAAAAAAGAAGGATAAATTAAGAGTTTAACATTAATATAAAACAATAATGTATTAAAAGAAACAAAATTGCATAGACAAATAATTTTCAAAATATTTATGAATAAAAAAAGGATAAAGATTTATCTTATTCTATCTTTAATAAGAGTAGAAGAAAATAATTATACAAAACAACAATAAGATTTGTACATGTGTGTATGCATAAATTAATGAGTCTATAAATAATAGATATCTTAACGCGTACACAATATACGCGTAAATTCATAAAACATAATCGACGCGTTAATTAACAGTGATCGCGGATCCTAATTGCCGCATCAATTTGTAACATTCCTGAAGACGTTTCCTGTCCCCTATTCGTTCAAGCGTCTTCGCAGCTTCCGCGAGCATCCCAGCACGTTCTCCCGGCGAAGCTAACAGTAGCGTTGGCAGATGTCTGCACGCCAAGCATAACGCGGCCGCATGTTCCCGCTCGCCGTTGTTCTGTTCCTGCGATCGATCCTTGCCGCATATGATCGAGGAACGCGAGTTTCTGTGGTGCAGACTTCGGTCTAACAAAATCTGCGTCTTCACTGGCGTCGCGCCAGCCATAATGCGCGCTGTGGCTTCATACAGAAACACTCGTGCCAATACAGACTGAAAAACAAATAATTATTATTAAAATTACATTAAAATTAATTTAGTTACATTAAAAGTTGTATGACACAACAAACAACTAATTCACAATCAATTAAAAGTTAATTGTTTTAAATATTATTTATATTAAATTAAAATGTTATAACTTTAAAATTTGTTTATTCAATATTTGATTTGTTAACTTTTTAAAAATTTATGTAAAGTAACAAATAAGGAAATAAAATTTTATTTTTTATATAGAAATATTTGTTTCTTTTTAATTAGAATTATGAAAAAAATAAAAACTAATAGTATCTTTGATTTATTTCAAAATTCTTGTAAGAATGACATCATAGAATGATTATCTTTTATTGATATTTAATCATTATTAAAAATTTAACTGTCCATTGTGTTTAAGATTTTATAGAAAAAAATAATGGTATTTATAGGTGAAAAAATGTTTAACTAGAAAAAAAGTTAATAAATTATGTTTGAAAATAACTAGTTTAAGTTAAAAATTAACTCATCTTAAACTAAGTTAAAAGTTATTAACTTTTTATTTAACTTTTAACTGATTAACTAGTTACAACCCAATCTTGATGTTAAATTCTTTTATTATATTGTGTGAATTTCACTGATTAAAATATATATATATATATATATATGATATATAAGATTATAGCTTACTGGAATATGTTGACACAATTGTCTCAGGCATGCCAAGTCACGTTGGAAGCCCGCAAGAGACATACTCACGACAGGTTTTTCCAACTCTACATCCTGACTCAAGTCTTGCCATAGTGTTGTGCGTATTTCGAGAAGCCAGTCGCAGACCCATAATTGAGTAAGCTGAAAAAGAGTAAACATAATAGACTAATATGTGGCAAAGATAAGAACACATTCGTACACATGCAACACAAGTAGACATAAAACTATTATATGGTGCTGCAACCTGCCACAAGAGTTGCACTGCAGGAGAATTGCATAGTTATATTTCATGCAATGCAACTACAATGCACACTTGTAACAGGTAAACGATAGCACAGGTTACACTTGAAAGAGTAGTACCTTCAAACAAAGTATAACTATTTTAAATATCTCTAATGTCCAATAATGGGGGATTCTCGAAATTTTCGCAATAGCTTCTGCACAAAAATATATATATATTGATCTCTTTTAAATAAAAAAAGTATAATCTTTTATTTATAAATTTTTCAATCCTTTTACAAGTACAAAATTTCATGGCCAATAATTCTGCAATATTCTGCATTTAATTTTGCTATTTAAACTTGAATATAGGCTAATATTACACATTTATGTCTGACAATTATTTGTAATTAATCTATTACAATTAATTTCATAACGTACCAAAATTTGTTGTGATGATTGCTCTTTGCAATGATAGTACACCATGGATTGTTCAAGTAGTAATCCTGCCTGATCAATGAAACGTGTGGAAACCAACTTTGTAGAATGTTTTGCTGCCTGCAGAACATTTAGTACAGCATGTGGTAATGGACTGCTACTACTATTGTCACTGATTTGGAAATTCCTTTCATAAGGAAATTTACTCTCCACAATGTTCCACGCCTTCGAATCTTCCTCTCCTAATCTCCAACTTGCAGCAGCGCAAATCACCGCTCCCCACCATAATCCAATTTCATCTTCGCACGCTGCAAAATAAGAAAGAGATGAGATTGATAATATACTGAAATATATACATATAATTTGTAATATATCTCCTATCAAATTTTTAATTTGAAAGATTAACTTTACACATAAATAGAAAAATATATTATTTATATATAAAAATTTCATCACATTTCATATAGATTGTATATAAATATATAAAATATAAAGATTATTGTAATTTTAAATAGTAAATTCTCGTACTTGCTACACTGATTTTGTCAATAGATGGGAAACAGGCGTCCACTTCTGCAGAAGCCATAATGATTCGTCCCAATTCAAGTACAGTAGATGCATGACACTCTCCAGCTGTACCAGTCAACAAACGCAAGCACTGCTCGATCAGATGATCTCTATATGCGCGGGCCGCGTACGATAAGGGATCCGCTCGGCTGCTTTGCGACGTAAACTCGCTGTCGGACTGTTTCTTGTATCGCCACTTCTGAGACGCCAAAAATCTCGCGCCTTCGTCAGTCATGATCCACTTTAATTTCGGAGGAACGGCGCACGAGGACAGCAAGGCGCGTGCTTTACCGAGATAATATTTGTGTATGTACGGGAAGAAGGATTCCTTCAAACATAACGCGGCGTTCACGTATATTTCCGCCAGGAGCGGCTTCGGCATATTCTCTCCAGCGATCTCAGCGTAATTGATGGCACATAAAGCAAGATACACTGTCGAATCTTTCGTACCCTCGGACAAACGAAGGCAGAGCATGTGTTGGTAAACGACTGCTATCTCCACAGACATCTCTGATTGCTGCCGTTCTGATTTCTCTGAAAACCACTTGCCGATTAGCGTGACCCATTTTCCCAGCCATAACTTGTGAAGAATTTGCCTCACTATTTGCCACGTGGTCGCGAGAAAAATCTCTGTGCGCGACAACGGGAAAGATCGGCCGAAGTATTGCAGCCATTGATGTAAGTCTCGATACGCCTGATTATACTCGTGTTTGGATATATTGAATTCGGCCTGACGTCGCCAACGACGTAGCTCGAGGAAGATCTTGCTGTCGGTAGGAAAAACGGGATCCCCGTAAAGCAACAATCTACAGAGACCACCCGCCAAAAGTATCAAATTGGTGAACCAAAGAATAACGTTGCTCCACAATTGTTTGTCCGATTCCGGCTGATCTGGTTATCAAAAAAGGAGAATATCAGTGATACTGAATTCATTTTAATTCAAATTAATAGGTCTATTTTGTAAAAGTACTCTATAACGCTGCATTAAAAGTTATGTAGCATTATAAAGCAAAAAAAAAAAGCTAAAGCTTATAGAGCGAAAATTTTCTTATAGAATATACGACTAAAAAAAATCTTTACTTGTGTACCTTGATAATTAAGTATCGTCCGTCCATCCAATTTCGTGTTTAAGTAATCGTAGTTGAATTTTCCAACATTGTTTATGAGAATACCAAGAGGATTGAATGCCAAGAAGAGTAGCATAAATCCGCACAATGTCAATCGAGTGTGATCCCTCATGCCTCCAGAAGTGGACACGGAATGAAGATTCTGCAGGACATCCGAATCGTCCTTTATCGACGACGGAGAAGGCGGCGACATCGGCGCGGGTGCAGGCGACAGGGACGGCTCGCTCGAATCCGAACGCGGAGGTGTAAGTTCCCCGCACACCAGGAGGTCCCGAAGATTTTGTCGTTGAGCTGTCATTTTCAATGACATATTCTCGGCTTTTAATTTCGCGTTCGCATTTTGCAAATACCTATAATTGTAGAGCAAGAGCTAATTAAAAAATTTGCTCCTCATTAACGTGTGTGCTCGAGATAAGATTAATTATCCTTGCCTGATATAGTCGATAGTTTTCCGTAAAATCGCCGACTTATTTAACTTGGCGTCGACGCCGACTATCATGTTCTTTAATTCAATTATCTTATCGTTGATCGACGTTCTGTAACGTCGCTCGATAGCATTGTGAGCGCTGCGTTTCACTTCTCTCACTCTAGGTACACCCACGTGTGCGCCTGTGTTTAGACGATTGATCTGCACTTTATCGGTGTCAAGTACTACAGGAATCCCTTAAATCGAAAACATATATGTTGATGTTCTATTGAAATTATATAACTACATAAATTTTTTGTATAATTATATATACTTATACAATGTATAGTTATATGTAATTATATATATACAGACAAGATTATAAATATTTTGCAAATAAGCTTATCTACTTGTATATTTACCAGTAGTTAACACTGTTCCGTTTGCAGTATTTACAAGAGTATGTATCTGATGTTGAACAGGAGTTGATGTAATAGTCTGTTGTCCACCTTTAGCATATACAAGAGACTCTGATTTGATCAATTTAGCAGGTAGAAGTAGCTGCCGTTGCTGAGTAACCGGAGCCAAGGTTACAACATTTGGCGACTGAACATTAAAATTCACATTTTGTGGTATTGTGTATTGTGAGCTAAATACTGTAGGCGCTGTTGATGCCACTGATATTCTCTGTGGCCTATTTTGTGGTATGGATGTAACATCTTGCTGCATATAAGCAACAGGTTGATTATTATCTGTCACTGATTGCTGTGTTACTGTAACATTTGTATTTGGTGATTCAAGAAGAGCTGGATCTTTGAAGTCTTTAAAATCCTTAAATTCATCATTGTTAATATTTAAGAAATCAAACGTATCCCCATCCACTGGCATAGGCTCCTCCAGCTCAGAAAGTAAAGCTTCGTCGCTGAAAAGCTCATTTTTCAATAATTCACTCTCGCAATTTGTTAGAAGATCTGCAATATATAATTGGCACAATTAGGCAATATAACAAAATATTAATAAATATTTAATACTAAACTCGATTTTTTAAATCTATTAATCTATTGTATATTAATTTCTTTAACTTTAACTGCTAAAATTATATATTAAATATTCAATATCAATCATGATAATATAAGAGATAAAAAAATATTTCTAAAGCACGTCTTGAGAAGAAATTGTTGTATTATATATGTGTATATATAATTTTTAATTAAAGACAAATGATTTTGATGTTATTCTTGCATAGGTTCATGCAGTATCACGCAGAGAGATAAAATACAAAGAATGATGTGTCAACAACTGAAAAAGCTAATACCTGCTGATAAAATAACAGTGCACGAAACTTATCGCGCGGGCGTTGGATATCTCCGAGATATTCGAACGAAAAACGCTTAACGAGAAATTACATTGTCGATGAGAGTGACCTACCATCGATGCCAGTGACTTCATTCAAATTGAAGCTGTCATTCGATTGAAAATTTGTGAAATCATTATCTTGGGCTGGCGCCCATCCGCCCGGGTCTGTCATCGTTCTGTCAAAATTTGTCAAATATTTCGCCTCATCGAAATAAATCCAACGACAGGACGACAAGTAACTCGTGCGAACCAAACACGGATATGTCAAGCGCAATAACTAAAAAATTACAAACGATCGTATGATCATCGCGCGGCCAATCAGGAGATCGCTACAGATCGGGTGATGTTGCGTCATCGCGCGCGATGCTAAACTCGCACAATTTGCGCCTCGGATGCGCCGTTCTTTCGCGAAATTGAAAATGCGCGAAGAACCGTCCAATTTGCCGACTTATAGAATTTTTCTATTTTTATTGCTTATCGGTTTCATCCGTTTCATCCGATAAGCAGCGTGAAAAAAGTGACAAGACAGTATAAATAGAAAAGTAAAAGATAAATAAAGTAAAGAAATGTCAAAAATGACAAGTCGGGTTTCTCGCGCATGCGCAGTGACGTCACGTGGTTCGATGACTCGCGTTGCGAAATATCGAGATAGAATCGATATATATCGAGACGTATATCGCGTATATCGTCGCGGATCTCTCTGAAACCTCTTCTTTCGTGGCGACGACGGGACGTGAATTTTCTACGTACGTTTTTGTCAATATTCTCGAGATTCTTCAAGAATTTGGATCGAATTGCAATATCCTTTCTCGCTGTATGTAAAGTATAAGTATACGATTTTGTTCCCGGTTTCCTCGACTTGGCCAGGAAACGCGAGATGTCAAATTTCACCCTCGTTGATTTTACACGCGAGCCACGTGCATTTTTCGCGTCATACGTTAAACATCGCGTGCGAAAATCCTTCAAATTACAACGAAAAGTATTATTTAAGAATCTAATATCACGCTCGAAACTTGAAATGTAACTTATACTGTTACATTCGCTCGATTTGTACAAAAATTTTCAGAATTTTTTAGGTTAAGTTCTTGATACTTGTAATCTGCTATATATAAAAATCTAGACAGATTATTCGTTTAAATAGGAATCTTTTGGAGAAAAATCATTGTCTATTACAATTTTAATTAAATAAGCATAAATATATTAATTTTTATTTGAAAAATTAACACTAATTAAATCAGGCTTAACGGAAGATCCATATTTTTAGAATGAGGAATCTCCAAATTTTTCTTATATTATTTACAATTTATTTTCTGTATGTGATAAATTTTTATTTAAAAAATTAACACTACTTAATTAAATCTCAGGCTTGACGGAAGATCCATATGTTTAGAATAAAAAATCTCTAAATTTGCCTTATATTATTTATAACTCATTTTCTGTATAGGATATTATCTCTCTTTAAAGAGAGAAGATGTAATATTTGAAATCTTTAACAGCGACATATAATTGTTACAGATTGACATCTCAACATGACCAACTCAAAGGGTTACAGGCGTGGTACGAGGGACTTGTTCTCCCGCAAGTTCCGTAAACATGGAACCATTCCCCTGTCTACGTATATGAAAACGTATAAGGTCGGCGATATTGTCGACATTAAGGGAAACGGTGCTGTGCAAAAGGGTATGCCGTATAAAGTCTATCACGGCAAGACCGGTCGCGTCTTTAACGTGACGGCGCACGCCCTGGGAGTCATCGTGAACAAAAGGGTGCGCGGACGCATCATCGCCAAGAGGATCAACGTACGCATCGAACATCTGAGCCATTCGAAGTGCAGGGACGACTTCCTCAAGCGCGTCAAGGAAAACGAGAGGCTCAGGAAGGAGGCGAAGGAGAAGAATATTCGCGTCCAGTTGAAACGACAGCCAGCCGAACCGTCTAAAGCACATATTGTGTCCGGACGTGAAGCGCCCATCTTACTCGCGCCTGTTCCATATGAATTTATTGCTTAAACTATTGAATAAACTATAAAAATTTTCAAAATAAACATCAGAATTATTATTATATTACCATTACATAACATTACTTTAAAAAATTATTGAATAATTAATGCTTAGTCTTCTTTTAAGAAATTACATGTATCGCATATGAAATTATTCTTTACATATTTCAATTTCACTGACAAATCAAATGTATATTCTTCATAACAATATTTTTATTCTCAGTCATATTTTCTTTACATTTGTATAGAATCTGATAGTGCTTCCAACGTTTCTCTCTATATCAATGGACACTTAAGTTATTTTAATAATGTAAATTATTCATTCTCTTCCAAAGACAGACTAGCTTTCGGACATACATTATAAATAAATATATAAAGCAATACACAAACTTCTTCCAATTTTTCTGAAATAATCGGTGGTTTATACGAACCAAAAATTCTATAAAATTTAGACAAATTATGAAATTCTATGTCGCGCTTCTTCCTATTTATACACTATAGGAGCCAAAACATAATTAAACATATCATTCTTATAAATAATTTAACATACCATTAGAACATTCAGATTCACTGCGCACTTTGTTAAAATACGAAAATTAGCATAGCAGGAGTGTGCTTAACTTTACAATTGCTATTTATATTGTATATTAAACTTTAACTACAATCACGCGATTGATAGAACAGAATATAACCAGTTTCAGAGCTCTTTTGAATATCTGATGTAAGTCCATAAAAATCTTCTATAGTTGACGCATCAATTTTCTGGAAGCATAAGGACATTTAATTTTTTGTTCTAAATATATTTTAATGTCTATATTTATATGGATAAAGCATTTATAAAATTAATTAAATTAGAGAACTTACATCGACCATATCATCGTCAAAGAGCAACCAGAATCCATGGCTTTTAACTATAGAAATGTAATGCCCTCGGTTAGGCCCACTTCCACAATGTATCACAACTGCCACCAAATCATACAAACGATCTGGGTTTACAGCATCATCACTCTATAATTAAAACAAATACATATTGCTATTAAGCATGAAATAATTATATATCATTGTCTTGAAGAGAAATAACTGACAAGATTCTTTATATTTATAAATATTATCTAAATATATTAAACTTATACATATGTGTAATAATCATGTAATTTCTAAAATTGGATTTTAAAGTATTTAATAAAAAAAACTTACAGTATTGAAAAGTCTGAGTTCCAATGGAAAAACTACCCTGTGAGATACTTTTATGTGGCGATTATACTGTTCCACATATTTAAATCTCTTTAGATGCAATGCTAGGATCATAGGTAGTTTCTTAACTCTCATTCGTTTCTGTAATACAGACAAAACATTCATGTTCCAATGTATGATTTGCTCTAAAGGCGATGAGTCGAATATTGCATGCTATGTTAATATATATACCTGAGCTTCCTGATAACTACTGCAGTGATCACATTTGAATTTGTTGTCACTACACAGGGTCTCTGTATTGGAGAAACATCGGAGGCAGTGCGTGATCGAAGTGTTTTGATCTACATCAACTTGTAGATCAAAGAAGTCCTCGTCTTTGCTAGAAACAGTCTCACAGTTAAGGCAGCGTGTTTCCGAGGTTAGTATTCCTTGGAATATCTCGTGAACCCATGTAGGTTCTGGTGGCGAACCAGCAGCATCTCCTGCCCCACACTTCCCTCCGGCCGGCTTGTTTTGAGTTCTCTCCGCTAACGTACAAAATGATAATCGTAAGATGTATTATAAACGTCGCCGAAAAATAAAATGCTTACCCAGAATAATTTCATTTATATGATTTATGAGGAAGTTCAAAAACTCGTGCGCATCTTGTTGCATATAATTATCAAATTCCTCTGCAAAAGAGAGATAGAGTTATTTACAACATTTACTATGAAATATTTATGATGATTCTACTATACTAACCTTTCTCTTTTCTCAGTCTGGCGATAAACTTTTTTGGTGCTATAGAACCTACTTTTTTCTTTTGTGTTGCAATACTGTAAAACAAGTCTGCTAGGCATGTTAATAATGTCTCTTTAGTTCGCTTATTTCTGGCTTTGTATTCTAAAACTTTTTCTCTAAATGGCCGACAAAAATATAAAGCTTGCAACACTGAATTACTATAACAAGTGTTACCGAACTGCAAAAATATATTATTTTTATTATGTTGAATATAATGTAAATTAAATAGACTTACAATATGTTTTTAGTTTTTGATTTTTATATAATTTTAGCAGATGTTACACTTACATTGACTAAGCCAAAATAATGTTCGTTAGGTGGAAACTGATCAGAGCCAATATCTCTTTCTAATTGTGATATGTTTGCACCCTAAAATTACAGATAAAATATATATTTGAAAAAATATAAATTAGATATTTTAAATTAGATTAGATATAGAATATAATGTAGTAAAATTTTGTGAAATGTGACAATATATAAAATCACGATATATGTCAATATAAAATTCATTCAAAATCTTCCAAAAGTAATTATGCTAAAAATATAAATATTAACGTAATTTACTAATTTCTCGCTGTATCTCTATTTTTGTGTCAAAATACATAAAAAAGTATATATGTTTATGAGATGCATATTGATGGTGACATCGGTCGCAGAAAAGTACACGATATTGCAGGAATGTGCGTACGTAAGTATATCAAATTAAACTGTCAAATTGTTTACGAAACAGATTCGTATCTCCGTTTCGAGGATTATTCTTCCAGGGATGATTTTTCAACGTGTATAGATACATACGTGCACACATATATGTAAGTACGCGGTGAAGAATATACACTTACCATTTTACGACACAATAACTCGAGCGTGACACTGACAAGCACTTAGCACGGACTTTAGCAGCGGCATAAACTCCATCGTATCTCGACGGATGCGGGATCCTTTCTTCTAGCTAGAGCATTTCCACGCGGATCGGGTATATCGTCGCGGCGCCGCAGCCGCGATAGCGCTCTTTTCCTGGTGTTCCCCGGGTTCCACGTGTCTGCGCAAAGAACGTCGTCGGCCGACAACCTCGATTAATTTTGACGACGATCTCGGGCCTTTCGGATGCGAGGTTCTCGCGCTCCTCTTCGTCCTCGCGACGACGAATCGGCCGAAACGGACGTTAATCCCGTCGTCGCACCTCTCTCCGGGGAAAGAACTCTCGAGCAGTCAAAACGCACCCCTCACCTGCCCCCACCAACCGGCCGATTATGTCATGGAGTTCTCGAAGGGACCTAGATACGCTCGCGGGAAATTGGATATTCAGCAGCCATGCGAATGCGCCTTAAAATTCCCGCCAATTGCGATCAGTCCTATAAAATATTGTGTTTATTATAATATAATATAATATAAAAATAAAATTATAATATATATTATATATATATATATATATATATATATTATATATATATATATATATATTATAATATATATAGAAGGGATAAGAGATTATAAATATAAATCTCTTCTCCTTTTTCGGGGGATCTCTTCTCTTCTCCTCCCTCTAAGAGGGAGGAGGATTCTTATCCATTCTCTTATATAATCTCTTCTCTCTTAGATTATATATATATTATCTCTTATCTTATCTAATATCTATTCTCTATCTTATCTCCTCTAATGTCTAAAAATAAATAATATTAAATATTATAATAATAATCCCAATAATATCTAATCCTAATATAATATAATATATAATATAATAATATATTATTATAATATTATAAAAAATATAATTAATATTTATATCATCATAGGATGACAAGAGCAAAGATTCATCCTGATTGGTCAATTAAATGTCATTCTGACATGGGTTTTTGAACCCTGAAAATAAGGTTAGATCGCGTGATCTGTTGTATCAAAACATGGGTCGATTGATAACCTTTGAACTTCAGCTCTGACGAATTGTCTTAAATTTTACGACAGAGATGTTACGGATATTCGCGAGTCCAAAGTGTCCTCTTAGCTGTCACTTTTATCTATCAGTAAATTTTAATAATTTGTCTTTATTTTATGAAAATTTACTCCAAAGCAAAGATTTCTAACAATTTTTAAAAATAATTTTATTATTTATCGCAATATAGAATTATATAAGAGCTTGCACTGCATTTATGAAAATATCTTGTTACAGTATGCACGAACTTCGACTGAAAGTAAGAAGGGATTTTCAGAAAAGTTAGAGGATGGCCCACAGTTCGAGGACTTTCTAAAAGACACTGTTCAGGAGTATGATGGAAAGTTAAAATTGGAAAAGGGTGAATCAGGACGACTGAGACTACCACCATGGTTGAAAACGGAAATACCTATAGGCAAAAATTACAGTAAGATAAAGTCACAGTTAAGGCAATTACGGCTGAGCACAGTCTGCGAGGAAGCCAGATGTCCCAACATTGGCGAATGTTGGGGTGGAGGTGCTCATGGTACAGCAACCGCTACCATTATGGTTTGTATGATAAATTATTTAATTTTTATATTCAAAAGTCTTAAGGGAATTATCCCTCATTAATGATATCTAAATTTTGAAATAAATTTTAAATCTGTATGAAATGAATAAATCTTATTTATTTAAGCTAAGATAACAATGGCTGATTATTTAGTTAATGGGAGATACTTGCACCCGTGGCTGTCGTTTCTGTTCGGTTAAAACTGCACGTACACCACCACCATTGGATGCGGAAGAGCCAATCAATACTGCTAATGCAGTAACAGACTGGGGTGTGGACTATATTGTCTTAACATCTGTGGATCGTGATGGTTAATTGATTAATATAAACTATTTTCTAGATAGCACAAATTGTACTATTATAGAAGCCATTCAATGCATATCAATTATTTCAGATTTAAAGGATGGCGGGTCTAGTCATATCGCATCAACTGTTAAGGAGATAAAAAAGAGGTAATTTAAACTTCCTTTTTCTTTTCTAATTTTTTTTTATATATTTGTGTTAAATAAAAAAAAGTTACTCATCTTTAGATATATTGTAGAGATTTAATTTATTATGTTGCAGAAGCAATATTCTAGTGGAATGTCTGGTACCAGACTTTAGAGGAGATGAAAATTGTGTCGCTACAATCGTAAATTCGAATCTAGATGTGTTCGCGCATAATATCGAAACTGTGGAACGTCTAACTCCTTTTGTTCGAGATAGACGCGCCCAATATAGGTATATTCCTTGTAATTTTTTATTACATATAATTAATAATATACATAATATTATATAATTATTTCATATGTATGTTAATTAATTTATATGCATTTATTAATTCAGATTTAAAAATCTATTGTTCATTATGTACAGGCAGTCACTGGCCGTATTGAAAGCAGCCAAAAAGTTCAATCCTAACTTAATCACAAAATCATCAATAATGTTGGGCCTTGGCGAAAGTGATGAAGAAATTGAACAGACAATGCGGGATCTAAGAGATGCTGGTGTAAATGCTCTAACATTGGGACAATACATGCAACCCACTAAAAGGCATTTAAAGGTCATCGAATACGTAACGCCCGAGAAATTTAAAGCATGGGAAAATGTAGGAAATCGACTAGGTTTTTTGTATACTGCTAGTGGTCCCTTAGTACGGTCATCGTATAAAGCTGGAGAATATTTCTTGACGAATATATTGAAACAACGAAAGAAGCAACAGACTGATGGTCATACAGTAATACAAAAATAAAAAAATAGTCTAGTTCTGTAAACACAACTTGCGCGATATATATGTATATATATACATATATATTATCAGAAGTTACATTATAGTTATTTATTTATAGCATGAATTTTTCTGCGACAGCATTGAACGATATTTCATCGCTCTGTAGTCATATATAGTTGGTAATAAATATATATATATATATATATATATATATATATATATATATATATATATATATATATAATATTTATTACCAAGTATAAAATAGCGATGAATGAATCTCGCGCTTTATACATATATAAAAATCCAAACTACATCGTAAAAACACATGATAAATTAATTGTAAAAAATTTTAAATATATTTTACTATGTGAATAGACTGGTAATAAATATTTTGTTGGATTAATTATTGTTACAAAACAAATATTTAAGCATAAAATGTGCTTTAATCTTTATATATAAATTGTATAGGATAAATTTCATATATTGTTTAATTTTTTTTTATTATCGTTTAATCTGTATCCATGGCAATGGCTACTTGAGGATCTTGCGGGCCTTCGTCGGCAGGTGGATCTTGTGGAGGCCTATCGTCCTGCACAACCTGCTCTGCAGGTCTAGCGCGTTTATCATCTCCTTCAATCTGGGATAAATAAGTGGCTGTTGCTGGTTCATCGAGAATTGTGAAGTCATAATTCTTTCCTACTATTCCAATTGATACATTCTGAAAACACATTTATTTAATTAGTGATATATTTTTAAAAAATTCAATATTAGTAAAATTAAAGTTGCTTATTGAAAGTCATTTATAACTGTAAGTTTTGTGATACATTAAAGAAATCATATTTTAGAGAATAGGCGAGAAATTTACCTTCACTGACAGATCGACTTCATTAGGTAAGGTGTCACGTAATGCTCTAAGGCCATGCTTCACCAACTCATCGAGATCACACGATAAAAATTCGTTCAAATGTTTCTCCAAGTACGTTCTCGCGCTTTGAGAGCGAGACCCTATAGCCATTGCTTTACAATCAAAATAATTCGCTGATGGGCATGTTTGATATATATGCGGTCCTTGATCCTGTTAAGGATAATTATCCTTAGAGAAGCACAATATTGGTGTATAATGTGTCAATAGTGATTGCTAATATAATTATCAAATAAATTCTCACATCGTATCCTGCTACGAGTAAACCGACACCATACGGACGTCTGTCATATCTCTGCGTGCATGTCTGCATTCTATTTCCCAGGGATGTGATTAAGCGACTCACAGGTAATGTATCGTCGTGAGCATACTTAAAGTTTAGGCATTCGGTTCGCATATAACGGCTACAAATAACAACAATTTGTTGTCATAAATAATGAAATATACATAAAATGAAAGTGTCAAAAGATGTCTTTTTCTATTTATATACCTCATATAAGATATAAAAAAATTTGAGAAAAAATTAAGAAAATTAAATAGTAACTCAGATAGTACCTCAATATTCTTGCATCAGCAGTCAAACCCGAAATACTGATTCCCATATGCTTGTCTATCGGTATGATCTTTTTCTGGTGAGCTGACAGTTCCGACGATGCTCTTTTCAGTGCAATGAGAATAGCATGTGTTTTATTCTTGAGACCTACAGTAGCCGATCCCAGTTTTACAGCTTCCATAGCATATTCCACTTGATGCAGACGTCCTTGTGGACTCCATACTGTTACATCGCTGTCATACTGATTGCGAAACTGAAAAATACATTTATATTATTGTCAATAAATTTAAAGATTTTATTTATATAATTTCACAAGTTGATTAAGCAAGTATATTATGACTGCATTCCAAAATTCATGACAATACTGCCTGTTATTCTTGTTCACTAAATGTTAAACAAAAACGACATGCTGACATAATTTCGAAATACAGCCTATATTTTTGCTTTATTACTATAAAAATGTTTAATTTATTTTTATTTTATACGATCTATTGCTTAATATTTAGTTTTCCATATAACTTTTTAATATCAATAAAATAAGACTAAAGTAGAATAATCCTATTTTTTTGTTTATTAAAATAGCAATTACAGAAAGAAAAAAAGCTACATGTCTTTAATAGTTATTTCTACTTATTCCTACTTGCATAAACTCGTACATAACCACACAGCGACTTTGACATTACAACACTTTGAGATTTATAATTATGACTTACAAATTTTTCTTACAATTAAATAAATTCTAAAATCAATTGAAAAGGAAAATCAATTAAGTACCCACCATTGTTAAAAGCCGTGTCTCTTAATCACAAGAAGCTCAATAGAAGAGCAATATTAGTTGCAAAAATTCCACACAATTCCAGATTCCAGAATAGCGGCTTGGCTTTCGTAAATCAACAGTCATGCAGCAATATAGCTATAGATACGTCCTGTCATTCATTGTGGCTCATGTCCATGAAGAACGATAACTTAAAGCCGCATCAATATGAAAGAGTGACAGCCGTGTCGTCGATTGACCGATTCATTCACACAGAAGCTTCTGATTGGTCGGTTCAGTGGACAAATTCCAAGCACCGATCGCTGCGAGTGGCTGTTGTCAGTTACAACACGAGTCAAACGAGACACTCTTCCATCAAAAATAGTTTATGACCGACAGATGTTATTTCATGATTTTCCTGTGGAGTACTGTCGACTCTCTTGGAGAATAATATTCGAAATTTTTGTGAGGTTATTGATTATTATTATTTATTTGCGATTTTGTGAAGAGGTAGAAAAAAAATCGCTACCTACTTATATATTTGTTTTCCTACGCTAAGTAATTTATGTAATCGAAATTTTCGCTGTAAAGAAATTTTTCTTGGCTTAAAATGTCGAAGGTTGAAATACATAACGAGGTATATATATATATATATGTATGATTTGAATGAAGCGATTATTGTTTACAATTGTGATTGCTTATTTATTTGCGTAATTCATTCTTGTAATACTTTCAGATTATTCAGCTGCGGCATGCAGTTCGTCAAGCACGGGTTTGTGTAGTCAATAAGCTTATCAGAGAAGCTAAACTTTTACGAAATAGATATGGAAATGAAAGTCAAAAGGAAAAATATAAAAGAAAAGCTGATAAGCTTATTGCTGAAGTTTATGCGATAAAAAAAATTAAAGACGACGATATTTTCAAGTTTGGTATCATAAATGAGAAGGATTTGCCTACAATATTACAAGATGAGTCTTTAAGTCATAATGATCGTGTAATGGCAAGGGTTGCACATTATAAGACTTTAAACAGAAGACTAGAACAATTTAAGGAGAAGTTCCCAGACTGTAAAAAATATATAGTAGAAGGAAAGAAGAAAAATGTTAAATCAAAGAGTAAGGGTGCTACAAAAACTAAAAAGTCATTAAAAGAAAATCCTCAGCTTCAAACGAAAAGTTCAGAGAAAAACAAAACTGATTCTTATGAAAATATTGAACACTCTCAATCTAATTCTAAAGAGGAAGAATGCAACACTGAATCAATAGATAATTCACTTGAAGCAATAGATAATTTGCACAAATGTAAAAAGTCATTGAATAAGGATTGTATACCCTTGAAAAAAGAAAAGAAGTTAAAATTGGTAAAAAATATTGGATTGGAGGAAGATACAATTATACATAAGCAACCAAATGTAATTGAACCATGTAGCGTTACAAAGGAAGCCACTGTGAAGAGATTTACTAAACTCTTGGAGGAGCAAGAATCTAGTACAAATGTAGAGATGTCTATCAAAATTCCAGATTCTGCAACTGAACAAGCAACAAAAATGTTGGATGATTTTTTCGTTACGGAAGACAATCAAGATTCTCAGAGGAGTGCTATTGGTGCATCAACATCGCATGTAAAATCTTACAAACCACCAATCAAAACATTCCGATCAAGTAACAGAATTAAAAAGCAAAACATAAAGTACAGAAATGATAAACCATCTTTTTCTAAAAAATCAGATAATAGAACACCCAATAAAATTAACAAGGATTCAAATAATAGAAATTCAAATAATATTAATAACAAAGAAGAAAATATTGATTTGCATCCCTCCTGGTCGGCTAAAAGAAAACAACAAAAAATAATGGCCCAGGGATTTCAAGGAAAAAAAACTGTATTTGGCGATGATTAAATAAACATCTACAATAATTTATAACACAGTCTGTAAAATTATAATAACAAAACACTTGTAAATTGACCAAGGACACTTTGTGTAAAAAGTACATTGCAAGTTTATGATATATGTCTGTCATTATTTTGACACAAATGTATACATATGTACATTTATTTAATGTAAATAACATTTATGCAAATATTCTATGATAAAAGTGTCTTCTTTTACTTTGTAATTTTTGTTTTACAGTTCTGTGTGCGATATTATACATTTTCACTCATACATATTCTGTTTTTATACAAAATATGTCATATTTCTTATATAATAACATATTTGTTTAGTTGAACAAATAAAGATGAATAAAAATATGTAACTTTGAGTGATGGCGAATAAAGAAGATATTCGGTTTAATATGTAATTTTTAAATGTCATTTTTTTCAAAATTAAACATTACTCGCCCAATTAATATTTTATTCTTAATAAGTAAACATCTTTTTCTGTTCTTATACGTTCGCACTCTAATTATACACCTTCGCAGATAAAAATTTTAATGGACGTAAGATAATCGAGTTTCTTCGAGGTGGAAGGGTGAAACCTGGAGTAAATGCGCTTTCCGAACGTAATAATCGCGCAAAGGAACTTCGCATCACTTGTTCTTCGAAAGAGTACGTTGTTTCTCAGCGTGCGGAACTAGCTGGGAGTCTACAGGCAGGCCTTTTCTTCGACGAACCGCGTCCATGTAGCGTTTAGCTCGATTATCGCTGTCCGCTTTTTCGCCGAAATGAAGATATTCTTCTTCCGTGGATGGCACCCAGTAAGGATCCTGCTCGATCACCTGTAGAAACCCCAGAAACATTTAAATAAAATCAATATAATATACTTTATATATAAAATTATATATATAATATATAAAATAAAATTAGAGTAAAAAGAAATATATATATAGTGAAGAAATATCTTTTTCTTCGATGTTTTCGCGGACTTCAAAGCTCACAACTTCGACCTTTTATTTTTTTAACATTATGTTTTAATAATAATTTTTAAAAATTTAATTAAATACAAATTTTAAAAATAAATAAAGACAGCAAAATATTTGAAAAAAGACGTTATTTAAATTTCTGTATTTCTATTCTTGTTTTTTTTTCTAAGAACATCTTTCTGCGTAATAAGATGACGCGGTAGATACAAAAGATACATCCGTCAGCTTTTATGTACCTCCCAATGACTAAAAACTAGTTGCGGACTGGCCAATCCAGACGTTTGCGTCCGCAGTTCTCTCGCGAGGTGGAAACTCTCCAGAACCGGTAGGGTGGCCAAAACTCTGAATTGTCCGCCGAAGCCGTAAGCACTTTCCGTAAATACGATGCGACCCTGCCTCTTGCCGAATACGGCGTACAATTTTCCTGCAACAAAGATAAATAATAATTATTGTAAAAATTTATCTTTGATCTCTCAGAACGAACGATATCATGTATGAAAATCGCCTCTAATAGATGCACTATTTTTTTTAACATCTCTATAGCATTTCTTATACGATATATATATATATATATATATATATATATATATATATATATACATATTTTTCCTTATTAAAGACAAATATATCTCCAAGAAAATTAATCCCTTTTAAATTTATCCCTGATTATAAAATACTTTCGTCTAGACCCATCTGAAGAATCTGCAAAGAGATCGCAAATAATTGAATAAGGATGCTTGAGCAATAAAGCATTGTGAATACAAATGTAATAATGTTTTCGCAGGGTTGAGTAAAACTTAATGATTTTTTAAAACTAAGTTAAGTTAAAGTTAGTTGCTTATAAAATTAATTTAGTTAAGTTAAAAGTTTGCATGAACAAGAAATTAACTCACAATCAGTTAAAGTTAAGATTAAATTAACTGGAAGTTAAATCAAAAATTAATTTTTAAAAACATTTAATATTAAATTAGAATTTTGTTTGTTAATTCTTTCAAAATTTATAAAAACTAAGAAATTTTGATTTTTATATAAGAAATATATTTTTTGGTAATTATACAATTGATGACAAATGAACATAAAAATTAATAATACTTTAATTAAAAAATAAGTAGTTAAAGTTAAAAATTAATACATTAAGAAATTAACTAAGCTAAGTTAAAAGTTATTAATTTTTTTAACTAATTAACTAGTTATTATCCAATCTTCTGTTTTTGATCAAATATTCTTACATGTATATCGACACATAGTTTGGTTCTAGAAATGAATGGTTTATTCTGAATACGCGGAATGCAAAATTGCGCGGAATTGCAAGAGACGAACGGATTTGAAGATTAAAGTCTGATCGAAAGAGAGAGAGAGAGAGGGAGAGAGGAAATCATTGATAAAAAAAAAAAAAAAAAAAAAAAAAAAAAACTGGCTTACGAGGAAACAGAGAAGAGAGAAGGCGAAAGAGAAGGAGATAGAGAGACCGCGGCACAAAAAGCTACGCGGAGCGTAGTAAATTGCGGCAAAACAGACTATGCGCTCGCGCGAATGCAAACGGGTCGGAGAGACTCTGGAGAAAAAGTAAAACGCTCGTTTCATACGTGTTCCTTCCCCGGGGGAGAAGAGAGCGCCGTGGAAGAGAGGATGCGATGCAAGGACAAACGCGGCGACGAGAAGACGACGAAGACGACACGTCCCGAGACCGAGAAAACGGCGACGATGAAAACGTTCAAAGAGGAGAGATAGAGAGTATAGTAGTGGGGTTGACGTAAGAGCAAGTGAAAGAATGGGAAGAAGGGGATAGAGCGAAGCAGTCAAGAATGAGAAGAGGAAGGAGGAGGAGAGAAGAGAGGGAGAAGGGCAAAGGAGAAGAAGGTGGGGGCATCCATTCATGCTTTACTTCTGGCTTTTAAGAGTCCAGTCGAGCGGACGGCATACCTTCGCGAATAGGTTGATCTCGTCGTCCGACGTTCCGTTTCACTCGACCTCGGTGGATCGAGGTTTTGCTCGTTTCATTCCCCACGAGAGGAGGCGACACGCGCGTACACAAGGATCCCCCTTTGATAAAAGAGGACTCGGGATCCACTTGGATCGATCGCGGACCGAACACGGGAGGATCATTTCGGGCGCAAAAATAATCCGCGAATTCGAGTGAGAGTGCGCGGATACGCTCTATCGGGCCCCGACACCGTTCTTTCATGCTTCTAGAAATCATACGGTGCGTGGAAGATATATGCGAGAGAGAGAGAGAGTGAGAGAGAGAGAGAGAGAGAGAGAATGAATTCATTTCGAGTCGGCGGTAAATAGAGACACGTGACAACAACGTTGTTCTCCGCGAGCGGGAACGAGTAAAAGTCCGCGTGAAAAATTTCAGGAGGAAGAATCCAGATTGCGCCTCGCAATTTCATCCTTTTCCAGGATCGATCCGAGTGAATTTATCACCTTCCGAGATATGATTGGAAGAAGCGAAAATAATTCACGTCTGGAGAGTCGTTGAAAATGGACTTCAAATAGTATACATCCAATTATATCGATCACGTGTATATTCCGATTTTTTTACAAAAACTCGATCTCCGAGAGACCGTTCTAGCGCGAATATTTTTACTATGATTAGCGAATAAAAAAAAAACGTCTTCGAGATCCTTTTCCATTCTTTTTCGGATTTCTCTCTTCTCCGATCGCGAGCAAGGTAAAACGCAATAAAAGTTCGAGAGAAGGAAACACAAACGAAGAGGCGGCCGGGATTTTTGCATCGGGAAGAGAATTTGGCTCCTCTCCTGTCTCTCGTGCGAAACGCACAAGATGACTGGCAAAGCGATACAGCACCTGCTGTACATCCTGCTGGCGATCGTCGGCGTCGTCCGTCGAGGCAAATGCGAGTTCTTCGAGAGAGCCGAGTACGACGATTACCTAAACGAGTATTTGCTCTTCGACGAGAGAGGGTACCTCGGCGAGTATCAGGAAGTCGACGACACGATGATCGAGATCGCAATGATCAATCGCAATAGAAAGATCACGAACAGATTGACGCACGTGACGCCCAGGGTGCTCTACCAAGTGGGGGTAAGCCACTTCTCATTCATTGTTTTTTTTTCTCATTTTTTTCCTCATCAACATCCTTATTTCATCCCTAATTCATCATTTTTCTACACAGAATTTTCTCTTAGAATTTAGGCTGAAAATCATGGTAATCGTGGGACGATATGGTACTGGATGAATTTACTGCAATAAAAAATATTAATATCTATCACAATAAGATATAAAATACATTCGGTTCATTTTACTATGTATGTGCATATTAATATTTTTTTTTTATTGCGGCAAATATTAATCAGAGAAACTCTTACAACATTCTTCTTCAAAATACCATATTGTCCTACGATTACCATGGTTTTCAGGGTAAATTCTAAGAGAAAATTCTCTCCGTATTTATATAATGATTTCTCTTATGATTTCTACATATGATTTTTTTTTCTACACAGAATTTTCTCTTAGAATTTAGTCTGAAAATCATGGTAATCGTGGGACGATATGGTACTGGATGAATTTACTGCAATAAAAAATATTAATATCTACCACAATAAGATATAAAATACATTCGGTTCATTTTACTATGTATGTGCATATTAATATTTTTTTTTTTTATTGCGGCAAATATTAATCAGAGAAACTCTTACAACATTCTTCTTCAAAATACCATATTGTCCTACGATTACCATGGTTTTCAGGGTAAATTCTAAGAGAAAATTCTCTCCGTATTTATATAATGATTTCTCTTATGATTTCTACATATGATTTTTTTCTACACAGAATTTTCTCTTAGAATTTAGTCTGAAAATCATGGTAATCGTGGGACGATATGATATTGGATGAATTTATACCGCAATAAAAAATATTAATATCTACCATAATAAGATATAAAATATATTCGATTAATTTTACTATATATATGTAGATATTAATATTTTTTATTAGGCAAATATTAATCAGAAAAACTCTTATAAAATTATTCTTCAAAATATCATTGGCCTACGATTATCATGATTTTCAGAATAATATCTAAGATAAAATTATCTGCGTGTTTATATACATGATTCCAAAATTCCGGACATCCTGTTAAAGGAGAGATAAGATTTGGAAGATTTTTCTTCAACAAAAATGTCGAAGTACCAATAATTTTCGATAAGATTTGGAAACAATTTTTAGAATTTTTAAGGCTTAGTTACAAAAATACATGATGGCAAAAATTGGGAATATGCAAAAAATGATGACCTGAGAGGAAAAATTATCTGCAAATAATCTATAGGAATCTGCCATTAAAAACTTTTCCGCCACTTCTGAAACACTCTGTATATTATATAAAATTTCAATATTGCAGACACACATTGCTCAGATATTCCAATTTAATTAAAAATTTAATTTTACACGTGCATATTATAAATTAAAGAGTATCTGCCTGCAAAATGCAATTTTATATTTGTTTAATAGAAAACTGAAAGCAACATCCTATCTTTCATCATATGAACGAAAGCTATGTCTCTTTTTATATACCTTCGTATATACTTCTTTGAATATTCCTCAATTGATCAAGATATACGTTAGATATACCAGTGTCTCTTTAAGTCAATTTTACTCTACTACTGCTAGAGAATCACACATTACTATTCGTTAAGTTCTCCGAATAAATTATCATCTCTACAAAGCGATTGAATATTAATGACTCGCGCAAATGCATCGTCGGAAAAACATCGCCTGCAAAAAAATATACGCATACACACACATATTTCGCGTTATTTATTCGCGTTTGTCCGTTTATATTTTTCATTAAAAAAAAACTTTAATCAGCAATTTCGCTCTCAAGCATCGATATTTTTTTTTCTTCTTCGACACAAAAATGGCGCGTGTTAAATTCCCTCGGTAATTTTTTCTCCAAAAGTTTTATCGCGTATGCACCTAATATATCCATAACAACGTACATATGCGAGTTCATATATTGTTCGTTTATATTTTTCATTAAAAAAAAAAAACAACTTTTTTTAATCAGCAATTTCGCTCTCGAGCGTAGATATTTTCTTCTCCTTCGACACAAAAATGGCGCGCGTTTCCTCGGTAATTTTTTCTCCGAAAGTTTCACCGCGTATGCACCTAATATATCCATAACGTTCATATGCGAATTCATATATTGTTCGTTTATATTTTTCATTAAAAAAAGCTTGTTTTAATCAGCAATTTCGCTCTCTCGAGCGTAGATATTTTTTTCTCCTTCGACACAAAAATGGCGCGCGTTTCCTCGGTAATTTTTTCTCCGAAAGTTTCACCGCGTATGCACCTAATATATCCATAACATAACGTACATATGCGAATTCATATATTGTTCGTTTATATTTTTCATTAAAAAAAGCTTGTTTTAATCAGCAATTTCGCTCTCTCGAGCGTAGATATTTTTTTCTCCTTCGACACAAAAATGGCGCGCGTTTCCTCGGTAATTTTTTCTCCGAAAGTTTCACCGCGTATGCACCTAATATATCCATAACATAACGTTCATATGCGAATTCATATATTGTTCGTTTATATTTTTCATTAAAAAAAAACTTTTTAATCAGCAATTTCGCTCTCTCGAGCGTAGATATTTTTTTCTCCTTCAACACAAAAATGGCGCGCGTTTCCTCGGTAATTTTTTCTCCGAAAGTTTCACCGCGTATGCACCTAATATATCCATAACAACGTACATATGCGAATTCATATATATATTCTCTCGGGTAACATTCCGAGGATTTGAAGCTAAATCGTCCGCTTACAGGCGCGCAGGAAGTATCGTGGAGAGAGGGAAACGTAGCCGTTAGCAAAGAGCGGCGCCCACTCGATGCTCGAACCTGTTGCTGTCGTAGCTGTAAACACCTACGTATATCGGCCGTATATATACGTGCGTGCGTGTGCGTATATGTATCTGCACGCGTGCACAATGTATGCATATGCACGGGGTATACGTAGGTTTACACGTGCGCGGATACAGCGCAACACCCAAGTATGACATATCGTAGATACGTACGTTCGCACGTGGGCCGAGAGTACGTGCGCAGGAATGATATGGCGGGGATACACGTATACATATATGTATATGTATGAATGTATGTATGTATATATTGAGAGAAAGAAGAGAAAAAAAATGTGCTCTCTTTATATCGGACAAAAGTCTCGTGCGGCTCGGTTTGTCGTCTCCCATCTGCGAATCGCGTATATATTCGCTCTTGAAAATTTTTTTCTTTTCTTCTTTTTTTTAAAATGTATTTGCTGCTCCTTTCTCTTTCTCTCTAATGCGCTAATTATACATCTACTTGTTAATTTGTCCGGATAAATTAGAAAGCGCAGTTTAACCGAGGGAGAGTAGCCCTTTCCCATATGTAAGTTATGTATGTATAGAGGAGATAAATTGGAGAACGTAGTACAACTGCACAGAGAGAATTTTTCTCTTAGAATTAAGCCTGAAATTTATGGTAATCGTGGAATAATATAGTGTTGAAGAAATTAATATTTTTACCGTAATAAAAAATATTAATATCTATCACAATAAGGTATAAAAAATGTTTGATTAATTTGATTAAAATATATAGTAAAATTTCAATAATTTTAAAATATATTAAAAACTATAGAGAGAATTTTCTTAAAATGTATTCTGAAATTCATGGTAATCGTGGGACAATATGATATTGGAAGAATTTTGTAAGTCTCTCTAATTAATATTCAACACCACAATAAAAAATATTAATATCTACCACAATAAGATATAAAATATGTTTAATTAATTTTTACTAAAATATAATAATAAAACTTCAATAATTTTAAAATATATTAAAAATTTCAAATATTAAAAAAAAATAGATGCTAAAAAAGTGATAAACAAAATATTTCATACCAAACTTTAGTACGCAGCATGATAATTTTCTGCTTATTACCAAACCAGATAAAATTTGTAATGAAATTGCAAAAATAAATTCGAGCCAATTTAAGCATGAATCAATTATCTCAAAAGCGAATCCTGATGCAAAAAAATGTAATCTATACATATTTTCGATTGAAAATTGAACGACTTTTTTTCTCGATTGCACAAACTCGTTCTGTGTTATACAGTTATCTCTGAGCATTCGCGGAACGATAGGAATCGCGATTAATTATCCCGAATCATATCGAGCAGTTCCACTATATCTTCGATCGGCGCGAGATTTGCGAGCTCTCTTAAGAAACATCCGGTATAGCGATGTACGGTACGATGAGCGAGCGATCTTTTTACTAACGTCATCCATCCATCCATCCATCCATCCGACCAGATTCCCTGCGTCGTCGTGCGTCTCCGTGCCTCTCTTTTCTTCTTTCCTTTTTGTTCCGTAGCCTCTACCTTGTCTCGTTCTTCTCTCTCTCCTCGCACAGGCCGCTCTTATATACTTCCGACCGTCTCTCTCTCGCGTCCTTTGCCGTCGTGTGGTATGTCCATCCGAGTGCCAGGTGTCATTTTCATTGCGGCCGTGCGAGAAGCGAGAGACGCGTGAGAACTTCCGGATGGTTTACGGCGCCCTTCCGGTCCTTCTATTATCCCATTTTAGTTTACCATCGTATATATATGCGCGAATCCCCGCCGCGTTCTTCGCTAAATATCAGCTTCAAAAACCTTCCTTCGTCTTTCGTTACGCACGCCTTTTCTTTTCTCTCTTGTTAGAACCGACGGAAGCAGGATAAAGAGATGCGTAGAAAATGCGTCGTACGGGAAATGCGGATAAACACGATTAACGATCGGAAGCTCGCTTGAAATCGGAGTAAGACCGGATGGCGCGTAAGACGGATTATTGGTAGGCGTGATGCAAAAATATTCTAAAGATCTCTCTTTCGTCTTTTTCCGACCATTAAAATTCACCTGTACTGCTGCTACATTCGGAACGAACCGAAGGACATTTTAAGAATGAATAATTTTTTGAAAAAATACATTAAGGGCCGGAAGTTGTTCCAACTTCTTGGTTTTTAATTGATAGCATATCTTCGTCTCTTTTCCGATACGTTTAAAAAAAAGACAAATATATAATATCTGTTGGATAAAATTTACCAAGAAGTTGGAATAATCCTAAATAAAAAAAAAATAATATTAATTATTTATACGCAAAGAGAATTTTCTCTTAGAATTTACCTTGAAAATCATGGTAATTATGGGACAATATAATATTGGAAAAATTTTATAACATATAATTTAATATAAGATAGAAATATTTTATATTTCTCTGATTAATATTTATCATAATATAAAAAATATTAATATCTATCCCAATAAGATATAAAATATGTTTGATTAATTTTACTGTGTATATATTAATATTTTTTCTTGTGTTAAATATATTTTATTATTTACAATATATGTATATTATATATTTATATATATATAATATATTTTTATTAATTATAAAAGCTAAAAGGCTGCAATGTAAAAAGAATTAAAAAAAGTTTGTACGACGGCGAGGAAAAAAGCTGGCAAAATCTATCTCTCTTTGAGCAGATGGAAAATTATTCAACCGTTCGCGTAGTTTGTCGTTTGATTGACGGTATTCGCAGATGTAGGCTATAGACTTTAGCGCGAACGGATATCCAAGAGAACGAGATCAAGGAGCATTTTCCTCGTAAAAAGCTGCTCGTGCGATCCGTTGTATCGTGACGGAGATGATCGTAGTAATAGTAGTAGGCAATAGTAAAGTAGTGGAAGAGAGCCGCGGAGAGCAAAAAGACAAACGAGATGAACGGAGGATGGAATCGTGAACAAAAAAGTGGAGAATGCTCACAGTAAGACGGTAAAACGGCGGAAGGCCATTTCCTCGAAAGCCTTTTCTTCGCTGAATGGCACGTTGCTTAACTACTTCTGCTCACGCACTATCCTACACTTCGATAAGTGTATCTATCGCGTTAACAGAAAATGCGCGTGACTTCTCGCGACGAACGTTTATTTATTTTTTCTTTTCCCTCCTCCCATAATGTATCCGGGAACACGTGGAAGGAAACGAACTGGAAGTAAATCATTTTCCGATGGAAATCAAATTATCAGTCAATGTCGTTCGTGATTACTCGTCGCGAAATCAATGTTTATTCGGTTTTTCTTCCGTAAAACCGCAAAGTATCCGGAAATCGACAAATTGAAAGAATAATCATTAAAAGAAAAAATTGATCAGGCTAACAAGCGGATTTCTTCGATTAAGTGGATCTTGCAAGATGTGCAAAATCGCAAATGAAATCTGGCGAAAAATTTAGCAGGGCATATACAAACGATATCTCCGCCTTACGGTAGTTGATGTCGTCGATGACGATAGGCCGGGACAGGACGTACGCGATTGCCTCAATGAATGGACTGGCAACATCTAAATAGTCCAGTTACAAGCATTGCAGACTTTGTATCGCCGGCGCAGGAAAGAGCGGATATACTTTAGTTACGAGTCTGTGCGCAATCGCGTCTCGTTTATTTCATTAGCCGTGTCCCATAGCGCGACACACGTTCGGACGTTTCATTATTACGCAACGGTACAATCACTGCGATCTTAATCATCCCGCTAATATTAATTCCGTTATCGTTTCGAGACGCGTTTCTTCAATCGTCATAATATATAACTGCAGACAAATATCTATTATATAATAATTATTCACAGAGAGAATTTTCTCTCTTCAAATTTGAACTCTGAAAATCATAGTAATCGTGAAACAATATATGGTACTGGAAGAATTTTGTATGAATTTCTCTGATTAATTTCATGTTTATCAGAATAAAAAATATTAATATCTATCACAATATAATATATCAAATATATTCGATTTATTTTATTATGTTTTACATAGTAAAATTTCCTATTAAATATTCATCAGAGAAACTCTTATAAAATTCTTCCAATACCTTAATGTCCCACGATTATCATGATTTTTAGGAAAAATTCTAATAAAAAGAATTCCAAGAAAAAATTCTCTCCGTTTATGTTAAAAAAATATAACAAACCTAATATATAATATAGATTATATTATATAATAATAAATATTATATTATAGAGCGACATGAAAATTTTTCAGCCGATCAACTGAGGCTCCAGCAATTCGGCGAATTTTTAATGAATCGATCCGCGAAAATGTTGGGCAACAAAAAAACGATTGAGCATCGATCGAGCTCCATTGATGACCCGAGTATCTGTTTGTTTGCGCAGGACAGCGAGAAGGAATTACCAGAGTGCGCGGACCTGAGCGAGGTATGTAGCAAGGTGGATTTATATGGTACACCGTGGGTCGAGAGACAATGTCGTTGTCCGAATGGCCGTGCCTGTCCCAGCAGTCTTCACGCGGACGACGGATACACGATCGTCGATAAAACGCGCCTCTACAAGCTCTGCGAACCCGTGAAACGATTTCCTGCCTGTAATTACTTCAAGTTAGTCGAAGATCACGTCACTTTTCCTCGATCCTAATTGTCTTATTTTTTCTGCTTTTTAATTTTATAGATTCATCAAGAATTGCTCCTTTTTCTCTGTGTAAAAGTCGAATTTTCATATACTATAAACAAATTTATTTTTCTTAGAGAAAAAATTCTTTTTATCACTTTAATGACTTGTTTAGTTTATATGTATATGCACGGAGAGAATTTTCTCTTAGAGTTAAGTTCTTTAGTTTGAAAATCATGGTAATCGTGGGATAAATCGTGGGGTATACTGGAAGAATTTTATAAGAGTTTCTCTGATTAATTTAATATTTACCAAAATAAAAAATATTAATATTTACCACAATAAGATTAATTTTACTATGTTACATATGTATTAAAATATATAGTAAAATTTATTATTAAATATTTATTAGAGAAACTTTTATAAAATTCTTCTAATACCATATTGTCTCACGATTACCATGATTTTCAGGATAAGAGAAGATTCTCTTCGTGTATGAGATAAATATGCAACTTAAAGTTCCTTTTTCGAGGAGAAAATTATATTTTTTAGACCATTGTACACATTTGAAATATCGCAATTTTTTTTAATTACAGAGACATTACGTGGACTCTGGCACCAGGAGGAGGTCCAGCAAATGCGACAGTACAACGAGTTTACTGTCGATGTCGGCACCATAGCGTGCCGTATCTAGTTCGTAGGCAACCTCATAGATCACCGGATGGAAATCAAGGCTTTATCTACGCCTTCGCTTGCTCTCCGCAAAGCGTAAGTCAACAAAAAAATTCAGAAAAAAAATAGGAAGAAAAACTATAACTCTGAACTGTTCATTTACAAGTGCAATTTCTTCAGAAAAAATTTTGTCAAAGTCGAGAAAATTATTTACACGAAGAGAATTTTCTTCAAATTTACCCTGAAAATCATGATAACTCTTATTGTGGTAGATATTAATATTTTTTTATTGTGATAAATATTAATCAGAAAAACTATCTTATAAAATTCCAATGTCATATCCCACGATTTTCAAGGTAAATTCTGAGAGAAAATTTTCTTCGCGTATATTATTTAATAATATAAGACGAAAATTGCGTGATTTGCTGTTGAAAAAAATGCTTTGCTCCTCAGAAAATACGGTGTCAGCGTAAGGAGCCCTGTCGCCTGTTCACCGTTCGCAAGAGACGCAACTCGCAACTCGAGGAGGTGAACGCCTCGCCTCTTTGCCGATGTCCCACAGGACAACGATGCCCGCGACGGCACACGGATCCTGGCTCCTCGCCGGCGAGATCCTACGCAGGTGTCTTAGAAATCAAGACCTACAGCGGTTACTGCATACCCGCCCACGACTTCAAGAGAGAGATCTACCTAGACCGTGTCTAGAGAATCGTAGAATCACCTCCACTCAATACCTATATATCGGCGATGTCGATGATGGGATATTCACCACGCGCGACGTTAAAGTATCGTAATTTAATGACATTTTATTAATTATACGTTTGTATAGAACAAAGAAAAAAATGGTGAATTACTTTGATTATTTAATGACAAGAATGATCTAAGAATCGCATCCAATATCTTTTTATTTTTCGATATAGTTTTTCAAGCGGTTGTCTTCTCTTTCTCGCGAATAAAGCGCGCTTAATTCGTTCATCGACACAGCGACTCGAAAGCAACCTCGACGACAGGAAATTGATATATTTGTCAACCGATCATGTATCATTAACCGTACAATGCCGTGCCACGTGGTGGTCTCTCTCTCTCTCTCTCTCTTTCTAACGGCGCGTTGGTGAATGTTAAATGTAAAAAGTATGTACAAAAGTATATATAGGGATAAGAAAATGTGTGCGTGCCACCTATACAATTTTTTTGTACAATATATAACGTTTGGATAATCCTTCGCTTTTTTCCCGCCAATAACTCGACCGTCGTCGCAGTTATTGTACAACATCTCTCGTAGCAACGATGAGCCTCTTTCCATTTTTTTAGTGTGCTATCTACTCGACTCTTTGTATACCGCTTCGCAGAAATTAATATTACAGACGTCGCAGTTATACAATATCATTGTGTAGTCGTTGTAACTTGTATATATATATATATCGGATCCTCTCAAAGTGTCATTCGGGGAGTATATTTGTATATGATAGCATTATAAGACGATTCGAACGAGACTCTTTCTCTCTTTCTTTCTCTCTCGATGTTATATTTGTTAATTTTAACTTAATAAAAAATTTGACTATTTTATGCTCTACTTTCTTCGGTGCTTTTCTGTCCCGCGATATCTTTCGATTTCGTACATTTTACATTGAGCGAACGAGAATTTAATTAAATACTAATGATTGACAAATAATTTCTCAATAGAAAATTTATGTATCTTTGCGAGGCTTGTAAAATACATATTTAATAATATATTATTTTATATATTATGTAATATGATAAAGAAGCAAGAGATTTATCGATCTCTGATGTAGAATTTTCAACCTGCGCCGCAAGTCGATAAAGAAGATGGTGACAATGCTTTCAACGATAAATAAATAATTGATAAAATAGTTAAACAAAACATTCCTTATTATGTAAAAACAATAAAATATTTCGATATAAAACACTACAGATTGTTTAGACAGTTCCATCTTGATAAAAGTATATTTGACTTGTCATTTCAGTCAATTTAGTCTTACTATGTATATTTTTTCATTTATACATAAAAATGTAATAATATCATTGTATATCTAGTTTATTTTAATTTCTCCTAATTTCTACTATATACGTGCAAAATTCATTGTATTACATTATAATAGCAGTACTATAATTAAACTCTATCAGACTTTGTCATACATATTATTATTTCTTTCTTCTTTTTCAAAATGTATACCGCACAATATAAAAAAAATAACACATGTACATATATTTCTCCGAAGAGATGGATGCTTCAGAATAATTATTATAACGCGCCATTATAAAATATGATAATAAATTTAAGTACGAGGTAGATTTCTTTTCAAAGAAATGTCAGCTCCTCATCTCAAAATACAGTGGCGAGTCGCTCCTTCTCTCTCTTTCTTCGACAAGTTATCCTCGGATAACTTGACATAACCAGAACGCGAATGAGCCGTCATTGGAAGCCGTGAGTTATCTGTGAGAACGTTACGGTCCATCACCCGCGACTGCTCGCGAATGCTCTACTCGCGCGTTACCATCTGCACGACACCGTTACCGCCGCGCGGTTATTTCATTTTTATTATTATTTAATCAATTTATTAGTAACTTCATTTAACTAAACTTTAATTTATTAGTACATTTTGGCGCGTTGAATTTATTAGTACGTAATAGCGCGTTATGATAATATTCTCAAGTATCAATCTCTTTGGAGAACATGTGTTAATACATGTGTTAATTTTTTGTCAACTGTTTGTAATTACCTTGTCAAATTAATTATAATCACATTTTTACAGTGTACTTGATAAAGACCACACCCTGATGATCGAAACGTCGTTTTAATGAATATAAATTTGTGCTAGATTTGGTCGCTTAAATTTATCCTTTAATTTTTTATTGTGCAGTATATATTTATATTAAAAAAAAATATATATATATATATATAAAATAATGATATAGAAAAAAATTTCTAATGCAGTAATTAATATTGCCATTATAATATATGATGATGAATTTTATATATAATAGGAATTAGGAGAAATTACGCGAACGTACACGGAGAGAATTTTCTCTTAGAATTTACCCTAAAAGTCATGGTAATCGTGAGACAATATAATTTGATTGGAAAAATTTTATAAGAATTTTCTAATTAATATTTACCATAACAAAAAACATTAATATGTACATAGTAAAATTAATCGAACATATTTTATATTTTATTATAGCAGATATTAATATTTTTTCTTGTGGTAAATATTAATATTGTATGATAAATTTTAAGAGAAAATTATCTCTGTACGTTCTGAGAAATTTAGATGATCGGTCAAAATCATTCGCGATACACGTTTAAATTGAACGGCATTGATCTATTAATAGTATTCAGAATAATGAATAAAAAATATTTTTGTTTCATTATCTAAAATGATTCAATTATTTTGAAGAATATATCTTCAGCGTTGTACTATGTTTGCAGAAATAACAAAGTTAATAGAACATCTTCGAGAAAGCGCTTTAAGGCATTCAACAAAATATATCCAACAAATTTAAGACGTTTCGAACTAATTGTCAATATTTTTGGAAAAGTGAATCAATTCAAACTTCAATATTTATATTCCAAAATTTATTGTTAATTGTATGATCCTGTCCTCTTTTCGAAATAATTTTTATGTTAAAAGATCGGCCTAATTTTTATAAACGAAATGAATCATTAATTTTAAATAATGACTGATCAATTTTGCGAAAAATTATTTTTTATAAGATAACAATTTCACGATAGCATTATTTAAGATTAGATATTATTTGAGATTAAAATGTACTGAAAATTATTTATCTCAAATGTTTAGATATCAGAAAATGATAAAATCGTCAAAAGTTGTGTATTAGAATGTATACGATTTTTCAAGAAATATTCCAGTTTATTTTTATTATAATAGCATGTATACATATTATATAATATGTAAACTCTTTTAAAGCACTACTCTTTTTAAAATATATTTAATTTATTTTTTGTATCATATATACATAATAGACTTTTTTTAAGCACTATTCCTTTTAAAACATACTTAATTTATTTTTTGTATGATAAATACCGCCTAGTGAACTTCGTGCGCCTTTCTTCTACTTTGTAATAAACACGAACAGAAAAACAGTCAGGTCTGAGGAAATTAATTTAACGTGAAATTAAAGCCAAGATAAAAATCAAGAGCACATTTACAAAGTATTGTCCATTCAATTATTTCTCAGTGATTAATTGGCGTGAAAATAATTGATCGCATCTTCGCATTAATTTTCATGAGTTACTCGATAACTATCCGATCGTTTGTAATAACACACAGCGAATATATATCAGTCATAATTGCCGTAAAAGTTGCGCGCTTAATCGCATCATCGTATATACAATTTATATACTGAGCATTATCGTGAGGACTGGTATCAATTTTAGAAAGCGAATTCTCTCATGAATATGAAGGGGATTTTTCCTTCGGGTGAAAACTTATTTGGATATCGCGTGTTTTCACAACTCTCGCGTTATACGAACATTGGCAATATATATTTTTATTAGTCAAACTTTTCTCTCTTCTCTCTCTCTCTCTGCGTAGAGAAGAATCTTACATCTCCTTCGTGCGAAGATCCTCGCTCGAAAAACACGTCGTCGTCGCATGATCGAAGCTGTTCGTCGACACACTTTTTCAGAATTCTCTATACATTATTTGCTCCACTCTTTCCAAAGACCGCGCTCGAGCGTAAAAAAATAAAAAAGAACTCACAATGCGTAAAGAGCAGATGAGTTTTTCCGATACCCGGGTCAACTGGTTGTTCCCAATAGAATCGATATCGGTATCGTGCTGAAAGTACTGCGATTTCTTGCCTTTCTCATTTGCTTCGCAAGAGAGAGAGAGAGAAAGAGAAGAAGCCAACACAATGAATCCCCCAACTCTGATATGTAGCCGAATAATTCCCTTCGCGTTGCACCGGAACCAGTGTTGTGTTTAGATGATTTTAAAACTAGCTAGATAAAGGTAAAATTATATGGCGATTCATCTAGATAATAAGTTTTAAGACTGTTTATATGTAAACGCAGTTGTTCTATTATTTAAGTATTTTTATGTGCCATGATTCTAAACCAAAATTATCTGAAAATTATTCTAGAAAGATAATTTAGTAAAGATAATACTTTCTTTCCCTCTCAGATGCAGATGTAGATAATACATTAAAGATAAGATGACGAATGCCAAAATTTCATCTAGATGATCATCTGTATAATTTTATTTAGATAACAGCAAACACTGACCGAGGCAGACAATGATTAGCGTCCACGTCAAATCGATCTCGGGTCTATTATGAACAAAATTATCTGAATTTAGTAAAGATATTAAAGATAAGATGACGAATGCCAAAATTTCATCTAGATGATCATCTGTATAATTTTATTTAGATAACAGCAAACACTGACCGGGGCAGACAATGATTAGCGTCCACGTTAAATCGATCTCGGGTCTATTATGGATAGCTGCAGACTTTCACCGAGATGCATCGCGAGGCCGAGAAGAATACGCATTCGATCTTTGGAGAAAGGCCCCGTGTACTCAATGTGTTACTCGACCGTGTCTACGATCAAAAAATCGCGATAAAGCGAGAGCCCCCATCGACAACGGGAAGTAATAACCCGTGAGGCCTTGCTCTCTCGCATATAATTCATAAAGAGAATTATCTGTCTCTCTCTCTCTCTCTCTCCGGCTGTAAGCATTAGATTTACAAGAATGAGCGTGGTTCGACACGCCAACAGATTATTGCTCGGTAGTCTCTCGAAAATAACTTGCAATTTGTGTTTACTCGCTAATTCGAGTCAATTGGAATAATTGCACAATATCTATTTTAACGCTCGCGAGATTTTTCGTATAATTTATCATGTCACGTGTGGAGGAAAATTTGTCTACATTTATCTTTTCTTCTCTCCACTTTGCACCTCTGGTCCCCCCGTCAATATATAAACTGTCAATTTTCATTTGTAGACGTAAAAATCTATTTGTCATAATTCTCAGATAATTCTCTCGTATGCAGATGATCGGAAAGCTACAACTTTGAGTAATATGCTTAGAAATTTCTCTCTATTCGAAAGGTGAAGAGGACACTCGTGAATTTAGTATAATAAATCTCAGAGCTGACGATTTTAGAATGAAGATTATTAGTTGACAGCTGTGTAATAATTTTTTCTAGATACCAATGCCCAATTGATCGAGAATAAAAAAATTGACAAACTTGATAATTCATTAAAATCAATTATTCGATCAAAAGCTAAATCCAAAAACAATTGCGTTCCAATCGCAAAACTCGCTCGCTCTTTCATCGCGTCTCGAGAGAAGAAAAAGCACGAGGAATAAATCCCGCACGAGAAAGACGATTAAATTATACAGGATGTCCAGCTCAATGAAAAAAATTCCCTGACATTTTCAGATTTTCCAAGACCAGAAGTTCATTTTTTCCCTGACTTTTTAGTATTATTTTTTTCAAATATATAATTTGCATATGTTTATAGGATAAATCAATTAAATGTTAAATCATAAAATCCTTGAGATATTTTTGTCAACAATGAAAAGAAAGTTAAATAAAAAATTTAAATAATTTATACAATCTATGTTATGTATGATAATCGAAACAAACATGTCACTATAAACTATTTAAATAATCATCTTTTTTATTTATATTATATCAAATTTTTTAGTTTTACCTCTATCAAACACATGGAAATAAAAACACGACGATGAAAATATAAATGAACAAACACGTTGTAGATGAATCGATTTTGAACAACACAGAAAATTAGTGTGCTGGGAGTCAAAGAAAAGTTGATATCTATTTAGAATATAGTTGACAGCTGTTTAATAACATTTTCTAGACATCAATGAATGAAGAATAAAAATGGACAAACTTCTGACAATTGATCAAAATCAATGAATAGCTGGATACCTCTTCGCGGTCGAT